AATAATAGAAGTTAAAAAACAAGAAAGTTTTTGATGGTTTTATTAAATATGTTGTCATAAAGTCTATATGACAGAAAAAAAAATTCTTGAATAGACTAAATTTTGTGTGCAACTTTTATGATTCTTTAATGCATTCAGTTTGGCTCCTCATTATGCATTCAGTGAAGAGATAAGAATTCATTCTTCCTTATGGGTAATCAAAAAATTTTTCATTACATACTACAGTAAAACTTTAGAATTTTTAATGAACTGTTATGAAATTTTTGTGTAATAGATTTATCTTGAAACTTTAAGCATTTGGTAAAAATTTGCAAATTCTGAATATGAGACACATTTTATTTTATTGTAATATACTTTTAAAGTTTTTAACTCTTTTGAACTACCTCTAGTTGAAAATAGAAGCCATACAAAAGAGAAGCAAAAGTAAGATAAAATAATTGTGGCCAACATAATGCTAATGAGACTTACTTTCTAACAATCTAATCGATAAAAGCATTCCTAATGAGAACGTTAGCATTCTTGGAGATGCAGATTATAAATTCTAAAAGTTATTAACCTGTAATTTTGCACACGTTTTCTTCGGCTTAGGGAAGATTTATAGTACTGAAGTTCAAAAATATTTCTTCTGTAGTGTTGAAAGAAAAAGTAGAAGTATAAAGGAAATGAAAAAAACTTCATAAATTGTGTTTTAGGTAGCTTCAGTGCCTTGGATTTATGTCTTAATTTATTACTAAAAAAAAGTTTGGATACGAATAGTATAGTGAATTGAATTTAAAGAAAGAAAAAATATTAATATAATCATTTATTCAAATCGAATTGCAAATATTCTATTCCGATCATATAAAAATAATATTTTAAAAAATTTTCAATCTTCACAACAGTTGGTATTAAAAAAAAATATTGAAAGCAATAAAATCTCACCATTCATCATATCATTGAATAATCATAAATGAAGAGAATTTAAATATAACAGATAATTCAATGAAAATATTTTAAAAAACACAATTTTCAAAAATAAACAAAATATTAATGTAAATGACTTTTTATGTCTATAAAATTGTTACAATCGTTTGAGAAGTCTCTCGTAGACTAGACATAAATTATCAAGTCAATATAAAAATATTTACTTATTTTTATAAATAAATAAAAAGATAAGGGTAAGAGGGAAAGGGTTAATTTGGTAAGGGTAGACGTTTCAAATTTTCTAGGGTCATTCAAGAGGTCTCTTGAATACGATGAAATAACCAATAAAAGCCAAAACAACTCTGTTTACTCTTACCTCTATTTTTAAATTTAATAATTCAACCTGAAATCTAAAATCGATGTAATTATTTACTTTTATTTTTAATTAATAAATAGAAAAATAGAAATAGAAGCCAAAGGGTCGTTTTAAATTTTATTGGTTATATCATTTTATTCTCGTAATGAGCATGAATTTGAATATCTACATCTGTACTTATTATTATTGCTTTTTCTCTTCATTTTTATCGATTTTTGAGCTTCACAATCTTCAAACATTCCGACATTTTTGGAGTAAAATGAAAAAGTAAGATTGTTTTGTATTTATTTAAGAAGATATTACAGATGTAACCATATAGCATCACTTCGAATTGATTGCACAATTATATTTTTTCAATTTAGTTACTTTTGCTGTGTAATTATATATTAAAAATTTTGAATACTTGAAAAAAAATCAATTGAATCACCTAACTGCGATTTTATTTAAAAGTTCATGTTACGCAAATTTCTACCCTTATTACTATCCTACTACTACCATAGAATATCCATTACATAAATAATTACTAAATAGTTTTGGTCTCCAGCTACTCTCCAACTACCCTATACTACCTTAGTATTACCTTACTCATTACTGCCCTATTACTTCCACAATCTATATTGTGATAATATTTTCAAAAATTAATCAATGAATATTTATTATTTAGTGTTTTAGTGATGGTTCTATAACTGCATATCATGCGGATTCTGATGATGAAGAAAGAAAGACTATGAAGTTAATTTAAAACTAAATAATTAAATAGTTATTTGTAAATAAAATATTACAAAATGATTTTTAGTTTTCATAGAATATTTATTAGAAAAAAATATCGTAGACTATTTGTAAAAATGAATAATAGTTTTGTATAACAATGTTAATATCGAATATCTGTCGATAAATTATCAATAACGAACACTGCGGATTTTGTGAGCTATAAACCAAAGTGTGATAGTAACTTGAATAAAACTGACTCTAAAAATCTGAGTTTTATTTAATTCTTTCTCTCAGAGCCTGTAATTCCCCTACTCTTCTTTATTGATATCATTTATTTACAATATAAATTAAAAAAATTAAAATATTACTTACCTTAAAGGTATCCAGAAGTAATTAAATGTTATGGATCATCTGAGATGATCTTTTAGTGTAAAGCAGGCATGGGCAAGTGATACTCCTCACAGTAACTGTTACTCAGTACCTGGATTCCTTAATATAATTTTCATTGTGGACATTATTGTACTAGTACTCTTAATCTCAAAAAGTACTCTGACTTCAAAAAGATTGCCCATGCCTAGTGTAAAGTAAAAACGATGAAACCTCCACGACTTATACCTGTAACAGAAGAAATAAATATATCGATCTGTAGTAACAACATAATCTTTATTTGCGTATATTAAGTCAAAGGCGCAATAAAGCACAAATCCACTTATGTATTTATGTATTCAGCTCGGTAATCTGCAATCTTTCGTTGTATTATTCACAGCTACTTACATAAATTCCACTAATTTCAATAAATTACAACCTCCTCATTAATCTTTAAGACGTAAAAAAAATCTTGATAAAAAAAAAATTCTATTTATTTCAAACAGGTGAGGCTAAAAATATTACTTCAGTTGGCAAATGATGATTAAATGCTTTACGAGGTTCTTGCTAGTCATAAAAACTTTTATACTTAAATTCTTTATTGCTACAACAAAGTAATTATATTGTTTCATTGGATATACACTAGGTCAATCATCATTGCTTGATAAAAGAGAAAGATATTAGTTTACAAAATGTACAAAAATATAAATTCGAAATTTTTGATGGTATTTTTTTGTCTGATATTAATTGAAAATTTTTTTTTTATTTTTATGCATTGATGTCGTTACCATCATACTTGTCGTCTATGATACTTCATAACTGACACCTAACAAATCGATTTACGCAAATATTTGTCTTTTTGAGATAGTAAAATCTAACCAATCCAATTGAATTATTATTCCAATCGTTCGACAACTCTATATTACTTCCGTGTCTTTTAGCGTTTGATTATTTTGCATTTATTTGAATAATATCGATTTAAATCAATGTTTTGTAGCATATCAATACTAACAACTAAAGATATAAAATTTATGAAAACTTGTTATATGATTTTGAATAATATTTTGATACTTATAAATTTTTACTGATTTGAGTATTACAATTTTCAATGATTTATGTCAAAATAAAAACTTATAATTCATAATCTTTGCATTAACATGTAATTTTTCCTTTTTTTTCATTTAACTTTGTAGGAAGATAAAAAAAAATTATGCTTGGATTTTTATGTAGTAGATTTGAAAGCAAAAAAGTGTTTAAGAGATAAAAAAGTAGATATAAATTAATGTTTTTTTTGTTAAAAATTTAACGAACATCAGTTTAGACACTTTTTAACTTTATTTCAATTTTACAATATTATTTGTACACTAGAATATTTATTCATTTGGATTTCACCACGACTCTCCTTTACTTGTAATTAATAAATAAATACATTGATATAAAAAACAAATTGTTTTTATTCTCACTGTTACGTTTATTAAATATTTTTAAATTAAAAATTTGTTTTGATCCTAGAATTTGTCTTATCCCAAATTTCCGTATTCATGAGAGGAGAAGGTATAATTATGGTCCAATCTTTAATTAAATGTGGTCCACTCGTTCATTTTGCGAGCGGTAATTTCACAGAGTATAATGTAATTGAGTAAAAACAAAAAATAACCCATGATCTTACCTTCTCAATGGCTAACTTTTTCACCAAAAAAAATTTTTGTGTAAAATTTATCCCGAAGTATGGTATGAAATTGACGCTACAGTAGAGTAATTTTTACCCTAAGCGAGAGTAAAAATTACACCTCTTACGTGTAGAAACTGCCTCATTCAGTGTAAAATTTACTCTCCTTATGTGATAATATTTTCCACTATTATGTGGTAATTTTACACTTTCGTAGGGTAAAAATTACCCTACTTTGAAGTAAAAAATCTATCACGGTCTTTGTGTCCCATAGTCACTCTACTATAGGGTAAATTTCATACCATACTTAGGGATTTTTACACACACATGATTTTTGTGTGTAAAAAATTCATTTTCGTCATACCCGCACGGAAAGTTCACTTTTCCATTAGAGAAGGGTTAAACTTTCCACGCAGGCATGACGAAAAATCATATTCAGCCTTAAGGAGAACAATTAAACTAGCTTAAATCACATGTTTACCACCCTCGCCTTTGGCTCGGGTTGTAATTTTACACGTGATTTGAGCTAGTCTACTTTCCCTCCCTAGGTGTGAAATGTACTATTTGGTAAATGATCAGTTTTTCAGGTAAATATTTATTTCTTCATTATCACGATGATAAACAAGAAACGAAAACAAAATGAAATATTTATTATATAACAAAAATACTGTAATTGTCTAATTATCAATTCTATGTTTGTTCACGAGTTTGAGATATATTTTAGTGGAAACAGCAGGTTATTAGCTCTGTGATCTCATAAATAGACATTTACCCCTAATAGGAATTTAATAATTCCATACAAATACTCTCAACTGTAACAAAGTGAAATACACTGGCATTGTCGACTATTTACTGTTCAATAAAATCAACGGGTATTATAGAATAGAATGAAAAAAACGAAAATAAAGTGTCAAAACGTGTATTGCAACGATAATTAACAGGATTGTTCAATATTGCTTTATTTATCTGTTACAGGTGCGAATGGGATACAGAACTTGAGAATTAATGTTCCACCGATGGTGAGATCTGGTGATTCAGTTATTCTCTCATGCATTTATGATCTTGAACATCCACTTTATGCAATCAAATGGTTCTACAACGAAAGAGAATTTTATCGTTATGTACCAAACGCAGTACCCATTCAAGAAAGTTTTTCTGTCAATGGAATGAAAGTTGACGTAAGAACTCATCTTTTAATCAATCATCTTTTTTTTCTAGGCTCAACAATATTGGAGATCAATCATTCTTACAATATCAAAATTTATTGGCTTGTTTTATTACTAGAAAAAAAATGTAAAAAATTTTTGAATAAATTTTATTCTTTTTCAACTAACTTTTCCAATCACAGTTTTAATTTATTTAGAAAGTTTCTAATAAAATATCGAATATATTTGCAAAATTGTGAAGTAAAAAAAATTTTATTAAAAAAAAAAACATTGTTCACTGGAAAATAAAAAGAGTTTGAATGATTTCTGAAGAATTTTAACTTCAAATTTAAATCTAAATGTATTATCTTTTCTACATTCTTATTGACTCCTTATTGGCAATCTAGCTGCAATCTCGTGATAAATGTTTTTGTTTTGATTTATAGACTCTCATTAAAATGTTATCGATACTATATATTCTTCGGATGTATAAGATAATAAGTTGACCAGTATGGTATCTAAATTACTGATTAATTTAACAATCCAATTATTAAAAATCGATTAATGATTTATAAAAGGTTCTTTTCGTTTATACAATAAATCTGAGTTATATCAAAAAGTGTTTTGATTTTATTTAACAGCTTTATCTATAAATAATGATAATTAAATATTCATTACAATTTAATACTTCATATGTAATGCAAGAGTTAGATAATAATATTCTTAAACAAATAAAACTTTTTTCTCATAAATTTTTTAATAATAATTATTGCTGCAATTATTTTATCTTCTTCAGTAGTGAAACAGGATAGGTCTATCTCTATTCCAATCCTATTCTAGTCTAAGTCAACCACGACTCAATGCTAAACCATAAATAAGCCAGTCTTGGTTCCTGCTAGGGTTAACTAGTCCTTATTGAATGCAAACTATTCCCTACTACTATTTGCTACTACTCCAATAGCTTATTGCTATTTGGATAACAATAATCACCTCCTGTTCAGCAGTCATTTTATTGAATTCTAAAACTGAAACTTGTATCATGATAAAAACATCTTTTATTTGCAAACCATCAGTTCTTATCTATTACTATTAATGCAGCTATTTTTTAATTTACATGCATCGAAATTATTTTATTATCATTCACCAGTTGGGTGCAAAGTACAAAATAGCTAGAATGATAAAGCATTTATAGAATAAAAAATTAGGAATAATAATATTAAAAGATCTTTTGAAATAAAATTATTGAGAATAAAACAAAACAGTCTATTGTTTGGAATAACTAATTATAACATATTTGATTAATAGCAGTATTACGTAAATTTAATATTTATAACTATAATAAATGGATATTTATGCAGCCTATATGCCCATATGGAAATGTTCCTAATAGAGCTACGATCACTATTAGACCCATTTCCATATAACTCAGGTAGTCGTTAGCACCGGAAAAGGATGTTAATTGATACGTTTACCTTACGGATATTTTTTAATAAATGGTGTTAATTTAGAGCGATCAAATGATTTACACAATAATCTTTATTTGTTGCACTATATTCTCATTCTATTGTTTGAATGTCTATTTTATTTTAATTCTCTTTCAACTCAATGCATCACGTTTTATATTACAAAAAATTGCTCGCCTAAAAATAGATTAAATTGTCTGAATGCTTTTAAAATTAATAAAAAATAACATTAAAAAAATCACATTAACCACTGGAATTGTTCATTTTATATCTTTGGAAAATAAACAAACTTTATTTCGAGTAATTTATTCTAGGTGACATGAATAACAAATGTTTTAATTAAACTGCGTTGTGTATCGCTAAATTTATCACTTGTTTAGGTCATTCAAAAATTTAAATAGAAATCTTTTTCTACCATTTATTCCTCGTAGCTTATTTCTGAGAGCTTAATTTGCTAAATATACTTGCACTTACGAGAGCTTAATTTTTGCTTAGTGTGCAAGTATTTATGTTCCTATGCATCGTACAAATTCACCAGAAGACATTTTGTATCAGCATTAATAACGTTTTTTTATTTTGAAAATATTTACTGATATTATTATTGGATGGATGAATTTTATAGCTGCTATTTGCTGATGATTTATGTACATCAATAAAAATAATATAATCCTAGCTATTGTTTTTTTTTTTATCATTAAATAAATATTTGAACTACTCTTTCGTTCTTTCTCTTTAATACTGAAATGACTACAAATTATTAATTTAAAGTTCTGTAATTGTTGATTTTTATCCATTTAACGTTATAATAATAAATGAACATTATTTTTATTTATTTTTTATTGTAAATTTAATGTTGATGATAAAGTACATTTTTAACAAAAGTATAAATGGAAAAAAAATTCAAAATTTAATCCTGTTTATTTATTTACAATAATACAAGCAATTTTTTTAGGGTATAAAGGTGCACATTTCTCTAAATTTAGATGAACACAGTCACGTAAAAAAGCTCGTATATAAAATTTCACAGAAATTCTCATTTTGACATCGAAATAAAAGAAGATTTTTTTTTTGTCTTCAAAATTACGAGAAATAAATGACACAAAGAGCGTGACAACTTAATATATTTGCTTTATTTTGAAGCTTCATAAATTTTTAAACATTTCCTTAGTTACTATTTTATAATGTCAGAAAAATTAATTTATTATCTGTTTACATTTCAGTGAAGTTTTTATTAATACAAAAAAAGATCTTCAAAAGTCTTCTAGCGTATTTGTAATGTCAAGTAGCATAAAAATCATAATAAATTCAGTAGTAGAATAAATAAATTTATTGTTAGATGCAGTACATGTACATAAATATCTACTTTAAGAGGTGTTAACATAGAAGGAAGAATGGAATAATATTAAAGTCTCTGAAGAGATGGACGCTTAAAAAAACGTGATAAGAGTTATAAAATATTATAAAATTTAAACTGTAAATTCAAATTATTTCCATCAATGTAAAACATATTTTTAATGATGTTTAAATTTTCATAATAGTAGCATCCATTATTTTTTCTAGGATACATATTAGAGATAAAAAAGTTAAAGTATGTTCTAAATCAAAACCTCTGCTTTGTAAAATTTGGTATTGTTAGGGGAAAAATGTTGTTCAAACTTTGTTTAACGATATTTCGAGAACTGTTGGAATGTTTTGGTCATTAATAGTGGTCGATCGATGTGTCTCCAGATCACTTAGAGTTGATGAAATTTTAAACTAAACCAATTGAATTGTTTTCGAGGTACTCACAATATTCAGAACTAAAAGTTTCTGGAATGAATCTGAAGGGTTAGAGTAGTTCCACTTTTTAATGTATTGGTTTATTTATTTTTTTTTTTTTCAATTTCATATTATTGTTCTAACAACAAAACTGAATTATGAAAATGTATGATTTACGAGGAAAAAAAAATGGAAAATAATGATAACAAATTTTGCAGATTAGCAACTCAGATGAACATGGAGTAACACTTCTTGACATAACGAGCGATTTAAGTGGCACATACAAGTGTGAAGTATCAGAAGATTACCCTTCCTACTATACAGCAAAAAAGGAAGGAGATATGGAAATAGTTGGTAAGCATACACTACACATTTAATCCTTGCATTACATAACAATGCTTTAAGGTACAAACTTAAGTGTTCTTATCCAATACTCTCTTGGATTTGAATTTAAATGCTTGGCAAAAAGCCAAATGGAGGACTTAATTTTCTTACATATACTTGCAACCAATTAATACAATTTATGTAATTACCAGATGTTCCAGATATGGATCCGATGATTATCGTTGAGAAGCCAAAAGTGCGAGTGAATGAAACCCTCAGAGCAAACTGTACATCGGGCGCTTCAAATCCAGCACCTAATATTACGTGGACTCTTAACGGAGCTCAAGTTGGTATCACATACGTGACTCTTTTCAATGATTAAACTTTCCTACTCATTTCTCATCCTATTTTCTCCTGCACGGAAATTAGATCTGTTAAACGTTACGAAAGCTTGATTCAAAAGTCAATGAAAACTTTCAGACTTCCTGATATGAGATTAAGTTTTTAAGTTTTCAAATCCTTTTAACACTAATAATGGAATATCTCCATTTGACTTTCAGTATCAATTTCATTACTAATCAATTAATGAATATTTTACCCATGATTTATTTCATTACCCATAATTCAAGATCATGATAAAAATTTTAATTAAAGTAATTGAATTTTACATTACAGAAATATGAACTGTAAAAATTTTAATAATTTTTGTTTGTTTAATTTTTTTTTTTTTTGTTGAAGTAAAAAAGAATATCAAAACATAAATCTCTAGAATTAAATTTCAAAGTGACTTTGACTACTTTCCACTTAGAATTTCTAGATTCCTCTGAGCTTTTAAGTAACTTGAGACACACTGGGGGCATGAAGGAAAATAAATATAAATTTATTTTTACCTTTATTACAGTTCTTAAAAATACTAAAGTATCAATAATATCAATATTTCTCTCAATATTTATATTTGAACAACAAAAAATAAGAATAAATCCAAAATAAACTCATTGATGAAATGATGATCAACTTGTGGAGCAAGTAGTAGAGATCTAGGGAAAATATATATCATGAAAAGAAGTTTTAGTTCTGTCTATACTTGCAGATGAGTGAACAGTGAATAGATGGGAAAATATTAGCCCTTGAAAATTCAATATTGAAAGGATGTAATCTCTTGTTGGAATAAGCATGTTCTTATTCATGCATATCTTTCATCTCGATGCTTATTAATGTGTACTTCAAACTAATGAAAAGAAAAATAGATACTCTGTATTATAAACTTCTTCAATGATGAATATGTATGAATATTGATGCTAAGTTTTCTTCAATTCAAAAGGATAAAATTTTCCACTTTTACATTCATGTTTTTACTCACTTACTACAAGTACTTGATATTCACAAGGTAGTGTTTATACATAAAATCTCACTTGAAATTATTTTAATTTCTATTTTGATGCAGTTCAACCAGAGTATGAATTTAATTATTTGAATTTGTACAGTTACTGTCACTGATACAACTTACATTATAATTACAAAATAAATAAGTCTTTTGAAAACACTCCAATGGTAAAAATTATTTTTTGAAACGTCAAAATATTTTTTTTTTTATATTTCTTAAATTTCAAACCATATTCAGTAAGTGGGAACCATTGTACTTCAGTTTGATTGAAGTTGAAAGAAAAATTCATTCATTTTCAACATTGTGTCTATCAAAAACTCTACAATCAGTCTTCATACTTTTATTTACTTAGTTTATCATTAATTCTGACATTTTTAAAAGCAGTAGTATTTTGAGAGGAAGCATTAAAAATATTTCCTGATGAGAACTCTTACCACAAAACATTAGAAGAATTTATTCGATTTGATTTTTTCCTTTATTTTTCTACGCCATGTCTCTTTTAGCAGGATCTACGTTCAGTTGTAGACTCTATAATCGTTGAAAATTCAGGTAGTGCACTTATATAACTTTAAATGCCTATAACTCATGAACAAATGACCATACAATAAATCCTTGGAACATTTTTAGAAAACTACAGGAATATCTCTGAAATATCCTAATTGTACTTCTGAAAATATATCTTCAATGCTGACTATTTGTTATGAAATTCTCCAAAAATATTCATATCAAAAAAATTACAAAAGTCATTCAACAAATATTTTTTAAATAAATTGTTTCCTTTGTAAAAACTTACTCAACTTATGCAATCAGATTTAGAGATTTCTACATCTTGCTCAAAAATAATTATTATTCTTCATCTCATTAGGATTATTTTCATTGATAATAAAGCATTAATAACAATCTAATCTGAGGTACAATTTTACTCTAGAGAAATATGAAAAAGTTTTAATTTCATTTTGTATTTTTAACTGAAGAAATTAGTTACAAAAAATTGGTAAAACTCAGTGGTCCTTATCCTTTTAGTTTATCCAATATAAAAAGCTCAATCCTCTTCTTTTCCTAAGCCATACCATCAAGATTGATCATTTGACTTAAGTTTTTTTTTGCCTAACTTTTTTCTACTTACTCTCGAGTATTTGGTTATCTTCGATCATATTTCACATTATCTATACTACGTTTCTGAAGAGATTGTTTTATCTGGATGTATTACAATCTTATTAAGTTCTCCAGAAAATAGTCTATAAATACGATAGATAGTAGACCTAATCATTCTTCGATAAGTCAAAATGAAAAATTAAAATAAACTGTAATATTTCATATCATTAGTTGTTTGAATAATTTCGTAATTTTGATGAAAAAAATTTTATATCATGAATTTAAAAAAAAAAATTGAAGTAGTAATTGTAAAAGATTGTCATAAGAGTATTAGTGTCAGACTTAATTCAAAATATTTCTTTTCTGTGGGCAACCGCATGAAAAAGATGTACTTTAAGGCTCATCTCCGGACACTCTTAACATCCTAACTATCAATATTAAAGTAGAGCTCTTAGAAACTTTTTTGTTCGAAATTGTGTTTTCTATATAAAAGGCTCCATGCATTTTTGCTCAATCTACTACAAACCCATCTGCATAAATGATGAGAAATTAGATAGAACGGTCCAACAAGAATAATTATTCAATTCTTTCAAAACATTTTTTTTTGTTGATTATAATCAATTCAGAAATTAAAAAAAATTCATTTGAATATTTTCTTTTGCAATTATTCATACTTCAAGGTCTATAATTATATTCACAGTTGAGAGAAACTTTTATTATTGCTTTTTTTGTGTAAAATGATTGAATTCATAAAATGTCAGAACAAAAATTCACGAGTCTACATTTTGAAATGTTAATAATACTTTAAAAAACATTAGTTAAATTTTGTAGTAATTTTCTGTGTAAATTTTGTTGTTTTCTGTTGAAAATTAAACAAAAAATAAACTTGTTTATTTTCACAAGGCAGACAAGGAAGTAAGAAATGCTAAAAATATCCTAATTAAAACAGATATTTGTCAACTGTTTGTCAAGAAAAAATTCCAAGTGTCAACTACTTGAAACTTTCCTCTTAAAGTATCCCTAAAACAGATCGATTAAAAAACATTATTTACCTTTTTGGCTGTTTTAACAAGAAATAAAAACTTGAAAAAAATTAAACAACTACATCTCACAACAATAAAAATTTAAAAAGCTCCACTTTGGTAGGTAGGCTATAGTTTCTAGAATACTTTATGAGCTGAAAAGTGGAGAGCTCTTGTTAAGAGTAGTAGGAGTTACCAGTGGTAAAACGAAGCAGAGTAGCTTGAGAAATATTTACTCACGACTGAGAAGGATAGCTGTAAGATAAAGTAGAAAAAGCAAGAAGTAAAGTATAATTCCAAAAACGAGTAAAGAATTTAACAAAATATTTCATTTCATTGTAAGATATCAGTTTAGATTTTTTATTAGAATTTTTTTTTTCAGTTACTAAACCAGTGCAATTTCATTCTCAGTATTATCTTTGGTATATATAAACTCTGTTCAATGCAGAGAGAAATGCACATTGTAATTATTAATATCTGCTTAACAGACAAGTAGTTGGAAATCGGATCGTGACAAACAGCTTATATGAATTTACTCGGAAATGAACTACCAGTTAATTCTATTAGATAATAATTCCATCGTCCATTCATTTCAGATTATCCTGAAACTAATAGACAGATAAAAAAATAGAGCTCAATGAAAACTCAATAAATTATCAATTACATTTCAAAATTAATTTTAAATAAGACTACACTTAAATTTAATCATTCCATGCATGAAGAAAAATTATCTCTAAAAATGTTCTCCATGAAGATGTTTCAAAAAATAGACAAAATAGATCTTTTGTGAAACTATTTTAGTACTTTGAATTAGGAACACTTTTTTAAATGATAGAAATATCTTTTTTTCAACAAAATAATTTTTTACATTTTTAATTAATTAATTAAAAAGAACACTGCAAATTGTAATGTTTTATTTCAATGTACTAACTTTTATTACAAAGGGTCAAGAAAAATTTTAAGAAAATGGATAAGAATATTATATTATTCTGACTGTAGTCATATGTATCTGCTTGACATGTTTAAAATGTACATGAGAGCCAATCGAATTAATTGATTGATTAGTAAATTTTGTAAATTGAATACTCTACCAGAATATTGAACATGAACTAACCCATTTACAATATTTATTTGGTTTAATTTTAGAATTTTCCACGGCCCGATTGAATTAATAATGAGCTTTTCAATGACATTCAATCATGTTGATGTAAAAATAGAACTATCATAATTAATTACATCAAATCAATAATCAAATAAAGCTGTCATATTACCAAGAACTTATTTCATTATTCAATAACTCAAATCTATTAGATTACTTCTAAAGAACAAAACACAGCTATTTTTACTGAGATATTTTTGAATGGATTTTGCAAAATTTCATTAACTCAAATATTTCAAAAGACTCTCCCTCTATTTTTCTCTACTCTTTAGTAAAAAATTAATCAACAATTTTCAAAGTGAAAATTTAGTGAATAAACTTTAATCATTATTATTATATCTAGGATAGAACATTTTTTGAAATTTTTGTGGCATGATAACAGAGCGAATGTAAGAGAAGCAAGAAAATGAGGCAACAATGAGTAATGAGTGAGAAAAAGCAATGTAGACAGTGTCTAGAAAAAGAATAGATTTTATGATCTGACCTTTTCTTCTGTTTCTATGCTACTTCTTTTGTTTACTATCTGTTTTATTATTCCTTTTATGTCCAAAACACTCCGGAGTGATTTTGCAAATGCATTTACTCAATTATCGTTGAAACAAAAAACAATGAAGCTATTTCATGGAAGATTATCTTGTGATATGTTAAATGATTTTCAATTTAACATAGCGTTGATGAAATATTACTTCAATAATATCAAAATTCTAATTATATTTATTTAAAATAGTTCCAAACCATTAGAATTTCATCACTATTAAATTTGATCAAAACTACAATAGAGAACAATTACGACTTCTCTGAACAACATGTGACTGTTCTAGGCAAGATGCATAGTCAAACTTTGAAATTTATTAGTATTTAGAGGCCATCCCTATTTTACTCTTGACCCCTAAATTATTAGTACTTAAAGTTAACTGTGGCATATGGTAAAGTTACCAATCATCAATTGCAAACCAGAGGTCAACTCAAGCTATGTTGAATAATAAAATAGTTTTCTCTGGTGATTTATCAAATGAAAAAGATATTTTCCAGATTTGAACAATCAGATTGCTAGTCATTTCTGACCGGAACAGACATTTATTTGGTTCTATTGAATGCCACCTATTTGATCAGTTATTTCCTACAAAATGTCGATAAAGTGTGTCAATTAGCAGGAACTGACATTCAATAGACAGCGCAATTGATGAAGTATATTATTTGATAGTATTATCTTATTATGCACTTCATTATGTGGTCATAACATCAATGTTACATGCTACGACAGTTTCAATTACATCAAAAATTAGCACAGTTTTATGAATAAGTGTGGAATAATAACCCATCACTGTAAATCCTGGATTTTTAAAGCATGGTAAAATAATGCTCATGTAGGATATTTGATGTAAAGTTTCTCTAAATAAACCCTATGAGGTTACCACTAGATATTAACAGATTTGGAAAGGTTTAGAAGTTACCATCATGCTTCATAGTTTATGTGGAGTAATTTAACATTGAAGATACTTTATGTAAAATTATTTCCACACATTTTGAACTTGCAGTGTATTTAGTATATCTCATGTCCAGCACGAATGAGATTTTCTTAAGTTATTAAACATCAAAAGTCATGCAATTTACGAAGCAAACAAGTGAGTTTTGCTATTCATTCTGCTGTTACAATTCATACGTTAATAATCAATGATTCTAAAGCATTTTTCATATTCAAAAAAAAAATATGATGTCTGTTATTGCTATTAATAGCTTTTTTTATTGCTACAAATAAAGTTTATATTACAACAAATTTTTTCATTCATTGTGAAATTGTTAGGTATTGTTTTTATAGTACATTTTGTATCAACATTTGATGTTACACTTCACAATAAAAATTAACTGTCAATCACCATAAAAAATATACAAATTCATTCCCTTCAAAATATGCAAAATAAAAATAAACAATAATGAAAAGTATAACATTAAAGTTTCAATAGTAGCTGTCAAGCATAATACTTTACTCTTATTTTTAACAGGTTTTTCTATAAAAATTCTCTACTTATTATCAACAAAGCTCCAATAACTCTACAATTTACCTTCTATTTCTTATTTTAACACAACAAAGTATTATTTCGTAATAGCATTTAAGAGAAAAAAGCATCTAAATCCTTTCAAAAGTGTATCCACCTAAATGACAAATTTCAAAGAATTCAGTTCAACGTGGGTGGCTAGAAGCTTGTGACAGACAGACTGACAATGCAATCTTACAATACCAGTTTAGTTTTGACGTTAGAATGCGGAAATTTTGAAAGAAAAAATCACTCACTGGGTGAATGTTGGTTGTCTAGATAAGAGCGTTGACAAGAAAATACCACCAGATAAAATGTGAGTGAATGTTTACAGAATTGAAACCAATACTTGAAGGAGAATAACCTCACGCTCCGTTTATTCGTTTTCCTCCGAGTTGTATACCCTCTTGAATAGTGCTTTCTAATGCTCCAGTTTCTCTTGCAATCGTCAGCTTTTTTTTGTCTGTTTCAACATTCATCGAAGACAAGAATGGACATGTGTCGAATATAAAATGAACATCTTGACGTTATTCTCACAATTATTCTATTCAGTTCATTCATCATCATTGAACTAAATATTTTTTTGTTTGTATTACAGTTAAATAGTAATACCACGCAGTTTACATTACGCAACCGTACAGTACACATAGACAGGAAGTTCATGAGCCAGTCTATTTTTGAACTTCAAACAACCAAGGACCTTTTTCATGGTGGTTGGTTGCGGTTACGTTGCTTTGCTACCATCAATGGAATCTACACTGCCACTGCTGAGTACAACATTACAAAAGCTGATCCACTACGCTCACCCATCACAGGTGATGCATCTGCTCATCATGGTAGTAAGTTGGTCACGGTCATCCATTTCATTTACTTTTTCCTGCCATTTTTGATCATGTTTTAGAAAATATTACGAACTTTATAGCTAGATGTTATCTTTGAACGTAATCTCTTGATTCATGATCATACTCAACGTCACTATCTTTAATTCAAGAGTGCTTTCAAATTAAATATTCTGCATTTAATAATGAGATTTAGAGTGCTTATTGGATAAGCTTGGAGCCATAAGAATAAATGAATACAATAAGATCAAATCATTCGAAAGAAAAATTATTTAGATTACAATAATTTTCTGGGCTTATTTTCAATTTTATTAATATTATTAAAAAATATACTCGATTATTTTGTAATAAATTATAAGTTAATTAAATTTAATAAATAAATAGTTGGTAATGGGATACACTTTTATCTATCAAGATCATGTCAAGAACGAATTATAGAAAAGGAAGTATCTTTTTTCATTTTGTCCTCATATAATTGTTTTCAAGAAAGAGATTAAATGAAGTTTTAATTTTATTTTTTAGTTTGAAATATTATTAATAACTTTAAACACCTCAATCCTTTCTCTCATGGCTTTGTATCTGAAACGGACGCAAAACTTTTATTTTCCGGTTTGATTTACTTTTGTAAGTTCTGAGCAATTCAGAAGATTGTAGAACTCTCGCCTGCAGTAAAACTTTGAGCAATTTTTATAAAAAGGAAATCAGAATTTTCCAATTCAACAACTCCGGATTTCCTTTTTTTTTTTTATTTCGCCTGTCTTTCCTCAGAATGTTTAGCTTCGATAAGCCATGAGATTTCGTTACGAAAATGAAACTATTATCATTCTTAGTATATAGCTATTATATGATTTTTTTTCTTGCTCCATTTCTACCCTATCCTATTCTGTAAATAGTAAAAGATACAATAAAACGTAGACTTTTATTTCTCAGGCGTAGAATGTTAAGTAAGGCGCCAGGTTTATAGACAAAAACTAGTCAAATATTTAATATCGATTTTCTGGAATTCCTTGGAGAATAACTTTATTTTGCACAGTACTTTGAGAAAATAAGAAATAAGATGTTGACAGTTTTCTATCTCTACTGTCCATTCGACGAAATTGTCTTTCCATTTTCTAAATAAGTCGTCAAGTCAACGATCTTATAAAAAACATCCATTTTACCGACATATACATATACTTTTTCACTCGTTTATATATTAAATTCCATCCTTCATACTTCGCTTACTCTTCCACATTAAGTCCACACCAAATGTTAGCTTCCATAACTGCTTCATTTACCATCTAGTTATTTTGACCCAGATTTTAATTTATCTTTTTCTAAATAAGAAATGATCTTAGCAAAGTTTTATCCTTTAATTTAAGAGAATATTTAGTGATTCAATCATTCTAGAATTCTTGTTATTATTTACAATTATCTCTAAATAGTAAAGGAAGCAAAATTAAATACAGTCTAATTATTTGAATAAATATCAATTGAGATTAATTTAATCTACAAACACTGTAATAAATTAAAGGATATGTCTTCTGAAAAATTTTTAATCTTTAGGTTGATTTCTTACGATTTTCATTGATGCATAAAAAATCAGAACAGAAAACTTCTTGATAGACTTGAAGTTCTTCTTTCATTTGAAACTATACAATAAAATTTTTCCTTTTGCATAATTGATGCTTTTTATAATCCATTGTTCGATGACACACTCAAGATCTGTCCTAAGATATCCTAGATTAACAATAACTTTTTAAAATTTATTAAAAATTTTATTTGGAAATAAATCTTTAAAAAAAAAATCAACTCCTTTTTGCTAAGCACTTTTTAAATTAATCTCACAAGATAACTTTTAAAAGTCTTCTTCTTCACTCATATGTATTTTTTTTTTCATCAAAAAGTTGAAATGAAGTCATATTCACAATTTTTTGTTTCTATTTTATCACATCAACTGTAATCTTCCCTCTAAAGTATAAGAGTATTTTAACCAGATTGTGTCACTAAAAATGTATTTAATAAAATACTAAGTAGTACTTATTCAACTACCAATATTTATTACTCTGTAGACTTGAAATGATAATAATTTAGATGACTTTAGAACTTTTTGTTGGTTTCTTTAATACCATAATAAACGAAATAGCATGTAACAAATGTTCGTTTCTTTTATTTTATTCCTCATTATTCTACCTTTCTTTTATTGTATCCACAACAGTTAGAGGTACTCAGAAAAATCAGTTTCATCTAGATGAAAGTCAACGACTTTATTATCTCGTACATAATTTTTTTATGGAGCAAATTTATATATTATTAAAATAAGTGGCCAGTTTTTCGATAAATATACCACAGTGATAAATGTTTATTATTACTTTCCAAATATTGTCACTGACGACGATTTGATTTTAAATGTCATTGGTTGATTTTAAAATAAATAATTCAACTCAATATAAATCTTTTTAAAAAATAAAATTAATTTTGGTGTATTATCAATATCGATTGATACCCAAGAATGTGAGGTCAAAACTCATAGGTCAGTGGTCACCTTAAATATCCCATCAATGAAATAGACACTTGACCACAAGTATTTAATTAATTTCAAGTAGTGGTTGTCCATTAAAATCACAAATGAATTACAATCTTCAAATGATGAATTACAAAGTTTAGTATTTAAATTGATAAACTTTTTCATTCGATTTTATGTAATTATACTAACTAGTATTTTTATTCTCTTCCCTCTTCAGTTATACAGCTACTATTCAATTATTCAAAAATACACAAGCAAACTTTGGTAGAAATGAATTCTCCAACTCTAATTCAATAACTGACAGTAAAATTATCAACAAAAAAAAACTCGTGTATTCAAAAAATTTTTCAATAGTATTTATCGAATAATTATGTTCAATAATAAAATAATAATTAACAAATACTCACTTTATTTCATACAAAATTGAAAGGTAATATTTAAAAAATTTTTAACTTTTTTTTTACGTTTTTTCGTACTTATTATTGAAGTAGATGTTAAATAATTGTGAAAGGATTATTCTTGACATCAATATATTATTTTTGTTGAATGAAAAAGAGATAAAATTTTAATTGTGATGAATTTTCTAAACGAGCCACGAATAATTATAAAAAAATTTTATCATCATTATTTGTTTGATTTTTATTCTCAAGTTTTTTTTTGCTAGGAATTTTTCTGACCCTTTCTGTCACCATTGCTCATTACTTCTCAACTCTCCATTAGGATTTTTCCATAAATTTGAATTTAACATAATTCATTGCGATTTACTTCTGTCTACTTAAAACCCCCAAGTTCTTTTTGCTAATACGATTTTTTCCTATTGGAGTGAGTCTTTTATTCTGCCACGGCAAGAAGTTTGATAAGATTAATAGTCTAAAGTGAAATAGAAAATAAAGCTCAGAAAATACTAAGTCAATTCAAAATTATAAAATACATATTTAAAGTGATAAAGCAGTCTACTTTTTATTTACCATTTTATCATCATTAAGTAATTCATGTTATTTAATAAATATTTTAATAATATTAATAATTTATCTTGTATTTATCTTATATTCAACAATATTGAGTATCTGACAATAAAGTAACTATAAGTCAACAAAATGAAATTCTTAAAAACAATTTATCTTTGTCCTTTTGTTTCCTGTAAAAGATTTTCTTGGTTTGTTTGACAGAAAACGGATGTGAAACGGCATTACTTGGAACGCTAGAGACCCAAAGAATGAGGACATTCCGTCTGATTGCTGGTACTATACTGTTATTGAAGCTTAGCAGGTAGCTCCATTCATCCATGGACATCAAAATGTGATCAACATTGTCCACATAAATCCTAGTAGTCTAGGGCTTCCAACATACTGTACGTTACGTGTTAACTACATTTATGAAGTTATGGAGTAGATAGAAAATTCATTTTTATCTAATTTTAAGATTACATTTAAATAACCGATACTCAACAGCGATTCAACCAATTTCAAAAATTATTAATCACAAAATTTAATTATAAGAAACGATTTAAAGAAAAAATTCAATTTATACTTATTATTATTGATTCTTTTTAATGTTTCACCTTTCTATGTAAAATGTAAATTGCTGTTAAAAAAAAATAAATAAATAAATAACACATACAAAAATATGAACTATATTTAATTTAATAATGACAAATTTTCCATATTGTAATCTATTATTTAATCTGAATATAGCTGATCACAAAGGATTCTAACAAGGTAAATCAGGGGTAGATGGCCAATCAAAATAATTTCTAGAACCATTGACTAAATATCACTAGTAGCTATATAGTTCACTTCGCATCATGTGTGGGATCTAAGCTACGACCAAAAAAATCAAATAGTAGCAACACTCAATCAACATTTCTATAAATTATTTTAATTAGCCATCTACCCCGGACTTACCCTACTGGCTATTTCTGCTCACTCCAATAAAATTGAACACTATTTGTACTTGTTTATTTTTTCTAATTTTAAAATCTTTAAATCTTTATCAAGATGCATTCCGACATTAATTAATTTTCCGTTATACTATAATATAATTTAAAAAGGAAATACACTAATAAGTGATAAGTTTTAATTAAACGTATAAGTTTTACAATGATCGAAAAATTTAGAAGAGACATTTACAAGCAGCTCCATTTGAATCATTATTTTTATTTTCTGTCTACTATTATTTCTCTTTTTTAGCTTCTAAATCCACAGATTTTTTTCATTTACTGTTTAAATGGTTTTTATTTTAATGGATTCAATGGGCTAGTCACGATTGCACGATTAATTTATATCAATCACAACGAGTTTAAAGCAATACATGTGCTACAAAAAAAATAGTGGACTTTGATAAATTATTTTTTTTTTTTTTTCATCGTTTCCCATACAAATACCTTTCTATGTTATTTTTAACTTAATCAAAGACTTTGAAAATTTCATACTACAGCATAAAAAATTAGGTAGCAAGAACAAAAGAATTCGTTTGATGTTTTAAATTCGTGATTTTATAGAAATCATTATTAAAAGTGAATATCCAATTTATGTCATTGTATGATCGATTCCTTTTAATTAATCTGTCTACAGAGATTTTCTTTTTAGAGGGATGTTTTTAACTTCTCTAACTAGCAAAATATGTTTTTTTTTTTGTTATTCACTTCATATTGATATCATTCAACAGTTGATAATAATTCATTTTTTGTTCCATAAAAAAGAAAAGCTTACAGCAATAAAAATTACAAGGACAGAAGATTTGCATCATTCCAAATGGAATTAACTAGTGACTAAAGTTAAAAAAATAACCCGTACAAAAGGAGTGCTTTTCTATTATGCAAAGCACATCCGTTGTCCTCAGAAGAATAAAGAGGGAATTCAGCAGGGTACGAGAGGAATACCTACTTGAAAGAAATGTGGAACAATACACAATCAAGCAGAACGAAAGAAGATAATTCAGTGAATATATACTAGTACTTATAAAAAGGGTAAATCGAAAAAATCACTAGCCATGTGTTCATTTACTCAAGGTAACCTCATCCAATATGATTAAAAAGTTAATCCCTTATTTGATCCTTTCATTTGAACTAATCTAATGTTTAGAAATAGCTTGAAAGTTCACTTTTTTAAGCTTGGTAGAATTTTTTATTTAAACTCAAAGAGAGATTTATACTTTTGAATCAATACACGACATGATGACGATGTCGGATTATCATTCTAATGATAAAAAAAAGACATATGTCGTGATTTATTTTTCTACAAATATATCACGAAAAACTCAATCAATATTATGTAAGTTATAATATTAATAGTCTGTTGAATATTAAAAATATATTGACACTATTTTTAAATGTGTTTAGTTTTCTTTTTTTAATTTATGAAATGTGAAATATTTTATAAAGTTTCACAATAGATTGTCAAATATTTCTTGTTATTATATGTGTGACAAGCTAATTGATACAAAAATGAAAGAGTTTTTATTTTAACTCATAAAATGAATTACTGATTTTCACAAATTTAATAATGTAATGAAGTTCCTTCATTACTGTGACTCTCATTAGTATATTAGTATCTCATAGAGGACAAGTTTCTTACAAAAAAAAAAAAAAAAATCCCTCGATATTTCTGTAATCATGTATTTCTCTTTTTTTATTTTTATTTTCCACATGAAAAGTACTTTTATGGTTTCCAGTGATGACTTAGTGCCTTTATTACCTCTCTCAACGTGATCAATAAATGCAGACATGATTTAGAGTAATTCAAAAGTCATAAAAAATACGTGTTTTAAAATAACAGTTAATTAGAGCTTTTATTGAGATTACTTTGGTATAGTATAAAAGTAGTTTATCAGTGTTAAATGTTAGTAGGAGAATTTCCATTGGCAGTGTGGTAAATTGAAGTGTCACAACGATTAGTGTAGTATGCTCCTAACCGAGACAGACATTCACATGCCATCAGAAAGGCTTGATTTTGATATATAAAGCACTGAAGTTCAATTCACCAAAGTCATTAATGATTAACAATGGACTTCACTATTTATTATCACGTTGATGTTTCATGTTTCATGTATCGTTAATTTTTAATACACAGACTACAACAACACATAATACCATTTCAGTTGTCTCGAAATGGCATATTTAATTGTTATTTATTATTGAACCAACATTATTCATTTATGTCAACTGAATATGATACATAATGAATGCAGAAATTGTTCACCATATATTCTTCACTGATATATGTTACATAATAGTTACATCGTATGGTCTTAAGTGTATTTATCAAACATCATAATATAATAATCAACAATTCTATAATTGTATTCTCCAAGATATATACCAGGAAATCATAACATTTCATGAGTTCCGTAATCCCTTGTCACTGTCAACTGTATTATATGCTCTCAAACATTCCACCATGCACGTAAAATTACGTTGTTAGCATTGTACTCATTAGTGATGTATTCTACTTACACTAAAATGTATCATTATTCGGTGGAACAATCTGTACTTCAAGAAGACTATATATTTTCTAACTACAAAGATAACTTAATTATATTATACAATCGGTGATATTTATTCTATGTTGTTTTGATGGAGTTCTAGTTGAGTTAGTACAGATGTTTGGTAGGTTAGTTGATGTGAACGTCAGTTAATATTATTAATATAGAATATGATAGATAATTACATTTTAAAAATATCAGTACTCTTTAGTGGTCTGAGTACGATCCAGAAAGCCCACATGACTAACTTCCTAGTGGGGAGGATGAAAAGATTTTTTTGTTTTTAAAATCAATCATTATTATCATTTAAACAAACTATAATAAAGACGAGACACTCATATGAATGAATGCCATCATAAAATTTTAACCTGCTACATGAACAATAAGTCTGAGTTCTTTCCAGTGATTTTCTGAAGAAAGTAGAGTTATCAGGTAGTTCACTTGTAGATCATTATAACAAATCAAACAATAAAAGAATTACTCTCAAAATGTTTTACATATTATTGTATGTCTTAAATACACTCGCAAATGCTAAAATGATAATGCAAATTATTTTACTGATATGTAAGGATTGGACAGGTACTAGAATGTTCCCATTATCTGCCATTTCCTATTTTTCCTGAATTAAAAATTATACTATCCTTTTCTGAGAACAATGTCTACTTCCAAATATTTGTAATTTCGATTTTAAAAGCTACTTTTTTGGGAGAACAATAATCTCTTTGAGAAGATCTTCAAAGTTATTATTGATAGATATTTAAAGACATCTGGTCTACACTTATTTCTACCATAAACAAAATATAAGCAAATCAATCGAGCGTTGCTAATAATAACTGTTAATTATTTAATATAAGACATTAATAAACATAAACGAGATTCATTTTTTTATTTTATAATATCATAAAAATGATGAAAAACGTAATTTAAAAAAATTATCAGCTTAATTAAATATAAAAAAGAAGAAAGGAAAAAATTTTTTTATAATATAAGTAATGTACTCTGAAAGAATCGCAGCATACTAAATTGATTAATGTATTTTAACTGAATTTCACGTTCCATTTACTCGAAAATTTTAATCCTTAATCTCATATTACAGTTTCAATGCTAAATATTTCATTAAAAAAATTTCACCTTCAATAAAAATAAATTTAAAAACCTAAAAAAAAAATTATCTCATATTACACTGTCATATTAACACTCTGCCAATTAAATTTTCTTCTAAGCTAAATTACATACTCTATCTACTTATTATACATCACTTTTATTATCAGTTTCATTGTGAAAGATAAAATCATGCTGGTTTATTTAAAGTAAACATTCTCTTTGTTAGAAAATTCGGTTTTTATTCTACCTTTCCATCTTTTATATAATCCGATTTTCAGAATAACATTACACGTAAAATTACATTTCTACAATGAATACGACTTCCAATCTAATTATCCTTGAACTTACTTTTTTTTATTTATCAACATATATGAGCAATTAAAAAATTCCCTTCTCATCAAAATAATCCAAAGTAAATGAGATTTTTTCATTTGTTAGTTACAAAAATAAATTATATTATTCATCTCATACATTTGTAGGTAAAGTTTTTTTTTTTTTTTCTATTCGTTTATAGATAGAAGATATTTTTTGATATATAGAAGAATCTATCAGCAAAAATTAGAGAGCCCCGCTCGTCATCCTATGGACCAATTTTGTATGTTAACTTGGGAAACGTTAGCTTGCGTGGGCGAAATGTCGTTACCAGCTTGCTGGATAAAATTAGGTTACGTCAACGCCATTGATAATCTCGAAAATGTTCGAACGAGTCTAGTTAACGACAGGATATCTCATGAGACTTTCAGGCATTTTTTAATTCTACCTTGACTAGTTTCATACATCATCGTTATAGAATAAGACAGATCAACATATATTTGTCTCCACTCTGACATTAGTATAATATATTTTTGGCAGTTTTGAAAAATTCACATGAAAAATGATTTTCAACTTAAATTTTATAATGATATTAAAAAAGTTTTTTTTTTTTTGTTAAAAAGATTTTATTATCATGATCCAATTGCCTTGACTTGGAAATCGATATTTTTAGCAGAAAATATCCTAGAATCGCCTTAACTCGATTGGAGCACTCTCGAAGAAATTTTAAAGGATTATTTGAAATTGTGCCATCTCTGGCTCAAATATAATTCAAAAATCACATGAAAAGAGAGGTTTTTTGATGCTCTAGTAAGGTGAGAATTATAATAATATATTATAAATTATATAATAAATTGTTTTTTTCAAATAATAAGTTTGAAAAATTTAAATCAATTAAATTAAATGTAATGCAAAATAACTAATTGAATTTTCAATTTAAAAAATGCAATAATATGTAATTAATAACATATTAATATCATATACGCATTGAAATACAAATCTGAGAAGTATTAAATTGCAGTAAAAATTAAATCGATTTGTACAGAAAATGTAATAAACCAAATACTTCAATGAGTAAAGTAGAATATATAATTTCAATAATTTTAGTATAATAACACAAAATAGTCATTGATATTTAATTTCAAACATCTATTTAAATGTTTAAATAATATCAATAAATACATACTGATGAATCGTTGAGGTTGTCTTTCAAACATATTTAGTCAATATCTGTATTTTTAATTGATAATTCAATCACAAACAAGAAATATATTTTACCTGTTGATTGCTAATTTATTTATACACTAATAGGAGGATTGAGTCTTCTCAACAAAAATTTATTAATAATTAATAACTATTTGATTTAGCTAGGAAATTCACGGAATATTGATCATTAGTTGATGAATATCATCAAACATTAAAATGACACGATTCAATTTGAAATAAGATTAAGAATATTCGATTAAATTACTTTCGTAAATTAAAATACGAGTATATTATTTTATCATCAACTTTAAAATTTGTGATTAGTAGATTTGCATTAATTTAAAAAATTAAGAAATAATTTGGGTATAATGAATTGATAAGCTTCATAAAGCATTGCTATAAATTTTAAAGTAAGTCAGAAATTTAATAAAATTTCAAATTAAATCTCGAATTAATTATTAAATATTTAATTACTTTATCATGTATTGATACATGAAATTATGAGTCAAATAAATGTATTGGTAACGATTGATATTCAACTGTCTAATTTAGAATACATACAATTTAATATGTATGAATTAAAATTGAAGAGCACGTTTGATTTAATTACTTCTTTGCTATCAATTTTTTTTATTGTATTTCGAGTATACTGAAAATCATCTAATAATTGGAAACACTTGAGGTAGAAAATTGAACTCAATTAATTGATTCTAAGTCACCCAAGTAAGGATAAAGCTAGGTAAAGCTGACCTACAAAAAACTTTAAACGTCGTTGTATATTTAAGTTTACTAGTCAACTAATTTTTTTATGGTATTTTATTTAGCAAATAAAAAAGTAGAATAATTGATTTTTTTCGATGGATCAAGAAAGAAAGAATGACAAATAAAAACAGGGAAAGAAGTAACTAATCTAAAGAGCAAGTTTATGAGGAAAGTTAGCGTGTTCGTTTGTAAAACAGTTTTTTGTCAAGGCTTTGGTTTTATAATTATTACAGATTTCTTTAGCTTATATAAAATGCCATTATAATAATAATCAAAGTATTAGAAAGTTTAAACGAAAAATAGTTCTTATTTACATCTTTTAATAAGACACATTGTTAAACTTTTTGTGTCTAATGAAACTTTCTTAAACAAATAAATTAACTATTTAATGGCATTAAAAAATTTCTGTCATGCATTAAGATTTTAATTTACCATGTAAAAAATATTAGTTTACTTTAACACAAAAATTTCTTTTTTAATTATAAGTTTCCGTAAATTTTTTAATTCTCAGATTTAAATAAAACCAATTAAATGATCAATTTCATGTTCCATGATTTTTTAAAGGTTCTATCCATTAAAATTGAGAATTAAATCTTTTTTGAATCATTTGATGACCACCTGTCTGTCTGTCTACCTATTCATCAGAACTATCACTGATGATACCGAAAACCTATGGAGTATGTACTTCTGATTAAACTACTTCTAAAGTATGAGTTCTACTTGCACTAGCTTGTTTTCCACGAAAAGTTAATATTAATAGTTAAAAAATGATTCGTACAGTGATTTATATTGTTACATAAATATTATTAATATTTGTTGCCCAAGTACAATACATTATGTGACAGAGAAAGTAAAGTTTTTAGAAGAATACTCACATAAAAAAAAGTTACAACTTCCAATACTGGCTGTGTGAATGTAAAACTACCTGTAGTTTTCATCAAGTTTTTGTAGAAGGAAAAGTTTCTTCCATAGCCATCGTACTCTGTAATGAAAGAACAGAAATCAAACTATTATTTACATCTTAATCAACTAATTTCGAAAAATGCATTGAGTACTCGTTTTATACCTTTGACACTAAAGCAAGTAAAATCAGTTAATAAAGTGACAAACTTTAAATTTGTTAGAAGACTTTGTTCTCAATAAACTTGTAGTAGAGGAAGAATATTTGTCAAATAGTTATTTAATAAAAAAGAAATGTAATATCACACTGAAGTATACACGAAGATGAGTAAAGATACTTAATCGAATAAATAAATATAAACTTTATCACATTCAAAATGCTTAGACTTATATTTTATACCATTTATTTATGATTTTATTGTGAAACTAAGGAATGTGTCATATCAAGAATGAAAAAGACTGAGTAGCAGAGTACAAAGAAAAAGAAAGCGGAAAGTGAAATTTCTTGCACAAGCATATTTTGTTTTTTGACATATTTTATTCACTCCACTTTGCATGTGCAAATGTGTATCTGGTTTTCTGTCTGCGTAGCAGACTTTCTATGAATTTCTTACTATACCTGAGAGTCTGCATTTGTACGCAAATATGTTTATCATCTACAAGCATGTTAGAATCAACTGGAATTCTCAACACTCTAGGAAGTTCATTTAAACAATTTCAACAATGAATAATTAAAAACCGTCAATGTAAACGAGTGTATATTCATAACCATGACTTATTGAATAAAAACAGTTTAACTTTTATGATCCTCATATTTTAATGACTCTGAAAGAAAACAAATATTGAGATATCTCTTATAACTTTATTAAGCTTATTAAAGTTCCAATAGCAAGCTATGAAGCGAATGATGATCAATTTTTTTGATCGAATAAATTTCTATGAAAAAATTTTTGTTAAAATTGATAACGTGTTCTAGATGAATGAAACATCTCTCACATAATAATATCGAAAGCATTATATTATAATGAGGTCTTATTTATTATGTAAGATATTTTTACTTCTACTAATGATACTTCCAAATAAGGTTTTATTTATCTCATGAAAAACAATTATTTATAATAAAAATCTGTTTTTTTTTTTACTTACATAATTTTTTTCATTATCATTGAATATTAATAAAGTTATAGTGGGATTGAATTCATCTAACTTTGTTCATTAAATATTTGATAACAAACATTACCAAATTCTTCTGCCAATGCGTAGCTTGTGATGTTGTTGACATGCCAGTTGACTCATAGACTAATTCCAATTATCGCGATTTTACATAAGGTAATACATTTATTCTATTTATAAATAACGAAATTAATTGACTTTTAAGTGTCATTTTTTTATACTGTATTATAATAATATTACAAAATTAGACGTGATGTAAACATTCCTTCGGTTTTGCCATTTTTTCTAGAATATTCTACTCGCTAGTCAAATGACGCATTATAGAAATGATTTATACTACGTGAGTCAAATCTGTTATCGATTCTTGTTTACAAGATCCGCCATTGTTGCTAATTTTATAAGACGAGATTAAAAACTCCATAAAGTAATTAATTTATTAGTAATATTTATTTATTAATTAAAAATATTGGATTATATAAATAGTTAAAATGATAAAATATTTTTTGAAAAAATATTATTCATTTGGTTTTAAGATATATTGCAATTATTATACATAGCAATTATTATATACATTAGCCTCAACTCTGAAGATATTCTAATCAGTATAATTAATTAATCTGCAAATTACATCACAGCAATTAGGTGAAATTGTTAACAATATTATTCACCAATTTCTAAAAAGCGAATCTTTATATATTCACCTGAGTAAAATGGCTAATGATAGGTATTAGTAATAATTGGTAATTAGCAGAACATAATTTGACAAGTTGTCAGCATATTATATCAAACTTATTCGTGGTACTCGTATTATCAGCATGTTTATTTAGAAATTTGAGAAAATTAAAATAAAGTAGTTTTGAGTTATGATTAAATTGGTAAGACATTGATAAAATTTAATGCATCAAACGTAATATACTAACTACTGTATTTGATAACTCTTCTTCGATATTGAAATTTAGTTTGCTAATTAAGAGGGAAATACAGAGGTAAATCATTTAAAATTAGTTATATCTAGAATTTAATTCAATAATTTCTGAAACATGATTTATTTTCTCGAATATTTTCTATACAAATAAACTGATAGATTCCACCATTTCACAGGTGCTAATGACGTAAAGATGATTTTTATAAAGAATCTACCACCGCATACTTCTGGAAATAAACAACAGTAAATTGAGCTCTAAAGCTAGAGAGTTAGCTCATGAGCTAATTGTAACTGCAAGTGGAATTCATTTACCCAAAGTAGCTATTAAATGAGCAAGTGAGGATAAAATCAATATACAGGATAAAATCAAAGCAGTTTTGTGGTTAATTTGGAACAAGTGTAAGTTTATAAAGATCTCATTATATCAGTGAGACAATTGAAAACATTGGCACCTATTATGCAACTTCTAGAATACCCACTACATTAATAGACCTCATATTTAATTTGGTACATCTAATTAACTATGGTAAAAAGATTAATTGAAGAGAAGGGAAATGTAATTAAATATTTTCTATAATAATTATTGGAAATGTATAGAATGGGAGACAAGCTGGTAGTAATATTCATGTAACGATTATTCTGATGAATCATCATTCCACAATTCTAAAATGATAACAATACTACGCCTAATTTATATGTTAACAATGATCATTCGCACCCTCCGGCATGCAAGTGCATATGGGTTCATATACAGCTTTATCATTAATTTATTGGCCATTGTACATAGATATATCAAAACAAACAATCAAGCGGTTAATGTGTAATTTCTCGGCAGTCTTAATGTTCTCATGTGGAATCTTTTAATCAATATTGAAACGTGATACAGTAACCTAACTCTAGGGAACGTGAATGAATTTCCGATTGCTTTCACAATCTCATCCTGTTTCCCCCAGCCACTTCAGTGATTGAGTCGAGAATAGCGTCCAGAATTTCATAAGATCTGATTACAAAATGGATTTGAATGCTAACTAAGTTGTGATAATTACTAATTTTAACACCGTTCTATTGATGAAAACCTGAAATTTTTTTTAGAAAAATTTTTTTTCGCTCATTTTTGATACATAGACAATCTAAAGAGGTCACAAACCAACTTTGTAAGGTAAAATAACATCATTCATTAATATTTAAATTAATTCACATAACCATTTTGAAAGCAGTTCTTGCACAGTTTGATAATATCTCTGGCAGTTTCTTTAGAGTTAATGCATTATCATGATCACTACACGAAATCTTTGTCCTCTATAATTCATAGCATGAATTTTTAATTAATGACATTACTGAGTAACGTTTCAATTGTGGTACATATTTTTAAAAATTCTTTTGCACTTTCATTTAAAAAAAAAAAATAGAATAATAATATTACTTACATAAATTATTATAAAATAGTCAAAAATGTGATTTCATTTTTTATATTATGACTTGTTTTCCTTCATTCTTTCATAAATATGACATAAAATTTTTATTTGATAAAATCCTTTGAATACTATGACTAATTATTATGTTATTTTTTAGATGGCTGTCGCATTAAAAAAAAAAAACAACATTCGAAACAAACATGAAGAAAAGTGTCGACGAGTTCCCCTTGCATGTTGACACGGATAAGCTGAAAATGTATAACGATGCATCTGTTGTAAGTATAAAAATCCGGAGCACCGTAAAACGAAATGGAAAAGAGGGCTGAGGGTTGTCGGAATTGAATGCATTTCAAAGGATCCTCGTGGACTGACGGAGCTTTTTCCATGCAATATGTGTCAGACTCAGCAGCTTCTTTCTCTTTTTGCTCAATTTTTTTTCTTTTTATTACTACAACTAAGCTATGCACTACTAAACGAAAGAATTTCCTTTGAAACAGTCCTCTTAATATTAATCTCCAGAAAGTTTCACACATTCGGTTTCTTAGTTTATAACAATAATTACAAGAGTAAATTCAATTTAAAAAAAAAAATTCATTCATTTAAATTCTAAAATTAGATTTCGGTTCAATTATCGGTAATTTTTGGGAATTATTGGGTTGAAGAAATGCAAATAATCAAGTCAACAAATAATAATACCAAAATTTAGAAAGTGTTCTCTAATAACTTTTGCTATTGTTTATTTCAGAGGTTGATATATAACAACTAAAAACAGAGCAGATCATTAGAAGTAACAGACACCTGAGTAAAGACGGAAGCTCGTTATCTGAATCTGTTTGGTATAATTTAGTTGCTCTCTTCACTATTTTTTATTGTCTCTCCGCCTTTTCACATTTTGCTTTGATTGTGTACTTTGGAAACTTCGAGGTAAATAAACGAAATTGTACGTAAAATAAACAATAACAAAATTTTCTGTTCGAGGTATATAAAAGTTATTGAAGAACTTTTCAATCTAAATGTTTAAATAATTTTTTATATCGAATAATTTCGTGCTTCATGGAGCTACAAGCTTGAAAAATATTTTTTATTGGTATAAAAGTAAGATAACTTTAATAAAAATTTCCCATGAAAAGTTTACTGTTATTTTTTATATTAAATTAATGAAAATTTTATTCATTAACAAGAATAAACGCGTATTTGAATCGAAAAGTAGTATGTAACATAAAAACGTTTATTTTCTTTTAACTAACATTTATTTACTAAAAAAATTGCCAGTTCTTTCACTCATGACTCAATAACTTTATTTTTCATTAACAGGGTTTTATTAAAACTAAGTAAATAATAAAATTAATTACACATACTATGTTGAAAAATATCAATTCAGTAATGAATAAGTTTTAATTAATAAATTATTATTATTCAAAAAGTTTATTATCATACATGACAATACTTATTATTTGCAGGATGAATTGCTCTGTAAAATGAAATCCAACGAAATGTCTTAAAGCTAAATTTAATCAAAAAAACAATCAATACAATTTTGAATATTTACTGACGATGGAATCTAAGAGACTAAAAAGTTTAATGAAAGAAAAAAAGCTGGCACTGAGTCATAATTTCATATTTTCATGGAGTTGCGAAACTTTAATGACAGACTGTGGGTCGGTTAACCATTAATTTATTGTGGACAGGGTGTAAAGTACTTCTAGAAGGACATACTTTTTATAGTAGTTTATTACGTTTGTATAAATATTTATGAAGTAAAAGCTATCAAAAGAGAAATTTAATATGCTTTAAATCTCTAACTGGAATGTAGTAAGATCCTTCCTCATAGTCTGTAAGAAGTATTTATTTTTTAATTACTTTATTACATTATACCAAAATTGTACGTGCTTTGCGGTTGAAAATTTACTACGGAGTATTAATTTTCTATCATATCTGAAACTTGAGAAAGATGAACCTACCACAGAATATGATAGTCTGGAATCTGTACTAATTCCAGTAAATGGATAAGCGAATGTAATTAGCATAATCTCGGAAACATTATCAACTGATCAATGTATGCGCAGAATTATTACAGCTTTATTAATATGCAGTTAGTTTGTATCATTGATATTCATGAAAATATGTAAAAATAAAAATGTAAAAGAACTTCATTGGGGAAAGTTTCCGTTAATTATTATGAATCATTTAAAATAATTAGTTTTTATCAATAAGTTTGTAAAAGTTTCATACATAATCAAGAAATAGTGGAAGAAGTTAGAAACAAAAACTAGGCTATTTACTTTACTTGAAATTTATTTTTATTAGAAAATAGATTTACTTTTTATTATTCTGATATTTCACTCTCTAAAATGTTGTTGAAAAGTACAATTGATGTAAACTTTTCTTTCAATTAATTAAAGATGAAGAGAAAATTTAAAACTTAAAAGAAGCTCAAAGAATTTCTACCAAATGTTCATAGTGAAACTTTAACTTACTGTAGTTGTTCCTGTTAATTCATCAACTTTGTGGTATCCGTAGATGAAGTTAATTGAAGAAAATTAGGTACAAAATCCGGTAAAATTTTGCCGATGATTTTACAAATATATTTAAAAGTTAATTTATATCTTTTTATTTCTTTGGTATTTTTTTAGTGAAAAATTCTTGCTCAATTTCACAAAGCCGTATTTTTACAAACGACTATCGAAATTGAGAAAAACCAGAGAGAATTTAAAAAAGTTTAATCTTTTAAATGCTTTTTAATCCATGAAAATCTGTTTTTTTGTCTTTTGTAAAGATATGTCCTTTAAAAGTTACCAGAAACTTTTCATTGTCCCTTAATCTCATATACATATAAACTCTAAAAAAATAATAATACTCAGTTATATTAAATACATTATTTTATTTAATGTTGTTATAGCTGTGAAAACAAAAAAAAAGAAATCAAATAGCAAGTATTAAAATTTCCATTAGCATTCATTTTAAATACCAAATACTTTTTCCGATTTAAGAAAATACATGGAAGTATTTAAATGATATTGTGTTTTTACTTGAGTACATTTAATTTAACAACAAGAAGAATATACACTTTCTAGATAACATACTCCGCCTCTACTTTTCTGTTTAAGAGTTTTTGGAGTGCACATGTGTTTTCTTCTACCTCCCTCTGTAAAACCTTCTTTCAATGAATATAAACTTATCGTAATAGTATATCCTAACGAAAATCCTACGTCTCAAAGCAGCAAAAGAGATTTAAAAAATCTTCTTATGCATTAACTGTGTTCTAGACATATCTTAAAAATTAAATTTTATTCTTTTTCTAGGAGTCAAGTAATTCAATGGCACGCAATACTTTGTATTCGTTCATTCAGCGTCGAGAGACTCATTTGTCGTTCCTGGGACATCGCCAAACTTTGTATTGCACCATAAATCCTAAACAGAGCTTGCTCAGCATCACTCCCGTTAGTGTTATGTCACAAATAGGACTCCAATGTATACCAATAATCTGATCTGTCTCGATGATTTATAATTCATTCTTCAGACCAATCATCTCCTTGACAATCAATGTTTCAAATTATTAAGATCTCTGGATTTATCAATAAGTCAACAACTTCATTTTCACGAAATTCTTTAAATAATAAATTTCTTTCAATTTAAAAGAATTATTTATTGATTACAATAAAAATTACCATGTGATAAATATTCAAGTCATATGTGAAGACAGGAGAATCTCATACATGCAGTAGAAAAATGGAGATATCAAGGCAAGTAGATTGGAGTAAAGAAAGCTAGATTAGTAGCAAATGGAATGGTGGCTGAAGATAAAGTGATTACTTCCAAACCCACTTTCATTTGAATTCTTTCTTTTATTGCAATGGCTTCTTTTTAAAAACCTTGAGCTTTTTCAATGCAATCCAGAGATAGAATTAAGCTTTCATGGCTTGTTAAAGATTTATTGTTACAAAGTGAATCTATATTTATCATATTACCTTGATTATTTAATGTATATTTAACTACAATAAATGAGTTTTCTCAGTCTGAGGTATTTATTATTATATTTTAAAAGCTCGCTGATGACGTAAATGATTCATATTGATAATTTATTTAACCATTTAAATTCCATGATATTTAATTTAAGTTATGTTAAAAATGCATATTTGTAAATTCTCAATTATTAATTAAATTTTCATGCTTTTTTATAGGCGTATTTATTATTCATTTAATTTAATATTCTAGGCAATGGATTTAAATAAGTTATCATAAAAAATCCATTCGGATAAGGTTTTATAGCTTGATATATTGTTCCATGTGGGTCTATTTTCTCCAGCTAGAAAATTATCTTATTGAATTATAACACTTTATTGTTTTATTGGAATGGGAATTTTAAAATAAATACTAACTACAGTCATTGATCGAGAATATGTAATGATGAAACTTGATCTATGCTATCATCGTTTCATCATTAATAAAATAGTTTTAGGATACGACATTGTTTTAACTCTTGTTCGTCCTGTTTGCTTCAAGTAGTACATTGTTGTATTACTCAACAGTATCTCTTTGACATAAAATCTTAAATGTATTCTACACTAAATTGTTTACCATAAGAAAGACTACTCGACCTCTTTCGCTCTTTTCTTATTCTAAAGTTGTCGTAGATCTCCACAAACGACCCTCAAGAAATTCGCCTGTCTTTGGAATATATTCATGATTCTTCCCTTCACTGCGCTACTTCTTCATCATACTGTACTTCCAGTCATGGTTTTATTCTCTCAGAAAACTTTAAAACCGAAGTGAAATGCAACTCACTAAGGTATATGTCGCACAGATCTTTTAAAAAAAGGAAAAAAAAAACAATATATGGAGAATAGTAGAATGTGATGAAATATTGAATCGTGGTATCTTTTTATTGAACATATTCTCAATTTTATATTTCTAAAAGCTAAATATTGAATTACTATATGATACATAGAAACAACTTGCTCTTTATTTTATTTTGCAACTTATTCATAGTTATATCAAATATTCAGAATAAATATGAACCACTAATTTTAGTTACTACAGCCTCTAAATTATTTTTTAACTTTAAATAAAGTTCTGTATCCATAAAAATCCCTGTAAAAACTATCTACAGTAACATGATCTTTAGTAATTTTTAATTAAAGGTTTTATAAATTCACCTTGAAGCGATCAAGTTTCACTTTTATATCCTTAATTAAATAATCTGTTAATCTTTATTAATAATAGAACAAATGAAATTTTTAAATTCAGTCTACTAAAATATAATTCAAAATGTGATAAACCTTCATTATCTGATAAATAATGCAGAATGAAAAGAAAAGGTAAAATCTGTTCTCATTTTGTTCAGCAAGAAATAATAAATTAAGCAGTCATACGTTAAATCCGGTTATTAAATTTACATTCAATTACATATATAGCATGTTAACGCAAAAGTTACAATGGTCGGTCTATTCGAGAAGTTATATTCCTAGTTGTTAGTACAAGTTGAGTATAAAGCTGTTTATATTATTAAGCAACACATGCTGCGAATCCTTTGGGTAACAGCTTGCAAATGAAAACTGGTTTTTGTCAACATTTAACAATAATGTGTCTATTTTTTCATGCTATAAACAATCTATTTATAACATATTCCAATTATTTTATTAATATCCATTGAATGGAAACTTTCTCAGCAATTATTATAAGTGTTAATAGTGGATTATTAAAACTCAACCATTTTCACTAAATTATATTTAATTATATGATTATCAAGTATCCGTTTAATTTCTTTGAAACTTTGGTTGAACATTTAATTATCCAACTTCATATTACATGTTCCGACATAGAAGTATCCAATATCCAAGCACTTAATTGTAAGTTACAAAACAAGTCATTCTCGTAACTTTTAAGCACTTTAAAAGTAAGTGCCAACCGTGTGGAGTATATAATAATATTTGTCCTATATAAGATGAAGTAAGAGCAACCTATTAATACACCTAGTGGGAAGAATACTTAGGCAAAGTTTCATTAATTAAACCTCTTCTTTAGTTCGTAATGTATTATATTAATACAAATCTTCATACAACTCTTCTTACCTCAGAAACTAAGTCATTAAAGTCTTTAAATACTGTCGTGATTTTATTCTTAATGACTCAACTACTTGCTTCATTAGCTGTTACTTGTAAAATACCTTGGATATATACTATGAATGATTATTGAAAAAAATTAGTTATTTTATTAGCAAATTAGTTGGGAAATTACTGTAATTATGATTTAGTAATTTATTATACATTAACAGTAGTCAGAACATGCTTATTGAGGAATTACAGAGTTACTTTTAACTTATAAAAACATTATTTTTATCACGTTTAAATATTACTATGTCGACAATATGATAAATTGTTCATTAATTAAAGTACAATTCATTTTTAGCTTTAATGATGTTTTAATAATTAAAAAAATTTGAACTGGCTTCATAAAATACTATTAGATACTAATACATAGCTGGGATTGTGTAAAAAGGAAATGATTCCCCAGAGAGATGTTTGTTACTCTAACTGTGCTTGTAAAAACTGAGCGTTAAAACGTTTCGTTTGCATGTATAAAAGTTGTTTCATTTTGATTCGATTCAGCAATTGAGTAGGACTCATTCATACTATCGATTTTAAAGTTCAATTTGTTATCTTTTTTTTTTTAATTATTCTTTTTGTAACATAATTTACTTTTTTTCATTAAAATATTCACTCTTCATTTACATTGGTATATTACTTGAAAAATATAATTTGATAACATACAAAAGATCAAAGCTTTATTATTCATGAAGAAAATATAAAACAATAATTCTGAAATAAATATTCATATCAATGGAATAGTTAAACTACTAGACAATTCATTTTACACGATTTTTATTCTATTTTTTTTTTCATTGGACTATGAAACAATAGCTTCAGTTACGAAAATGTCAATAACATTTAAAATCATTTCTGTTGTGTAGTGTTGTCACACATATTGAATTATTTTTAAATAAACTTGTTTGTAATTGTTTCCACTTGACACATTTAAATAAATTATTTGCATTTAAATCATTTGAATGAATATATTTAGTAAAAAGCTGGTTGTGCGTCTCATAAATTTCAAGCAAGAGGATGGATAAACAGCCAGGAAAGAATTTAGCATGCGGTACGGAAATAGGGAGTCCTAGCCGGAACTTAACTCGCCGAGCGGATCTCATGTTTCGTTATCGTGGTTAAACAGTAAATTGATCGAAAAGCAAATCAAGAAACTATAATTTCATAATTTATAGTATATCCTGATAATTAATATTATCATAAATTATTCTCACCTCAACTCTTTTTATTTAGCTTAAAAAATCATTAAAAACTAATTTCTTAATTAATAAATTATTATATGCTATTATGTATCAACAATTTTTAATATCAAGTAATAATTTGTTGATTTATCAGACACTATTTTAATTAATTATCAAAATACCAAAACCAATAGATATTTTTTATAATTATTCTAAAAATAGAAATATGTTTTAATTGAGTAATAAATATTTCTAATATTGATGATAAACGTTTTTGTTCTATAAATCTTCTTTATACAGAGATAGCTCTAAGTGGCAAGGTTTGTCCATCGCACAATGCCCGAATCGTCGCATATGTATCAAACTGTCTACGACCCGCAGTCTAATTTGCATTTCAACGATTGTCTCTTGTCCGTTATTACAAGTGGAATAGCTTGGTTGAATTTAACAGATATATCACAAAACACAAGCAATCTCCCACCTTCACTGCTGCACTATTAAATCTTCCTTTCCAGTTTATTTACTTCATACGGACACTAACACTTAGTTCAGTAATATCTTAATTGGAAACTTATATCATTCACTTGAAGTTTTATTCTTCTCACTTAATTTTCATTAATTCAACCACAAAATGTTTCTTATTTACATAACATCTCAAATCAGTACCACAAGACTACGATTAGTATCTCAAAGATGTCTGACTAAAGTTAAATAATTCTACTTTCATAAGAAAAAATGTCTGAGAATCTTTCGATTTATTTTTTTATAATAGTATATAAGGATAATACCATGATTCTTTAAACAGTCTTAATTTGATTGTATGCAATCAATCACTCAGAAGAATGCTTTAATTGCATAAAAATTTAAAAAAGTGAAATAAATCAATGTTTAGTCCGACATTGAAATATAAAAATAAAATATTAATGTTTGTAGTTTTTCAGTTCATATATGGACAAGTAACTCGTAGAATCGATTACTGTCGAAGACAGTAAATTAATGGATATCAATAACACTTGCTTTGTTATAGACAACAGGTCCAAGTGCTTCTTAGTGCATTATCGAGTGTTTCATAACATGTTTGATCGATTTCTGGATAATCCACTTCAGCATCAAAGCTATCAGCATGAGGAGTTTTTTTCAGCTTAGATCTTTCTTCATTCATTAAAGAGTCAAGATTTCTATCAACTGCTTCTGCTTGAAATGCTTGAATGAATTTTTAATCAATCTGTAAAAATAATAATCAAAGATTAGAAAATGTTCATTCAATCATTTCTTTAGGTTCAAATTAAAGAATTTCAATGTTTGCTATTGTAAGATTCTATAGGAAGTGTGTATAGAAAAAATATTTAAATATGTAAAAGCGCAAAACTTTTACAAATTCAAAAAATGCAAAAGGATACTATTATCAGTATGCTCGTTGCTCTTACATGAGTGAGTATCAAACAAGAAAAAAATGGAGCTACATGCACTAGATACTCTGTAAAAAAAAAAAATATGAGAGAAAAAAATACAGTTGCGTGAAATGAGTCAAGGGAAAACATTGAAGTCTCTACCCAGCAGTTTTCATTCACCACCGAAAAGCCCAAAGATAATAATAATTATTATGGAGCATTCAAGCGAGTGTGTAGTGGATATGCAATCGAGAAAGTGCTACATGAATATATCCATGAAAATAATAAACAAAAGGAAATAAAGGAAAGCATATACCTTCTATGTATGAAATAAATACATAACTGGAATATATGAAGACAGCAAAGAGATTTCCATTTATAATGTTCAGAAAACAGATGACAAAATTGGAATATGTTTTCAATTTTTTTGGATTCTTCTTCCTAATTTATGTTCACAAGCTGCTTCTTGTATTTCTATTTGGTTCAGCTTTTATATGAAAAGCTCTGTAGGAATATTACATGTAAAAATCTTTGATCTTTCCGTTTTTCTTTGATTCAAGTTCTTGGATGATAGTCAGCTGAAAGGATTTCATCCAAATTGCAATAAATAATTCAAATATTTATAATATTAATTAAACTAAAATATATTGAATTAAATCCTCTTTCAATCATACTCTTTATTGTTCTTCTTTTTTAAATCAAATAAAAAAAAAACATACCAAATAGCACAATTGAATGTTCCACAGTGTGTTATAACAGTTCTATGACAATAAAAATTTGATCCTTAACAGTCTCACGTACTTTTAGATCTCCTTTTTCATGATTTTTCCTCTTTCTCTTTAAATCATACTGACTTTTTATTTTTGATTCTTCGGAATTATAATCCTTCAAATTGGAATCTAAAAAAATTCTCATCTCACATAATATTCTTGTATCTCTACAAACTCTACACCACCTACATGTTCTTTTTTACCTTCTTTTTTTTACTACCTATTTTTCAACATACTTGGGACTGTACTACCACAAGTACCCATGGACGACAGCTTGAAGGCTTATTACAAGGGTCAACACTTTCACGCGTGCCAAAAAGCTTCTGGGCAAAGCTTGCGGACTAAAAGAAGACTTTCGTGGATAGATGAAACAAAAAAAAAACGTGCTAGGTAAAGAAAAGACTGAAAGAAAGGTTTTACTCATCCAGCATACGGGAACTCTAAAAACACAACTGAGATATTTATAGAGTTCATGAGACTTAGAATGAAGATGAGATTTGAATGCAAATTGCTGTAAGTAAAAAGGAAGAATAAGTTTATAAAGGAGAAATTATAAGACTTTAAAACCTGAAGTTTATTTCAAAATTTCTTCTTTATAATTTTCTTTTTCTTTTCAATCTATCCAGCTTTAAGCTTGTATTTTCCATTTTTTTTCACCCTTTCAACAGTTTTATTTAAAAAGTGCTAATGATGAATTATTGTATCAAAGTTTATATAGCTTTGAAATAATTAGCAAGTAATGATAAATTTTAATTTTCTTAAAACATTGTTACTAGTTGAACGGTGAAGACAATAGATCACAGAGATGCAGAGCAGGCCCGGAAATTCCATTTGTGACGCCTGCAAATGGAGGATACACTTTGCATTCCTAAAGTAACCCATATGGAAATCTCTAGGGATTGAGGATATGATTTATATTCCTAATGAGATCTTGGTATGCTTACTAAAATATAATAGCATGTTCTGTTTGAGCTACAGATGAGATCATTTCCGATTGAATAGAAAACCAACGATTCTTTGATTGTGCATAATCTTGCGATTAATTAATCTGTCAAGTAATAAATCACTTATGTGAATTTAAAAAATCACCTTTTTAAATAATTTTTATAATAATAACTTAATAAACTGTTGAAAGATATTTGTTGAGAGTAAAATATAAATTAATATTCATTAAAAATATTAAAAAGAATATAAGGCAGATAACAAACGTCAAAAAAATAAAAACTTGGCAAAGCCCTAGCAGTCACAAAAGATAACAAATGAAAACGTCATTTTTATCTAGTGGGATAAAATTACAGGACTTTTATTTTATAAGAATGTGTATGACTAAGTTTTATTTTTCTTCATGTCAACTGCATGGCAATACTCATTTAAAAAGGTGCAAAAATGAAGCATGCAGAGCAAAAATAAAACATGATAAATGAGCTAAATCAAAAGTTATATGAAAAACCTAAAACTCATTTAAAGTAATGAATGATTCTTCAAAGGGCAAAATTTTTTATTTATCTCAGAAATAAACAGTGAAAATAAATGAAAATTCTTTCGCACTTCAATATGATGTCAAACAGAATTTCAGATGATCCAACATAATTCAATCCCTTAGAAAGGATTTTGATAGTTAGTTTAATGGAAAGACACAGCAAGCAACAAAAGCAATTTGGACTATTCCCCTAGCAAATGAGGCGCAGTTTGATTAATGTGTGTTAGCTCAATTACATGAATTTAGCCATGAGAATGGGCAATTGACCACTATTAACGGTCTAGTTGGATATAGGGGACAGAGAACACTCATGCTAATTCTCCACCCTCTACTAATTCCACTTATGACAGAATAAAAATTTTAATCATTATGATTTCATACATGACGGTTATTTGTTATCACAGAGTAGCGCAACACCACGAAGGATCCAATATTCCGGTGGTTTGATTGTTTGAAGCCACAATGGGGTCACCAGTAACACATACGTTCTCTTGGGCTTTTTGTACACCGGACACTAGATAGATTAAAACATTCGGCTTGTCAAACGAACTTTTATCGTGGGACTGTGATTCATAACAACTAAATAAATTGCTTCGTACCCGGTAAAGCTTTGGATCCTTTCCCGATTTATTGTACAATGCAAATATGTGGATGACTGGCATGTTGACGTAGAGAACTTTTTTAGAAGATTCACGTAATCTGTTATTCTTTCGATCCCATCCAGCACCTTCCAAATATAATCCGTATACATAAACTCCTTCCTGCAAAATATTTTAACAATCAACATTATGGGGAACAAAAAACCTTACCGCCTATTATTTGTTCTCCCTAGACTACTGCTTGTAGTAATGTATTTTATTAGTGAACATTAAGTATCGATTCTAGATACTATTGATATTATTTTTGTTCATGAAGCATTCTTTGTAGACACATATTTTATGGTACTAGTAAAAGGCGATACTAGTACTGGTAATATATTGTAGAAGTTGGACGAATCGTAATATCTTTAGCAGATCTATTTTCTTAGAAGTCTGACACTATTTGTCAGATTTAAACCCTTTTTTTTTTTCTTCTTTTAATAAATTTTTTACATCTGTACAAGTGAGTGAATTGGGTTAAGAGTATTACTCACAGCAGGTGAATTTCTCACTTCTTCAAACATGTACTTAGTGACTTCATTGTGAAGAGTTACATTGTCAAGAGCCCACCCTTTGTGAGATCGAGTGACTTCTTGCCGCATCGCAGTTAGGAATCCTGTGAAAATAATATATGTTTTTATAGAAATAGCAAATGATTAAATTTAGAAAAAAAAAAATTGGAAATATTTCAATAGTTCAGCCCAAGAAATTGTGTTACAGAGTGAATACTCGTTTGAAAATTGATATTCTAAGGTTGGCCAAACAATGCACGGTTTACACTCCAAGTGCACGTTTAAACCATAACTCTAAATTCTGATAAAATATGTGGCCATGTGCAAATATACTAAAAATTTAGAATTTCAATTTTTGAATGTAAACATGTGCTTTAAATCTTTATAGTAATTCTAATAAATTATATGAAAAATGATATCAATTACTTTTATTTCCTAAAAATATTTAAAATAGATAAAAAGTTTATCGAAAAATGCAAATCTTTCTTTCATTTAAATACATGAAAGTTGTTGATGTCACTTTTATAGTATAAGAAAAGGATTTAGTAGATAAAATATTCATTTGTTGATAAAAGATTAACACCACCAAGAGATAATAGAGACTAACTCAGTTAAACCAGTGCTTTACTAAAGATTAACTATCTAAAAGCAAATATTCTTACTCTGTGGGCATCGAATCCTAGAAAAACTTATTACAAAATGATTTATTTTTAAACTCATTTAAATATTCTAATGCTCTAAAAAAAGTATTTTGCAGTTACTCTAGATGAAAATTTAAACATTAACTTCAACAAATATTTGAACATGTTCTCAAGAGTTTTAAAGTAGTAGCTTCAGATTTTTGTGGATTTTTGGAGAGTCTATAATACTAAAATATGCAAGACCAGTTGAAAAGACTTGTAAAAACTGACAAAAAGTTAATTAAAATACGTTTTTTGTACATAAGAAGTTTTTCTTAAGTTTCTTTATTAATTCTTGACATTTTTCTGTTTACCTTGCGGATTAAAGAATCCAGTCATCCAAAATTTATGTGGACGACCTCGAAAAATCCAGTTTGAAAATTGTTGATTCCTTTGGAGTAATTCGGTAAACCAAAAACCTAAAGTAGACGATTCCCAGGAACGCTGACGCCAAACTTTAGGAATTCTTGCGTCGTAAATGTTGTCTAAAGCGTCTTTTAATTGCTGTTGAGGGCAAAAAATACAAATTTATCTTTAAATAACACAATGTACAAGAGATAAAAACTAAATGATACCTCATTCATTATTATAATTCCTTCTATCGCAAGAAGTAAATCCGTTAGCATAGAACGTACAAGTTCAATAACTACTTGCATACGATCAATTTCTTGCTTAAGAAATATATTCATTGATTGTGTAATACCCATAGCTTGCAAACGAGATTTTACTTCAAATGGGTCATAAGAAAGTGGCAGTTTTTCTAACATCTCTTTTGCTTGTCTCATAACAATTACTTCTCTTGTTTCTCCAGATCCAACTGAAGACGACTCTTTTGGTTGTACTGATATTATTGTGTCCAATATATCTTGCGTTGTTCTACTTTGATATCTGTATGCAAGTTTCAAGTAAATTAATTCAAATGCTTTATTTAAATACAAGATTTTTATGCGTAAGTTTTGCTTTAGTTAACATAAAAATAATTTGGTATGTAAATTAAAATTAAGTTAATAATATTCTAACTGATTACATTTTAAGAATTAAATAAATAATTAATTTATGCAAAAAGACTAATTATAGTTAATAAAAATACAATTTATGATACAATAAAATATATTAAAGTTAAACTTTAGTTAAAAAATATGACATAAAAAATTTTTTTGTGTCTAGTGGATTCATAAAAAGTATTTACTGAGTACTTACGTTATGTCAGCATTTCTATGAAGTCCGTAAACCTGAGGTGGATCAATAGACGGCATTTCTTCAAATGCTGCCAAATATTCCGTGACTTGTTTGAAACTTAACACATGATATCCGGTGTAGAAAAAGAATTCTTTGGAAAATAATGCCTCTGAAAACCAGACTTTTGTAAAAGTATTAAGAAGACGTTTGTCATAATCATCAGTTACTCTTCCTCCATATTGAACTTCTCCAATCATATATCTAAACAAATATGTAAGTAAATAGAATATAAACGATAAAATATTGATTGATTTTCAGTATTGTTCTCTACTAAAATGCCTTACCTAACTGTTTGCCAACTTATCCCACGTTTGGGGTCATAGTCATTTAAATGGTTATTTATGAACAAACAAGAGGCAAGCCAATCGGCTGAATTGAATTCGTAAGGAATATTCCAACCAAGAGGACCGAATTTTCTTCGCTCTTGTACGATAGTGTGCAAGAACGAAATAGTATAAACGAGCGGTATATATTGTGCTGCGTCACACTGGTCCAACATATCTTGATTCATACCACTGTACGTCGCTAACAAGCCTGCCCGTATACCTATAGATTCATTTGTCATTTTGGTGCTCCAGTTAGAGAGATGTGCAAAAAGATTCATTAACATATACCTTGGGGCGGCTCGTATGTAAATTTAATAGACATTTGAAGCAGAGAAATCGGAAAATTTTGATGTGGCTCAGTTGTAATCCAAATACGAAAATTCGAATTGGGCGTTTCCATTTCTAGTATGAAATCAACTAATTCATTCATGTAGTCCAGCCCTAGATGACAATTTTGAAGTAAAACCCAAATTCCCTGTGAAATTAATTTAATTTAATATTTTAGAAAATTTAAAATGTTTACAAATTATTTAATAATTAATATGTTCTTTTTGATAGGTATATATTTATAATGATAATTTATCAGCCAATATATAATTGGCAAAATCTACGAGGATTTTTTAAAAATATTATTTACTTCAATTTTTGCTCTGTTCAATAATCTTCGGGCATGTATTTCTTGTCCTTGTCCCATGGAGATACTTCGACAAGGTATTTCCAATTTTCTCGCTAATTGATGTATACTCGGTGTGGGATCTGATCCCATACTAAGGAAGCAGATCATAGGCGTGTTTGGTCTAGACTCAGCGAGCATTATATCTAAAAGCGTTATTACAGGCTCTGCATATTTTGCACCCAGAGAATCAGCAATATACTTTCGAGACTGGGAAAGCGTTCTATCCGGACACCAAGCTCTGTAAAATTAATTATGGTTAGTTTCATTTTAAGTAAAAGTCAAAAAGTTCATTTTACTTACTCTAATAAACCTACTAAATGACTCAATTTAATTTAAAATTAAAGATTATTGGATATAAAAATGTTATCAAATTATGTTAGTAAATGTGGGTGAAGAATAAGATCAATAGAAATATTCTATAGCTAGAGGGTATCAATTAATAAAGTTGAGTTGATAATGTTAACAGGTTAGCGAGTAATTATTATATAAGTATACTACTGAAAGTTAATAAATTTTGTTTAAAAGTCAAATACGGAAAACGAATGAATTACCGAATCATTAATAGACGATGAAATGTATCCAAATTATTAAACCCATCAGGTATAACTTCTTCTTCTGGTGCCTCTTTATCATACCAATTTTTCCAAACTTTTTCTGATGCTTCAACAAGAGATATGATGTATTGAAATTGACGTAACGACGATAATGCAACTAGATTAAGCCATGTCATATCAGTGATCCATTTGCATGATTTTGGCTGAACAGCGTTAAGGTCTAGTGCAGCACCGCCTTTGATGAAATATTGAAACTCTTCATGTGATATTGATCCACGTTGTAGGTCAATTTTTAATGCCATCAGCAAAATAAACATGTATTTATGATTTTCATATAATCCTCGTGCTTTGTATTTAAATATTTCATAAGTTAAATATTCAATAATAAAATTAATTCGCCGCGAAGTAACAGGACTTTTTTCAGACCTAATTAAAATGGTCAGTTCGATTAATTAAATAAAGTAAAAACCAACAAAGTTGATGAAAACAGAGAAGTAAGTAAAATAAATTACCGTGCAAGAGAGAGATCGAAACGTTCTAAAAATTGCACCAGAGACGTCTGGTACATGCAGTTCACGTGTGCCATGTCACATATCAAGAAGTAAAGTACACTTCCTCTTGCTGCTACCGGTCGAAATTCCTCTCGAGCAGCATTTATTTCTACCTCTGTATTTCGTGCAATGTCAAGTTTCCGTGTCACATCAGCAGCAGTTTTTCTTGTTGTATTAAGAACTGACATCAACTCAACATCTTCGATTAACGAACCCTTTTATTAAAAAAAATTATCAATAATTAGCAGCCAAAAAGTCAAAAATAAAACTTTAACAATCTGCTCACTTGCACTGTGGTTAACTTGCGTAAGAGGTTTGCTTCTAAGTCTTTAATCTTCCTCTTGTTCATCGTGACATCCGTGATTAATTGCGTCCTCTCTGTCTCTAATTCACGTTTTTCGGTTAATATTACTCTTCCTAAAAGTTGATCCTCCAAACCTAACCGACGTATGATATTATAATTAAAGCTAATTATTTGTTTTTTTTTGTCATAATTACCTTTCATTGTAACTGTAAAATCGATAATAGAAGTTTTTGCAAAAATTTCCGGAGTATAAGCTGGATTTGGTAATTTAGTTGTTATATATAGACGAAAATCTGGATGAACATCAATTTCTTTATCTCCTAATCTAACTTTCCACGATGTGCCTATTTTTATGAAATTCTTCTCCAACAAATTATCCAACACAGGATCTAATTCTTCCGCAACATCTTCAATTAATAAAGGACGACCGATGGAAATACTGTCTTCTAAATGATTTCTGAAGTACTTGTGACTAAGATAGGTTGTTTGTAAATTAAATTCCTTTTCTTTGTTCTTAATCCATGCTTTTCCTTGTAGCTGTGGGTCGATCAGAAGAGGGTATCTTGTTGCTTTTGTGACAATAATACCATTTTGAATAGACAATTCATCATTAGGAAGTCCTTGCAAATTCCATTCACCAGTCTGAAGGATGAGAATTTAAAAATAAAATTAAAGTACTTTATTCTGAAAGTTTGAAGTAGTAAAAGATTTCCAAAAAAGTTGTTACCGTTGCGGTGTCTGATAAAGAGTCGACAACATTAACTTTCGAAGACACAGGAATTTTCTTGGCATGCAAAAGATTCAACCATCGCCTTTGAAGTAATACTCTAAACTCTTGATTGAAAGGACCACAATAGGAGAGAAAGCCAGTTAAAATTAAAACATCTCCAACAAGTCGTTCAGTTTCGGATTTAAACGTGGCTAGTTGATTTGTCCATCTAATTCTCTCTCCTGACAATCCTTCAATCAATGCTGTCGCAGTATCCATTTTCGCTTGACATGCTTCAGCTTGATCTACGATTTTCTAGTGAAGAAAGATTTATTCGGTAAATGATTGAAAATTAGTGCAAATTAATTTAAATTAAAATTCACCTGACGCTCAGCCATCACACCATCAAATTCCTTTTGGATTACTTGCAAATCTTCATCCTTAGCTCTCAATACCTCCTGTGCATCCATTAAATTCTTATTGGCTCTGTCGTGCTTGTTCTGTTGAACAACTAAATTGGCCTAGGCAATGAGAAGAATTTATTAAATATTTCAAAGAAAATACACAAATGTAAAATAGAAAGCTTCAAATGTATTCCAAGATCTTTTAATGGCTTTTGCATAAAAAGCTTTTTTTTTTGTTTCAAAGAGGAAAGAAAATAGTTTTAATTCTGACATTGAAAAATATTGATTGAAGCTTTATACTTTTAATTTTTTTTTTGTATTTTCAATTTATCACTGTAATGTAATCGACTAAAAAAAAAGTATTTTTCAATAAACTTTCAATGCCTTTGTAAAGTGAAAAAAGCTACTGCCTTTAAGTGTGATGGTGTATAGCTTGTCTCTTCCCCTTTAAATTGCTTTTGTTAACATCGTTGTAAGGTTTTTTTTAATCTAGTTTTAAATTATCAACGCAACAAATTTTTTTCAACTTAAAATATTCATCATTCATAATCACATGATCATATTGATATCATTAAAATATTTTCACCATTGTGAAATTAAATTTAAAAAAATTTGACATACTTTAAGCGGCAGCACGTCTTTGTTGACTTGATAGAACTTCGTCATGGCAATTGTCCATTGCAAAAGACCAGCGACATTGCCACAAGCTTGTTTAGCAGCTTCATAATTATACAAATGATAATCCAAATATGGTCTCATAAGATCAACGGTTTCAGCGTTAATATTATCTTTTTGAAAATCACGTAAATGATATAAAAATCTAACATCTGCCATGACTTTTAACGCTTCTGACCACGATGGTATCAAGAATTGACGTTCTAAATCCGGTTTGACGGGATCTAATTTACGACCAAAGAGAATTATTACGCAATCCATTATAAGAGTGATAAGATATGGAGGTTTTCCGAGCTTGCGAACAGTAGCAATATCAGTTGATTTTATTGTCTAGAAAAATAAAATATAAATTAACATAAAATAGTATCCAATTCATTTATTCCTATTATTCAATCTTAGAAAATGAGCATTTACTTGAAGCGCTTCTTCAGCCTCTAACAATGCTGGCTCAGCAGCTTTAAGTTTCTCTTCAGCAATAGCTTTTTCTTCAGAAATTATTTGCAATAAAGCTTCTGCTTCGTCTTTTGACTTTTGTACTTTATCTTTCACAGCTTCGGCATCGCTTTTTTTTTCATTCACTGTTACAAGAATCTGCAGTAAAAAACTAATTAGAAGTTATAATTTTTAAGTAAAACAAACTTTCAGTAAATCCTATCTTTTATATCAATAAATATATACCTTTTCTACTTGAACATTCTTCACTGCAATTTCTTCTTGGTTTTTCTCTAAAACTTTCCTCAACTCGTCTACTTGAGCTGCGGCGTCTACAAGTTTACTTAAACCGTTACTCATTCGAAATGCAAGAGTATTGATTTCGTCCAGGTGTTGCTTGTAAATTTGTTTATAACCATCAATAAAGGAAAGAAAAGACTTGGGTGTTACATAAGTACGCCGGCGAAATCTATCAAAGTATTCATTACAAGTATCATTCACTCCATCTTGAATTTCTCCCATGGCGTTAATAAGCTCCTGCTTGATTTCTTCAGAACATACGACACCAAACTTTTGCAAGAAATGTTCACTAACCGCACACAAAGCATCTCTTGGCCATCTGGCAAACCAATTCATTGTACATCCAGAGATTAATGCAGGAAACTTTAATGATCTCGAGCGGAATTTTTCGCCTACCTAAAAATGAGTTAAGGCCAAAAAAAAATTATAACTTTGTCAGTTGAGTTAATTAATCCTCAAACTTTACTAATTATAGTAACATAATTCCTCTTCAAATAAACAGTTTACATCTGCAAGAGATGTATCAAAAATTTTAAGGTAAAGTCAAACATTGTTGTTTAAACATTTTGAAGTTGTAAAGTAGATTTTTTATTGAAAATATTAAGTTGTCTAGGATTATTTCAAATGATATTAGAAACTATCCATCATTTAATGAGCTTTCATACACAAACTTTAGTTTTAAAGGTTTAATGAAAAAGTTGTATGAAAATAAAATATACAATTATTAAAATATTTTATCTTAAATAAATTAAAAATTTTCTAAACAATTAAAACTTTTTTACAAAATGAATTCCATTTCATTAAAACTTTTTGTTTTAGATTAAAAGAATATTAATAAATAGGAAACTGTGCGGTAGATTTGGTTTAAATCTCTTTGGATTTATTTATAAATTAATCAATTAATTGTATATTATTTGTATAAGAAATAACATAATTAACCGACTCGAAAACAATAATTAAACTTTAATAATTATTGTTCAAAATCTATAGAATAATGCTATTAACCATCATTATCTGTAATTATATACATATCAGAAGACTTTTAATCCCACCAGCATAATAGAATGGCTGATCGACATCAACCCGTATTAAAGAGAGATGATAAATTACAGCTGACGAGTCAATAACCCGAATGTAAATGTAGGCCAAGTTCATAAATCCAAAGGTAATCGGGGAATCGCGAAAAAACTTGAGTTCAATATGGATATGCTCCAAAGAACGAAGTGAATAGAAGTTACTATTTATTTTAAAATTATGAATGAGAATCATGAAAGTAAGTAATTTACAATTTAAAGCAATCTTTTGTTGAATAAAATTATTGAATAATTTTTGTTAAATGAATGTCCACATAAAGATGTTGCCTGACCCAGAAAAAAACCATCCATTTTGTTTCTAGTGATTAACGGACGAATAATTCATTTACAACCCAAGAAATATGTCTTTACTGCATAAAACTTATTATATTTTCTGCGAGTAGAATAAAATATATATCATATGTTAATTTTAAGTAAATTCAAAGTGCATAAGAGACTAAAAAATTAACAACTCTTAAACCCCCAAGGACATGAATTGAAAAAATATCCCTAATATCCTTTTCTGACTTTAAAGTTAAGTTTCAAAGAGAATTACTCACTGGAGAGAAGCATAAAACTATATGAAGGTTATTTCTTGCTCGTGATATAAAGTAACTATAGAGATTTTCTTGAGTAGGTGGTCTTTTTGGATCTTCTGCTTTCATCACAGGAATGAGATTTGTTAAAATCTCATCCAATTCATCCTTTGGAAAGAGATTCGCAACCTCTCCAACACTCAAAACATTGTTTAGATACTCAAGAAAGCCTTCATCCTTTATGTCATTGTCAGTGAAGATAAAAGTAAGACCTTTGTTTCCCATTCCAGTTTCATAATAGAGTCTTTTAATATCTTCCAATAAACTTCCGATATTGTAAGCTCTAAAATCCATAAAAATTGAATAATTCTTCATCAACATCAAGAAAACCCGTAATTACCTTGTGAGGACTATTTGAAAAAATTTATAGCCTGCTATAAAAGATGCAAGTCTTGTTAAACTCTGCTTTCCTGATCCACCAACTCCAACTAGCATTGCATGACCTCGTGGTACTCCTAGAATTCTGGATATCTTCATTAAGTGGACTAATGCATCATGGAAAAATACCAAGTCTAAATGCATTCCTCTAATTAGTTCGTTGAATTGTTCCATGTATTGTTGAACTTTTCCTATTACTGTTTCAAAACTGGAATAAATTATTTTTTAACTATGCTGTGAGTTAAAAGAACATAAAAATTTCGTGAATTCTAATATTACTTTGGAATCTCTTCGTAAATCTTTGGAGCATCAAAAACGAAATCTTCCGGTTCAAATCCTGTTGGCTCTGGTGCTTCTCGCAAAAAGTTGACAAAGTACGTCTCCGTTGAGTGGTAGTATTGAAAATCTCTTTTTAAAAGTTCTTCAGCTGTTTGATGCATTGTATTTGTAAACCATGTTTTATCTTCAGAATCGGTGAATCTATAAAGATAATTAATTAATTTCTTTTTAAATTTATTTCTCTAGAAACTATTCTAGTTCTAATAAAATACACTAAATGTTACCTGTCGGAAATAACACGAGTACACTCATGGCTCCATAATTTTAACAAAGTATTAGGAGTGGTACATTCATCTTTCCCAATCCGAAGAATTCCCTCCCAAATGCGAGACAAATCCCGCAAGTTGAATACGTAATGAAACTTGGCTGGAGTGGGTAACATTTTGCTCTTTGTTCGTTGCCAAAGCACTCGAGTTAAAGGAATCAATTTCGGTAAGAATTGAACGATCTCTTTAGGAAATCTACTGTCACAGAAATATCCTTCACCAATCGATCGAAATATCGTATCCATGGATTTATTTGATGGAAGAGTGCAATTAAAAATGTTAAACTGTCGCTTGAGTCGAGCAGGAATGTCATTTCTTCCTCCACCAGGATGGATCATTGCAGCAAGAAGTTGAATGTCTTGAATATAATTAAAATCTCCAGGTTTATCCAAGGAATAGAATCCTCCATATTCCATCAGTTGTCGAACTATTTCATTAGTGATTTGATCACCCCATTCGTTGATATCCGGCATATTAATATCATCGATAAACACAGTCATCTTTTTGCCACCCGGTGGTCCATAAGTAGTTCCTACTCGTTTCTCTACATAACTTTCGAATACTCGCTGTGCGTTAATAAGAGTTTAATGAATTCATTAATTAATTAACGATAGAAGCGTAGTTAAGAAAGATGAGCATACTTGAACCATATTAGGAGTTGATGCGGATGAGAAGTTGAAAGATTTACTCAAGTGAAATTCTGGATCGTATTTCGACATAAAACTTTTAAGCATAACTGTCTTCGCTGTTCCTTGTTCGCCTAATTAAAATAATATTCATGTAGAATGTCAAGTTTTCTTATACATAGTTTTATTATGAAACTTGTTAATTTCTTTTAATGAGTATGTTGAGCAGATGTAATGAAAGACATTCAAAAGTTTCGTTTGTTTCATAAAACGTTTACTGTACTTGCGTAGAATGCACGAAGTTGAGAACGTATTTATCATGTTTTTAGGTATAAAGTATTTCACAATTGCTATTTTAAATACACAACTCACGTAGCTAAAGAGTTAGAGTAAAAACTTTATATTACAAGTCGTTTTCTGATAACTTTATCTTAGAAAAAGATGATTTCGTTTTGATGAAGTAGAAAACATTGGCGAGATTGAACTTTTTTAGATTTATGATCATTCATCATTTTTTATAGACCACTAGTTTTTCTAGTATAAGAATGGAAAGAAAAGGTACTACTTGACGTTTTATCTATTTTTGAAATTATTATAAAAATGTTGAATTTTATTATTGTAAAATTAGTCTTTTCTTGGACAAGATAAATAAATCTTGTCAATCAATAACTATGGTGAGTAGTGTATTGTGATAATTTATGGCACGTAACTGATGACAAAGGGAAACTACCCCTTATTGCTCTTACCAATAAGTAATACTGCCTTGCTTTGCTGAGCAATGATATCCATCAGGAATAGAGTTCTCGTATTATCCACATTTGGAACCAATATGGTATAGTAATCTAACACATGATCAGTTGGGTATTCGAATTTAGGTACCATCTGGTTCCAGTGTATCCATTTTCCTTCCTCTGAGACAAGATACTCAAAAATCGTTTCATCATCCTGTGCCAGAATTAACATAGATTAGATTCTTTGAAATTTATCTCTTAAGATGATGTTAATTTATTACACACCACAGGTTTAGGCCAATTTAGTTTGGATGGATGGGTTAAAAAAAATTCTTCAAGAGCACTTCTTCCATCTAATTCAAGCACAGCACCGAGGCTCCACATAAGAGAGAAGAGGAATAATTTCTCGAGGTCAGAGGAAACGGAAGTTCCTGAAAAGGTATGTAAAGTTTTTATGAGTAATGGACTATATAAAAATGTAAAGACATTAATTCTTTATCACTTAACTAAATTATGTTTTTATAATACGTGGTAATTACAATGAAACGTGCCATTGAAGCATAAAAATTTAATCTCTAATTTTAAAATTATCATCTTTACTAGAAGATTTATATAATGTTTTCAAATAAAAGTTTTACATCAGAAAATAATAGCATTGTCATTTTTTTTTAATTACAGATAATGAGTAATCAAAATTTTTTTACTTTATTATGCAAATTTATGTATACGTTACTAAATATTTATAACTCATTAAAGAATAATTTCATTTATTTTTAGAATATGACAGATGAAAAAATACAGAAACTGTGATCAAATTTTATATAACTTTTTTTATAAAAAAAAATAAATTGGCATAAAACTCAGACCATTCTGAACGTAAAATTATTCAATAGTGAAATTATTCATTAATTTTTTTTATTACAAATTGCCATAATAAAAAAAAATCAAGATAAAGTGTCACAAGCACTCATTGTTTCTTCATTAAATTCTAAAGCTTGTGTTAAATGTAAAAAAAATGCTTTCAAATATTCAGGATATTTTTTTCTGTTAATATTAAAGGAAACACATCAAGCATAAAAATCGATGTTCACTGATTAAACTTTTTGAGCTTCAAATTACCATTTAATTTATTAAAATTTAATACTTTTTTATATACTAGAAAAATAAAAAAAATATTTATAAATAATATATTTACTTGCTAAGAGTCCATCTAATAAATCAATGCACTGTCTGATGTAAATAGCTTCTAGAAGCTTCATCTTGTTAACAAGCTTTGTTTGAACAAAGTTATGAGCATCCTCATAAATTTTATCAAAAAATTCCCGCAGAATTTCAGCCTGCTGAGTAGCTCTGGTCTTCAGCCAACCCTAGAGCAAACAAAATCAAGCTTCAGAGCATGCGGGCGATGATAGTATGTCAAAGAGAGTCAAGTGAAACAAGTAATAGAAGGTCCATGGTATGAACCTAACTTGTGTAGCATGTCACCTCTAGTATTGGGGACCATTTTAACACTGAGGCGCTGATAAAGACCATTCCCATGCGTGACACCGTCGCCGGAGAAGCATTGTCAACATTGTCGGGCTCGAAAACAAGTTTACTATTGGGTGCCATTATAATGCGGTCACCATTTGCTAAAGTTAAAGTTTTATTATCATCAAGCACAGAATTGAGATTTTCAATCCAAACGGCATCCACAGGACCATCAAGAACAATCCACAAGTTTTCGCTTTTCTTTATTTGTGTTGATCTTCTCCAAAGAGTTGAAAATATTCCGTCAGTCCAGTCGTTTGTTGCAGCATCCAGTCTGCCAAACATTTGAGGAGCTGTGATAGCTTTTGGATTCATTCGAACTTCCTTATGAGGTATTCCCATTTCCGTTAAAGTTTTCATCAAAGTCCACATACATCGAGTTTTCCCTGAGCCTGTTGGTCCCAATACCATCAAACCATGACGTACTAAAGATGTCTCGTACAACTGAATGACTTTTAAATTCCACTCTGGAGGATTTATTATTCCCAGTTCATCCGTAGCTTTTGCTATTCCCTGTTGTAATTCTTTATATGTTTGAGTTGTTAATTTAACACCTGGGAACATATCTGATATAAGCGACAGAAACAATGGTTCATCTTCGTCAACTAATTTTGATAAATTCATTGCTCTGAAAAATACATATTTAAATTACTCTGATGTGAATATTTAATTGAAGATAAAAGGAAACGAAAGAAAAGTTTTAATTTACCGAAGAACTCTCATGAGAGTAGTTTCTTCTGATTCACCAGGATGAGCTCTTTTTTGAGCGCCGAGTGTTCTTAAACAAGATAATATATTTCTGAGTCCAAAGTCATAGTGTACTTGTTTACTCAATTGCTCTTCACAAAGAGAATACAAAGTGAAGAATTTCCTTGAGAGTACAATATTCTCTTTAAATCCACAGGCTGCTAGCTTCACTCTTATTATGATCTGAGCATATTTATATTGTTATTAAAATCCTTTTATTCATTAAAATAACATTTAATAATAATTTCTGATTGCGGTATAATATAATTAAGATAACAGCTATAGAATGTTGCGAAAAAAGTCTCTATTAAGTGAAAGAATAAAAATAAATTTATGATTACTTGTCTATCTGGAACCATCATGGCAACACTGCGAAATTGGGTTTTCAAATTCTCTGGTAATTCTTGTCGACCAGCATAGCCTGGATTCATCGTGATAAAAATACCAAACTCATAATCGATAGAATATGTTTCGCCATCGCTAAAAAGAAAATTAGTTCGCTTTTCTTTCCGTGCGGTGAGAACAATAGCTATTTGTTGAGCTGCTACAGACAGAACTGGCAGTTCGATCCGATTGAACTCATCAAAGCATCCCCAAGCGCCTGATTGAGCCAAGCCCTGAAATATTTACAGTTTCATTTATATTGGAAGAATAAAACCTCACTATAATGGTTTCGTTTATTCACAGAATTTTTATGAAAACATTTTCAATAAATATAAAATATGTAGATTGATTTTCCTACTTGAACTACATTATAAAATGTAAACCTTAAATATTCGTCCAAGTCCACGGAAATCCATTTGATCAGAACAGTTGAATACAATGACATATTTCCCAAGAGCTTTTCCCATGTCTTTTGTTGTTTCTGTTTTTCCAGTTCCTGCCGGTCCAGCTGGTGCTCCTCCAAAATTCATCCCTGAAGCAAATCAAACTCTTTATAATTGAATCAAATGAATAATTGAATCTGCTTGTTCGTTAGTTTATCTCATTTTTATTATCAACATTTCAGAAACATACAGACAGCTTGTGCTAGTGTTATATAACATCTATCCGTGAGTGGAGTGATGACAAGTCTATCAGTGCAACCTAGAAACTCGTTTTGGTATGTGAACGTGACGTCGGTGATTTTGATCAAAACATCCTCTGTTTCGTCATTATAATAGAATCTCACTTGTTTGAGCCATTCAAAGTCATAAATATGTTTAATCTTCATTCGACACAGTTCGTCGAAAATGTCTCTGAAAATTTATATAATCAGGTAATGTTCAAATAAATTTACATACAAAAGAAATAAACGTTAAGTTTTACCTTTGATGAACATGAATAGTAATCAGTGCTTCGTACTTGGCCCTCTGATACTGGCTGAGATCCTTTACAGTAACTTCAATGAGTCCGTTGAGTAAATCTAAAAACCACTGGTTAGTTTTCTTCATTATCATTTTATCACTTCTTGATCCAACAATCGCTATTTCTGAATCTCGAGTCCACAGAGTTTGAAGTGCCAATAAACCAACCTAAATTGTCGGGGACGTCTGAGAATTCTTTTATGATTTTTTTATTCCTTGCAGACGACATCGTAAAATAGTTGAGCGAATCTATTCAATTGCGCTTTCGATAATAAAACTAAAATGATCAGTGAATTATTACCTGAAGAATTGAATCATCTATTAAAGTCAAGATACTCGTTTCTGGAGTTAACAATCGTTGAAGCCCCTGTGATATAACTCCGCCCACAGACTGTTGATGCATTTTCAGAAGAACATTCAACCAATTCTCTACACCGCCTGTACACGTTACTTCCTTCTCTAAGACGATTTTCTCGTCTTCTCGTGAATATATTGCCACTATTTTATCATAATCTGCCTCTGAAAACTCCAGCTAGAATTTAAAAAAAATCAATAAATAATTCAAATCGTTTAGTTGAACTAATGTAGGTTATTGTAAAAGAAACCTTTGCAATGTTATCAAAAAATCCATCTAAATAATTATTAATAGTATGAATGTCAGCAGCTTGTCCAAGAATTTCCAACAGAGTTGGATCAGACACAAAGCAAAATCTTGGAAAAATCACACGTTTCATTTCTAGATAACCGCTGAGTGACTTCTGACAAGATTCCAACTGCTCCAATAAATGTGGTAAAAATTGCTGCATAGTTTCATCCCCGGTACATGTTTCTACAGCGTTCATGGTCTCTCGAGCTCGATACATCAATTTTACCCATGATTTATCAATGTTCTGTATAATAAAATAAATTAATAATTAACTTTTATGAATTAAAAAAAAAACAATTCATGAATTTGCAAATTAAAAGAAGAATCTCATGAATGAATTAATATTAAAAGATTTTATTTTATCGAAAATATTGAAAATTTGTTGTGAATTTTCATTAAAAATTATTCATAGCATGATCATTTTTTAATTTCAACATAATCTGTCGGAATGCTTAGAATTTTTTTACTTAATATATTTTACAATTTTTAGAGAACGGTATGTAATGTTATTTTTTTTCGATTTGTTTATTTGGAATTTTATCTTGTTATAAATTCAACGAATAATTCTTTTTTCGTGACATTAATACCATCCTTTTTACTATTTTCTTATAAACATTTTCTGAAGTTTAAAATATTTTGCAAAGATATTTTCCTGTCCAACTATACTGAAAATCATAAATGTTACGTGCAGAAAGGAGTGAACATATGAAAAGTTATTTAGTCATAAAATAACTACTTTGACAAGTAAAGTCACTTTGTACAACCTTAGCTACAAGAATTTCCAACAAAATCTATCAAAAGAATGCAACATAAATGCCAAGTAATATTAAAAAGGACATTGACTTTATAAAATATAATAATAAAAAATTGTTAATTATTTACTTCTTCATACTTCTTATAAATATTTATAACCATTTTTATCAATCAAGAATGTCATAAGAAAAATAGCATGAATGCGCTTTTTAATTTCGTTATTAAAGTTACTTTTTATATTACACTTCATGACTTACATTAAAACGCTTGGCTTCATTAGGAAGCTGTTTAGCAATATCTCCACCAATAAAAACTGCTTCCAGATATGCCCATAAATTCTGTACAGTCAACCACGTAGCTAAAATCTCTGAAGTATTACTCAGTTTATTTTGCCAGTTTTGTATATCTTTTTTGAAGAAAGCATTGTACCTAAAAATCGAAAATAAATCAATCAATTTATCAAATAATTAATAAACTCATTAGAAAATCAGAAAGCAAACCGATTAGCCATCAAGGAACTAATGACCATTAAACTATCCTCTAGTTGACTAATTATCTCCATCGTTTCGATACCTTTCAACATTAATTCGCCTCTTTGTTTAAAGTTAGCAAACTGCAAGTCAACAATTGCCCAGTCTGCAATTACTTGATTAAGTTTACTCTCAATTTCCATCTCTTTTACTGCACTAATACAAATATCCTCAACATCATCTTTAAATTTTAATAATGGAGCTTGCATAACGTTCGCCAGCGTAAAATTTTCCGATTCAACATCGAACACGTAGTCACAAAGCTTGGACATTCTCTCCCAATGACGATCTTTCATTGCTTTATTGGCCATCAGCTCAAGTAATGGACAAGTTTCATTAAAATCATCAATTTTCTTTTTTAAATCAATATAGGCTGGCCAATCTTGCATTCCTTTTGGTAATCTTCTACATCTAAAATGATTTATTTTCAAAACTGATTATTTTTCAATCTTATCTTTTCCATTTGTTATTTCTTTACATTTATTTTTTTTTTATATAATATTGATGAAATTATAATATGAAAAACTTACTTATCTCTGAGATCAGCAAGTTCAGCAATAATTTTTTCAATGTCAATCTCAGACCAAGGAATTTCGTAGTATCCATCAATAGTACGCATAACTTGTAAATAAAGTCCATATAATTTTTGCAGCAAATTTATCTCTTGTTTTCGCTCATGCAGAGCTGGATACTCTGTAAGTGGTAAACCAAAAAGAGCTTCTCCACTGCTGTAAGTCTGGTAACGTTCCCATAATTCATCACAACGTGCCTGAGCTAGGATAAGTCTACAAAATTAACAAAAACAAAATGCATTATAAAAAAGCCCAAAAAACACATATAAAATAAAACGTTTTGATAATTTACATTAATAGTCGGATAATTAAGAATGAAAGGTAAAAATATGAAAAAAGTTAGAGAAAAAAAAGGTAATTGAACGAAGAAAGAAAGTTAAAGTTTTAAGTGGGTGATGAAAACGCAAGAAAAGTTTGTAAGAAGAAACTTCTATGTAATAAACACAAATTACGATAAACTAAAATAGTTCATTTAAATGATTCGAATTCTGGAATGGAAAGTTTGGAAAGCAAGTAAGAACTGCTTAATTAACAACGAATTGTATGAGGTAAAACTGAAAGTAAACATATGTAAAAAAATGGTAGATTCTTAAGAAATTAATAACATTCAGCAAACCTTTAGTACATCTTTCAAGTATTAAATAATCTTAAATCCAGTTCATTTGTGAAAAAAATATTTTTATGCTTCATGCAAAACAGACATTAATATCAGTGTATTACTTTTATCTTATCGTTTAATTAATAAAAACTTAAATACAAAAAATTGATTTTTACATGCACGCTATGCATATTTTATCGTAGCATTTTGCTTATGTACAATGTATTTAATTGTACCACCTTTAATTAATACTGCGGTATAATAAAAATTTATCAAATTATCAATTAAAAACCTAACTTTGAAAAATGTACTACTGCTAAGTTGTTCAATAAATTTAATTACAAAACGTAAATAACTAAATTCCCATTTCAGCACTCGGATAAAAGGAATTCCTGATAATAAATACCGTTCACTAGCTTCTTTAGCTGGAATTCCTTCTTCTTTAGGTCCGTGATGTTTAAAATCATCATCGAAAATTTCTACATCTTTTTTCAAAACCATTACACCATCGATCAATTCCTTCTTCAATGGTTCTTGCATCTCACATATTTTTTGCTGAACTTCTTTGGCCTGTTAATCGGAAGAAAATTTAGTGTAATTAAACTATTAAAACGCTGAATTATTGATAATGGATAATCCCAAGTAAACGTTGATACATTTTGTAACATGTTGCCAAAGTTGTATCGTAAACTATCAACGATGTTTTGATCTTCTTGCTGTATTGGAATATTAAATTTCGCCATCAGAGTGTAAGTTTCTTCAATCATCATCAAATTTGTGTCTAAGAATATATAATCTTCCCTTATCTGATCTAAACATTTCATGGCTAGACGAACATCTTCCAAATCATTTATCGATCTTCCTAGTACCTTGTTTCTTTCATAAATATAATTTTGCATATATGTAAGTTTTTCTTCGTACATTTTGCTCAGAACTTTACCAAAGGTTGTTTTCCAACTCATTGCTTCTATTAATAAACCCGTTTTCAATTTATCTGAAATTTTGATTCATTGATTTAAATGATTTGATTATAGCCCAACATTAATCAGTGGTATTGAAACTTCTTAAAACTTTCTATACAAACCAATATTGATTTCAACGGGACCAATAATATGATAAACTGGAAGGTTTTTTATCTCGGTAACTAAATTTTCGTAGAAAACAAATCTTTCTCTTATTTCATCAGGGTTTGGATCTTTATTAATGAACTGCTCGATCTGAGATTCTCTATCTTCTGCCCAAACATGACAATATTTTTTCATGTAAATCTTTCAACAAGTCAAATAAAAGAATTTTATTTCTCTCAACAATAAAAGATGAAAAATATAATTGCTCTTTTATAAAGAATTAAATTACTTGTCTCAGATGATTAATATCATCTCGTAATACAAGGATTGCTGCTTGAAAGCTCATGGTGATTCGAACAATTTTTTTGTGTTCCACAATTGCCTGGTAATAAGTTTCCATATTATCTTGATCTGTAGAAAGTATCAAAAAAAAACTGAAGTAGTTTATATTTTATTCATGTATTCATGTAAAACTTTACCACCAGTTTTCTCGACACCAATTTTAGTGACTTTTTTTCGTTGTGAGTGTCTTTGTCCCCACATTATAATACCATCATGTATCTGGATTAAATTTTTTACAACTGTCTTCACATGGTTATTAAGTTCCTCAATACTAGGTGACAATATAATATTAGGTATTTGCAGTATGAAGTGAGTCAGCAGCAAGGGCGTTTGTCGTCCTTTAGTACTATCACTGGAAATAATTGGAAAATTTTAAATTGCTACTTTGTAATAATATATTCAACGAAATTTTCCATTTACTACTTACTCTAGGGTACCAATTCTTTTCTTCAACATCTCCAGTGAACGTTTAGTACATTTAACAAGTGCTTCAACTAGTTTATTGTTAAAATAAGTAAAAACTTCCATACAATCACGGTGAATACGAGTTAAATTAACTTTGGCTGACTCATCAGTACTTTTATATCCAACATCCAATGTTCCCCTTGTTAATCTTGCCTGAGAACCAATTTGTCTTATTACTCGATCGGAATCGAGCCAACGGTACTTATCTTCTTCTACTTCCGGATCTGTTATAAGACTTAAACATTTATCAATTATACCAATAACAGCATTCTCAGCTCCAGCAGATTTGGTTTCCAATTCTTTTGCTATATCACGACCAATATCGTAGTTTTCAGAAATAAATTGTGCTGGACTCAACGGTTGATCAGGAAAATAAATTAATTGAGTTCCAGCTATAGTATTAAATACTTCTTCAACTCTTGCTTCTTTTGTATCCACTAGTTTCTTCGTAAATATTTCTACATCTTGAACAATGCGATTGATTTCACTACATACTTCTGGAATCTTCAGAGATGTCCATGTGATAACTGATAGACATGGTCGAAATGCAATGTCCATTTTCACAAATGCTGGACGCATTAATTTTAGAAACAACTCGGGAATAGAACTTTTGACATAATCATTCTCTTGTACAAGTTTCTTGACAATCTCATATGATGAATATATTTTATCTTTGCAGAACGAGATGATTTTGATAAATTCCGGCACTTCGAGACCCAGTCTTGACATATAATCTGCTTCCTTGAGGACTTCATGAATATACGGATCAAAGTTAATTATGTAGGTATACTCTTTAGGATCTTTAACCAACAGAGGCGATGTCAAAGCTAATCGAACCTGTAATTATTTATTCCAAAGTTACGATTTATTTAAAGGAATGAATTGATTAAATAATTAAATTCATCTGAATTAAATACAAGTATTAAATAATTTGAAAAGGACAAATTTTACTAATGTAAGTTCTACAAACTCAATTGGAGATTGAAATTAAAACATAAAATAAGTTGAGAACTCAGTGAAGTGAATCTGATAATTACTGAGTTTATTGAAAAAATTATAAAACTTATTTAAACTAACGAATAAAAGTTTAGTCAGTTTCTTCATACAAATTAGTTAATTGATTTTAGGTTGTATTTAGTTTTATCATTTTCAACACCAACTTAAAAATGCTGTTAGCATTTTTTTAACTTTAATTTCAATCTTCAAATAGCTTAGACATCAATTTAATTAATCAAAGTTGGTAGAATTTACTCTTCATATTTAAAAAAAAATTATTTCCAATAATTTGTTAATAGTTCATATTGAATGTAATATAGAAAAATAATTAAAAGAATAAATGAATTTTAAAACGTTCGTCGCTAAAACTCTATCCTAAAATTAATTTCAATGCAAATTAAATAAGCAAATTTAAAGTAAAACCTACAACTTCAGCAGAATCAAACCAAGCTTTATGATAAATGACTTCATAGTGAACGAAAACTTTGAGTAATGCATTGTACATTTTGATGCACTTTTGCATTTTTTCGTGAGTGATGACTTTTTCTCGTTGTCTGAATATATTCATTGGCGTTTCAATTCTTTTATATAACTGTCTAATCCAAAGAATTCTTCCAGCAACAGGTGGGGTATTTCTAGGTAACGGTGGAGAAGATCTATCTTCGTTGTATCTGTCTCGCACTGTTTCTATTTCTGTTTGATACATTGTCACAAGTTCCAAGTATTTGTGATCGATCCATAACCGTTGGAGATTCAATTTCTGAAACCTTTCAAGGAAATAGACGTATGAAAATCAACATAAAGTACCAGAATGTGTACCTAAGAACTAGACGAAGCGCTTCATCAATATTCGGAGTAAGCGAAACAGTTTTGAAGAAGAAAGTTCTTATTTCCAACTCTGTTTCTGTCACGTTCTTCTTGAATTCATCATAATCAGAATCAAAATATGGTTGTCGATGATTCAAAGGATCATAATTTTGTGTAGCTATTTTTGTAAAGTATCCCATGAACTTATTTGTAAAATGATCGATGCCTTGTATTGTTGAGCTTTGAAGAATACAATGAGATATATGAGCTTCAAAAACTTCAATAAGCTAGAAAAATGTTCAACTATATAAGTTTGATTATTATTAATGTCAGAATAAATACTAACTTTTTCTAATCGTGTTTTGAATTTATCGAATTTTGCAAAAACATAAATTTCAGAAATTTCTAAAGGCTTTTCATCAGGTGATTCTTCGATGCTTTTTATCATAACTTTATAGCATTTAAAATATTGTTCATATAATTGAATACAATCTTTCATTCTTGAAATGATAGCAGCTCTTGCTTCTTGCCAGATGTTGAGAGTTCCATTTTCAGTGAGATAATTTTTGCAAGCGATAATAAGTTGGTTAGTGATCTGGAAGTAATTTTCTAATGAGATTTATAGTATCCAATACTGTTGAATTAGTGAAACCAATTTCAGACCTTGGCAAATACAGCAGTAATCATTTCCTGAGAGTTAAAAAACCGCGATGTTGAATAAACCATTCTAATTGCATTCATGAGAGCTGGTAAATGACTGCCAATTTTCGTTGGATCTAGTTGATATAAAGGTCTCGTAAATTTTTCAATTGAATCTAAATATTTAACATTATCTCTTGCTAGAATTTCGACTGTTGAAACTTTATCATCTAGCTTTTTCCATTTCTGTTTATTGAATTTAAAGTTTATTTTTATTTATCATTGAGAAATTTTCAGTGTATGAAAAAATGATAAATACTTTAACGAGCTTGGATTTGGCTTGGACTAAAAGTGCCATAAACATCTGGGTTTCCGGACGTTTTATGTAGTTGACAATAAGAGAAAAACGCGTGAGAATTCCGCGCCAGTAGATAAGCTCAGCCCTTGGTCCAACATCTTCTTTCTCTCGACGCAATTGTTGGCTTTCAACAAGAGCCTAAAATATAAATTATTAATCCACACCGTTGGGATTACAAATACCAAATTATTTTTAAAATATTAAATATTACCCTCTCTATTTGCTTTATCCACATTCGAACACAATTTTCTACCTCTACAATAGCATCATAATTTTTTGCACTTTCCATCACATTCTCCATTGTCGAAACATATTTGTCAAAAACATCTTGATATTCATCGAACTTTAAGATACTAGAAAGATCTTTGTGTGCCACTAAAAAAAATTTTTCAATCATTTTTAGTACCAATTTTCTTGAATATACTAAAATATTCCTTACTTTGTAGAAAATTACAAAAATCTTTGAAATCACTGATAAAATTGTTCCTTATTTTTAACCCTAAAACTCTATTCTTCAACAAATCACCCCATTGTGTGTTTACTTGTACTGCTGGCTCATTCAAGCGTGAAATAAGTTGAGAAATTCCTGCAAGTGTCCCACTACATTGATCATCAACTTCAAGATAAGCGTAATACGTTTCCTAAATTTTCCCATTTTCAAACTGATGATAGATTTTATTCCGTTACTTATCCACAATAATAAAGTTACCTCTAACAATTGCTTCAACTCAAACTCTACATCTGTGCGCAGTCGATAAACTATCACAGCTTTACCACAGAGTTTTTCTATTTTTCCATCCGTTACACAACAACGTATGATCTCCTGTTGATGTTTCATACTAGAGTCCCATCTTCCTGATTCTATAATAACCAAAAAATTGTTTTTGAAACCATTCCACATTGAAATGACCAAAACAAAACATGAATTTTTGAAATTATTATCAATTCTATGAGTCCATATTTCATACCGATGGGTGGAGGATCCATCGGTTGATAATGAATAATAATCGTTCGACATCCACCTTCAGATAAAAAATTATTAAACACTTCAAGATATTCATTTCTATCAACAACACCATCTTCCAAACTAGAAACATCAGTATCTAAAATGAAAGCTACAACTTCTAGGATATGACGATGGGTTGAACGAAGGGAACTTTGTCTTTCTATTCTTGATTCTTTATACTCAGCCTATTGGAATAATTATTTAGATCTTTGAATCATTTGCAATAAAATAATTTATAAATATTAATTGTTTTATAATAACCTACTTACCAATTGTTCTGCTGAAAGCTCAAGTGGTACTTTAGAAAGCTGACTCATTCTTCGTTTCAACAAATCTTCAATCCTCTGTTCAATAGCAGGGATCGTATAATCTCGATAATTGATATGATTATCCATTTTATAATAAAGTAATCAGAGTTAATCGCAAAAAAAAATCTTCCAAACCTCTAATCTCAGGATTTATTTGAAGTTGGTCAAATAATTATAAACAAATAACACTTGAATAATAGAAGTAAAAATGGAATGGATTGACGAAAGTTTTATTTATATTTACAGTGTTGCGCATTTTATTACACGATTCACTAGAATTATTTAAACCGGTACATTAAGTATCGTTATTATTATTTTATAATTTAGTTGTAATTAATTCGCAAAATTTTTTTAAATTTCATTTCATATACATAATATATCATTGTACCTCTTTATTATCAATTTATTGATTTATTTTTAACTTGATATTTATGAGAAAAAAAATACTCCCAACGTACATTAAATTCGATTATACACGCGTGATTACAGTTTACCATTTACGAAGAAGTGTCGCGTAAAGTCGACGACTAAAATGTCTTATAGTGGGTATTAAACGAATATACAATAAAGAATTAATATACATATACTCAATAAGCGATCAACATTCAGTATGAGGATGTCTCAACAAAATTAAAAACCATTTTGTTATTATTTGGTATATTTGAATATAATGTAAAACATAAATCCTTATTTATAATTTGTGGTTAGGCCAGATCGAACAATGGCTAATTTTTGAAATTGTTTTATGTAGTTGAGACAAACTATACATTCAATAAATATTCAAAAACTACATAACTCTTATATGGAAACAGTTATAACTTCAAATGTGAACAAATATATAAACAAGATTAGGGTCTTTTTTTTTATTATCTCTGTACTCTGATAATATTTTGAATATTCAATCAAAGCATTTCAATCATCAAGCGGAAGATAGCTTCTCTTTTTGCAAGTAAAATTACATATTTATTTATCATTATTCTGATTTATTATTAATATAATAATCATGCAAATGATATTTTTGAAATTGTTCCACATCAACGAAAGCATTGGAAGTGTTCATAAAATATTATATTAAAGATAAGAATATCTTTGCTCTTCTGAATATCAGAATATTTTTTTCTAAGGCTATAAAACTTAAATGCCAAGAAATTGTATCAATAAAAAACACAAGATGGTATTAATAAAATTATTTATATGCCTAATTGGATATTAATTATAATTGAGATGGCACCTTAGGCATTGTTTATCAGATTCATTGAATTAAATGCAACATTAATGCATTGTCAATCTCATTCCAGGCACCCTTATATAGCACTTAATTTATTGAGTTGGTGCGCAGCTTATCCCTCATTATGTTTATATTTCTTAATCAATAACACTCTTCACATACATACTCACTCTCCTACAGGAAAACAATGATATCAATTAGTTAAATAATTGTATAATAAAACCCAAATATCTGTACTATTAAGTACAATTTTCAATTGTTTAAACTTCAATTACTATTGTGGTTACATAATAGACATTGTAGCCACAATCTTATAAATTCTCTCTTATTCGTATGCTGTAGCAAATTGTCGGTCATATAACAGAAATATTTTAAGAACTAAGTATATGTTCTTATTATATCGATGACCAATTAATTCAAAGAGATATCTACAACAATCCGTTGCCCTCTATATGATGTCCAAATTATTTTAAATCAATAATCCTCACTACCATTTGGCTCCTCCAGAAGCTGCGGCTTCAGCAGCTGCTCCCGCTGCAAATGGATTTGTGGCTAATGTCACAAAAAATGGAGTTATTAGTTACATTGTTTAAATATTATTCCTGTATTTAATGGATTTTTTGATGATAATGATGATGATGATGATGGTGTAGAATATTAAAAGCAATAAAAATTTTTACTGCAAAGAAATAAATATTCAAATTAGATAAATAAAAAAAAAACAATTAATTACTTACTTACATATAAAATAAAAAGTTCAATGATTATTTAATTTTATCCTTTATATTTTATGTTTTTTTTATGTTAAATTAAAACCTAATAAATTGTAGCTTAAATAAAATAAACTAGATAATAACCAAAAATAAAAACACATAATAAATAGAAATAAAAAATTTATTGGTATACAGGAATGGCATATAAATATAATAATAAGAGCTGGGGCAAATCAAGTAAACGGGGAATAGGAGTCAAAAGTGGAAGGTTGTAAGAGGGTTTCTTTCATGAATAGCTATGAAAAATAAAGAAAAATATAAATTAATTTTTGAAAAAAATCCATGTGTATATATCAATATAGTAATACTTTCATTTAAAATAATGAATATGATGCTTTTTTAATTATTATGCATCGTGACAGAAAAATAATAGTTGTAATTTAAATAAAACTAATACGAATTAATTTAAATACAAATAATAAAAATAATTAAATTGATTAAGGACAATTATGTAAACATAATTTGATGGTATTTTCAGAATTCTAAATTCATAAGTAAGCATGACGAAGTAATTTTCCATGATTATTTAAATAATATTCCTGAGGAAATACATCTTCATTAAGTGTACCTAGATGAAAAATAGTACTTGTCATTATACACTGCTGCACCTTCTTTGGTATATGTCCTCAGAACATAATTAAAAGATCCTTCCATTGAAAATTGATTATAAGCATGCAAAGCCTCAATTTCTAGAGTAAAATATTTCTTACTTTTAAAAGAAAAAGCTCTTAATAAAAAAAATTAATAAAATAAAAAAAAAAGCTTTGCACAATGAATTATGATAAGATGAAAAATCTTCCTTCATAAAAACAAATTCTGCGAAGGTGCTTAAATACATGATTATCGATAATCAGACATACTAGTCGTATATATCACACGTTCTCCTCCACTGTTCAAGTTCGTGCTTTCATTAGCAGTAGTTGGTGGAGGTGGCATTGCAAATACAGTATTTGACGCAGCTCCTTGAGCTGCTCCACTCGTTGGTTGACTTGTTACCGCCTCTTCATCACTCTCATCCTCCTGTAATTGATTTTCAATTAATAACAAACTCAAATGTCACTAAATACAATCAATATATTTCCTGAGAGATTCTTCTACTGATAAAAAACAAGGGATGCTCATTCGAGATTTTATTGTGTTGATAAAATAAACATTAAACATTCATATTCAGTTCATATTCAATTATTATTATTGATTTTTTAAATATAAACTGAATTACAAATGAAAAACCCTTCAATATAGTTAAATACATTAGATAAAATTGTCATTATTTCATCAACGTGAATGAAATTTATATAAAATTAACAAAAAATTATGAAGCTTGGATTTTAAAAAGGTGTATTTGAATACATGTTATAATTATTCAACCTACCGTGAGAAATGTTTCAACTAGAACAATAGAATTTAAGTGTTTTAATTTTTTTATAACAATAATTAAAAATTCTTTTATAATAATAAAATGAAATTCATTGTGATAATTCAAAGAACCATATAGACCATTTATTTTTTAGTATTAAAAGTATTTGTTAATTTATTCAAAAATTTCTATGCTATTAGTTACCATTTAACCAACACACAGTAGAAGAATCTCAATAAATATTTAAATTTTCTCTCGTAACTGAAATTGTACACATAAATTGGTACCAATGTGGACTAAATAATGATGTTGTTATGAATGTGTTTAGTCAGTGCGTGAAAGGTATTCACCAACAATTGAATTAGTTAAAATAGTTAGTGATTTGTTGTAAGTGCATTAATGAAACACATAATAAAAATTGTATATATTAAAAAATAAATATTTTTGCCTGTATTTTTTTCCATTCTATTTGTTTCATCTGGTTAAATAATTGTAATAATTGAAACAAAATTTTGAATTATAAAAATTATTAACCAAATAAAACATCAAGCTTAAAATACATACCTTATTGAAACCTCGGAATTGACTGGGCATATCACCGGCATTCTGGCCCTGCTATCATACAACAACAACATAAACCGAACTGCTAAAAATCTAAATGCGTTTTAAATAAGGCGAGACATGCTTGGCAATGAAAACAACGCGTGCATCTACTTGTTGAAACAATTTTCAAAAATTTACAATGAAAAAAAAAAAAAATGATGATTTTGTCAATTAAAAAAAAGTCTAATTAGTTATAAGTGAATATCGAAAATGAATAATAGAATCCATCAAGAAAAATTTGGAAAATATTTATAATAAATACATTTTTTGTTTTTCTTAATCATGCTTACAGAGCAATGAGCAATGATATTAAAATTCAATTATGATTAATGAGAGCACGAAGTTCCAGTGCCAAGAATACATTGCCATTAAATATAATAAGTAAATATTGGAATAAGTAAGTGATTAACATGGAAAAAAAATGATCCAACTTTCTAAGAACAAATGTATTGTCGTTGATTTCTTTTATACGATATTTAATCTTATCATCTAAGCTCAGTGAGGAGCAGATTGATAATAATATATAATGTGTAACTCACTGATTTTTTCTCATTGGGATAGCAAAGTAATTAAAACATTTGAAACAATTACAGAATAGAAAGAAATGGTGTTTTTATGACAGTAAAACTAAATGTCTAAACAATAGTGAGATGATAAGAGCGCAAGATAACTAAACAATAAAACAATTAAGCAATTACTAGTAATGAATTTATGATTCCCTGTAATTTAAAAAAGTGAAAAGCCAGCTATGTGCAAATAAGTAAAGCTTTCCAAGGTTATATCTGCGCAACTAATCATGCTTTGAAATTCGACATACTTACCAGACAGCATCGAATTTATTGAACTTGTATTTCCGTGATTAATCAATCATACAAAACAAAGCCCAGCGATAGAACATTAATTCCACGCATTAAGTCATTACATCTAAAGAATATTTACCTCTCTGACATGTAAAATCTATTAAAGTCTCCCCATATTGAAATGTCACATCAAGAAGAAAAAAATTTGAAGCATTAAAAAGAGTCCTCTACGTACCTTTTTTTTTTCTCTAGTTAAATTTCACAAAATGGTGAATAGCAACAATTGCAAAAACAATCACACGTAAAAGTAGCGCATGCAACCCAATCCATCATTTATACATAAAATTGTAAATAAATATTTTGCAGCCACAGCACACTACCAATAAACCGAAAATTGCATCCGCGAGTCTAATCAGTGAGCCCACAATTCATTATTACGCATGAGAATAATTGATTATTTAATAAATGTTGTGATAATGAAAATTCATCACTCATAATAATTCATCACAACAATTTTTCTAATGACACTCTTTACCCGTTCGTTCACTCCTCCTAGATAGTTCTATTATAAAATAATCCGTTGTAGTAATTACTCAATTGATCAATACCTGTAGATTATGATAATCGCCACTTTCTCCAGGTGGTGCGGGTTTGAATTTTCCGCAGCAGCAGTTACAACAGCAACATAGACAGCAGCAGCAATAACATCCAGTTAAAATGCCGCAAATGACCATAAATGCCTGAAATAAAATGTCATTTAATACAATGATCGTATGTGAATTTTTATTGGAAAAATTGATAAACATTTATGGACAATTCTTACTTTGCACCATCCTGACGTTACAACGAAGTAAGCGTTGACATTTTCTTCCCCAAACTGTTCAGCTACATACAGTCCGAGTGATCCATAATTATCATATATATTTCTCTTGGTTAAGTCTGTTAATATCGCGTGAGCTCTATTTATTTCTTTAAACTGTAAAATAAAACCTTTATGTAATTATAAAGCTTATAAATCTAGTTTTTATCAGCAAGAGTGAAATTACCGAGTGCTATTATCGATTCATTAGCACATTCATATTAAAATTCAACATTTTTCAAGCCAGTAACAAGGATTAGCCTAAATTTTTAACGAGATTTAATAAGATTCATGATACCTATTTGATATCCATTTTTATTTAATAATATTAAAAAAAAAATATGAAAATTATCTATTGAAATTGACAACTTGATTATTTGACCTTAATTAAGATTCTGAATTTAAATACAGAAAAATTACAATAAAACATGGTTGTCAAGTTTTCATAATCGTAATATGGAAATATTTTTACAATTGAAGTAATAGCTATGTGACAGTTATGTTTCATTGTTATCATGAACCCCTTGAAGCAATAATTTTCTATTTCCGAAGAGTGACAAATGATATTATAGAAAATATTATAATAGAAAGTGTCAAGCTGCCTATCAATAACTTGCTCACATATAAATTCTTGTTTTTATAGCAAATTACCTTCTCAGCTGCCTCTGGGTTGTTCGGATTTTTATCCGGATGATATTTTAAAGCTAGTTTTCTGTACGTTTTTTTAATTTCTTCAGGTGTTGCTGTTTTAGGAAGTTCTAAAAGTTGATAGAGGGAATCCCCCGAGGTTCTAGAAAAAAAAAAACGTGGACGAATAAGTATGTTGAAATGTCTTATCCATATTTTGAAGCAGAGAATAATTCAATTTTTAATTTATGAGTCATCTTCTAATCTTAGAAATCGACATTGATCAGATATTAAAGCAATTAAAGATAAAAGTCGTAATTATTAATATGAAAAATAACTTGCCAAAATATCAAACACATATAATTTTATATCAAAAAATGATGAAAATACGACTACAGATTATATTTTGAATTTTGATAGAAATTATACCACATGGCTATACTGTTTATTTAAGTTGTCTGACAGTTGCTCGAAATATTTACCCAATGGAGCATTAATCACAAGTATGAAGTATGAAAACAGACAGCATAGAATCAATAAGTAACCACTAAAAATTAACTCATTATCCCATTTAACTTAAAAAATGTATTATAATGATTATTCTTATTATTATTCTGATTTTACATTATTGTAAGGGTGGCGTCAAGGTCACTTAGAAATAAAAAATGATGTCAAAGTTAAAAAAACGTTTTTGTTCAGCTGCATCATATGGCTTTGAAATACTACATTCTATAACCCTCACAGTAAATAATAATACACTTGATACTTTTCATGATCACAAATGCACTGTAATGGTGTATTAAATAATATTATCCATTTTCAGGGTGTATCGTTTTAATACTCACGACATTTTTCGCCGATCCATGGCGTTGTAAAGTTTTTTTTATATTTTCTTGATTAATCCGACAATGACAGAGCCACAACACGTGGTCTAATACACTGATCACGGATTATAATAAGTAAATTTTAATTAAATTTAACACTACGCAAACATTCTTCGATTTTGTCGAAAGAATTGTATAGACACCTGGCTACTTGATCGAACCACAAAAGTGCCTACACCGCGCACACCGCCGAATTCATTCAATATTTTAGTTTCAAATAAGAACATGTGAGTACGCTAATATCGGACGCCATTTTAATCTAGTCACGTGACTATTTGCCACGTGATAACTCTAAGCGGGTAATTTAAATTAAATTTAAATAATTTTACTTTATAGATTATGTTAATATTTACAATTTATTTTGATAATTTATATACATTATTATATAATTGTTAAAATATGATAAATGGTATGAAAAAGGGCAAGAAAAATATCGCCAGTTTGTAAAAAGCAAACAAATGTATATATAACTTTTTATATTACCTAAAACTAAATTATAATAATTATAATAATATTCATAATGATAATAACACTGTACATTTAAATATTTTAAATTTGAATAGCATACAAATGATAAGTTTTCATGGTAACATTTTAATATATATATATTTATATATATATATCTATTTATCTCTAAAGACTTAAGCCACGAAAATATAGATTGTAAATTATTATTAAGAACGAAAATTAAAAATATTCTATGTATTTTTTTGTATCAATAATTCTTTACTAATAATCATTTTAATCGGACGTAAAATTGAAAATCCATCTTTGTTAATTCTCTCAACATGGAGCCTAATCTTACTAAAATTTATTGATAATAATACAATTCTTGTCTAACTTATTTGAAAACATGACTACGATTGTCAATCGTAGATAAAACACTTCGAAGACTTAATGTTAATTCTGCCAATGAGATTCGTTTTTCATTTGTCAGTTGACAAAAAATTAACTGTGATACTACAACTAATTCTCTTTCTTATATTTCACCTTAATTCAAAGGTATTCGTTTTCTTCACTTTGGTTAATATTAGACACAATTTTATGCCCTAATGTAGAATTAATTGCACGTCACCCTAGTGTAAAAAATAATCAACTTTCAGAGGCATTTCGAATCGAAGAATTTAAATAAATGCTATATTTAATCATCTAAAACGTGGAAAATTAATTCAAGCACTACATTTATTTCTTGACTACTTTGGGCAGCTTTATGAAGAACCGGGATCAATTCATTGTCCAAACTATTCATATAAATTGGTGGTAATCGGGTATTTTCACTGCCTGCTTCATATCCAACCTAGAACATTAATAAAAAAATCGTTAACTTAGTTCAAACAATATAGTAGTTAAAATACTTTTAAAACTTCTTACATTATCTGTATGAATAGTCGTTCTAACAGCCAATTTAGTAAGTCCCGCAGTTGCCAAAAGATCTAAAAGCTTCACCAATGCCGCACAGGTAGCTCTAGCAATACTCTCTGATAATTTATTAATGTCTACAGGGTCATGAACTCCATTAGGATGATCATCAGATTTAATGATAAAAACTTCTGTCCATCTAATAAATCTACTAGTTCCCATATAATCAGTTCCATTGTGAACTCTAATAGATGGAATACCATCCATCGGTTTACCATCTATAGGACTTTTAACACCTAAGTTAAACTGAACATCATTCTCGACCCATTTAATATTAACAGTCTCATCAGGTTCAGATGCACCTTGACGTCCACAACCAATTGAAAAATCTTGCATATTTTTTAATGCTGCTTTAAGTGCTTCCATCTTCTCTGGCATTATTTGAACCATTAATCCATCTTCAACGATACTTGATTTTGCTGATAAACCCACGGAAGATTTTAATGCACCATTAATTACAACAAAACTAGCTCCAGTCACCTTTCGTGGTTTGTTATGAATATTTATCGCTTGAGTTTGATAACTGCTTTCATCTCCAGTGTTAGTTTGAATGCAAACAAGATGTGAGTCTGCATGAATACTGAAATTTGCAGCAAATGCAAGGACATGGTCGTTAGAATTATTTAATCCTTTAATCACTTGATCATAACGATTACGAGGGAATAAAACATCTGTTGTCCTATCCTGCATATGAATTATTAAACCTCTGACACTTGGAAGAGTATAAGCGTAATTCCTGAAGTCAGCCAACACTTTCATAATAGTATGACCGATTTCAAAGTAAACAGCATCCCTGAATCTCACTGACACCAAAGGGCAGGGATAATATCGGTATTCAGCTCCTAAACGTAACACCAATCGTAATGGGAATATTTTTGCCCATGGTGTTTCCCATCTATGGACTAAAAGACCAACTAAGAAAGGTGCAGGTGGAAGAACAATTTTTTGTAGACATTGAAATGTCTGTCTTATAAAAAGAAATCCTGCATGTTCACGAGAACCTAATAAATTTCCTCCTTGATGAATTGAAACGCCGAGTTCTGTTACGGTATTGCCTTTAATAGCTTCAGTATAAATTTGATTTATGTGAATAAGTAAGTCTTTTGGTATTTGAGTTTCTTCTGGTAGAGTTTCTACCAAAAGAATTACTTCATCTTGACCAACACAAGCTAAACCTCTTGACGTTACATTCCAGCATATCCTATTCACACAACAATTTAAATTTGTTATCTTCACATAGGCGTAAAGATTTCGATTGATTGCAAACATCACTGGTGGTTCACATTCATTTTTGAGTGATTGAAAAAGTTCAGCTTGATCAACGACTTCGTGATACGAAATTTCTAAAAACAAAACATAATTGTTATTAGATTTTAATTTATTTCTTATTAAAAAAGATAGTATCTGTATAAACTTACGGCCTTTATGAATAGTGACTGTAGGAGGTAACATATTGGCATCTTGAGGAATATAACTATTCGTATGTAGATCGAGAGGAGGTAAATTTTGTCTCTTGGTAGCTGAAGTTGACTGGGATCCAGGTGATGGTATTCTCTTATTCCCAATTTTCCGGTAAGGCGGCTTCAGATCCCACGATGTATCAAGTTCTGTCAGGTCACATCCAGGCCTTATTCCTGTGTTTTACGTAGAGGCCGGGTGAAATAAAAATAGAAGGGACGGGAACAGGGCCATAACAAGCATTGGTAGGTCAATAATTAACAACTAAATAAAACTTGGGAATAACTTGGTATGAAATCGAAATAAAAAATAACCAAGAGCAAAATAGAGGTCATGGAAGTTACATTGTTGGGAATATTGTTTACAAAAAATTTCTCATTTCTTATATAGAAAATCATTGAAAAAATTCGAGTTATGTAATAATTGAGAAACAATATAAAAGTTTACTCACCGTCACTGAACATCACAGACTTTTGACCTTCTGCACGCTGTTTAGTACTTCCTTCACGTTTTAATACTCCAACAGGTACCATGACTGTAGGTGGTGACGGCAATCCACCGGCAAGCTGTTGCAAAGGAGGTATTGTTGAACAGTATTCCATTGGATTATTTGGATTAGGCTGTCTTCCCTGTAACCATTTGTCGAATACTCCATTGTCGAAAATTAAAGATGCAAATCACGTGCCATATAATTTATTCAATCATTCAAAGCTATTTTTTATGATGCATTTATTACATGTAAGTACTTGATAAACAACTAAAAACTTATGACAAAATAATAATAATAAGCATGCAACTGGCAATCAAAAGGATGTATTCAACAAGTCGTTACAGAGTGGAAATAAACTGTCTAAATCATATGAAAAAATTATTAATTGTTCAACAAGCATGGTTTTAAATCATGAAATAAAAAAAAAATAAAAGAATTTTGATTTTTTATTGTGAAATATTTACCTGAGGTGAATTAATACTTGCACTGGCATTATTAGCATAGTCCGATGACCAATCACCACTCCCGTGTTCACTTTCTGCTGGAAAGAAAAATAGAATTAATGGACCAAAGAATTTCAACACGATGGAGTTTTAATAATAAAGAGAAAATGACACTTTCACATGCCGAAGTGATTCTTACTTCTGATTAACTGCAAGTAACAAGTAGAACATACTCTTGATTCTACATTTTTTTGATATTCAAGTTTGTATTTTAAGTTACAACACTTGCTACACAGCACCTGGATAATAAAAACAGTCATGAGAAATACGGTTATTTATAATTTCAAGAATAATAGACAAGTCAATTTAAATATTACTTACTTTACCGCATGCTCGACAATGATGCCGTCTTTTGATAACAGTGAAACGTGCATCACAAAGCATACAATTGGGTGCCTCACTATCTGGGACCCAGAAAGGCGGTTGTTTTCCCAGGATTATTCCAAACTCCATCGATGAACTATCTGAGGCGTCTGGCGAAGGATCCCGTTCTCTTACCACTGGATCTTCAGTCACCGGTGGTTGGTCTTGCGTGCTAGGAGTCGCACCTGGTAAACCTTAAACAAGTGAACGAAATATAGAAACAGTAGCTCGAGTAACGGTGCAACAACCATGACGGTAATGGCATGCCGCATACAGTCTCCTTGTTAATTAGGTAAATAACATGAGTCATGCTTCAGATACTTTATGATTCCTCTGATTGAGGCTGAGTTCAAACATTATTGTTTACCAGCTTACCTATTGTTGAGTGGCTGTCCATTTTAACTGGCGAAACTATATTTAAAGTTTGCGGTCGTGATGGTCTTTCGAAATCCTCTTCAGAATTCAAAGACTCTATAGCATCAGTGGGAGTTTCAAGAGCTTCAGTTGTGTGTTTTTTATCATCTACCATAGTAGGAATTTCACTCAATTGCTCTACAGAATTTGTATTATTGTTTACGTTCAAAGAATCACTAATATTTTGTCCTTGATTAGAATCGTTGGGATTTTCTTGTGATTTTATTGCTATACCCTGAGGTAATTCAGTCGATTTTTCAATACTGCTAACTGTACCGGAAGTTTCAAAATTATCAGCGTTGTTCTTATCGTCTGATTCATTATTTTTTGATGATGCATTTGCATCTCTTGGTGAAGACTGATTGCAATTATCAGAACCACTTTGGGTTAACTGAAGATTTGCTTGTTTATTTGCATCCTGTACAGCAGCAAATTGTACAGCATTCTCTAAAGCATCATTTGACGACTTCTTCGCAGTTTCACCAGTTTGTTTAATCTTTTTTTCCTTTACCTCGGAAATAGTTTTTGCAGGTTCGTGGAACTTTTCCACGTCCTTCTTTTCTAAAAAATCACCAGACTCACTACTTGTTCCACTTTTACTATAATCAATAACTGGAAATTTTTTAGCTTTTTCTTGAAGCTTTTCTTCAGATACACACGGCAATTCACCTATAGTAACGCTCTCAAATATTGGAGCTTCATTCGCATCTTCATCATCATGTTGACTGGACATTACTCTTCTCAATGCACCATCATTTGTATTAATGTACGAAGAAGTTGAAGATCCTGGAATTGAAACGTTCTCATATACAGCGACTTCTTCTTTGGCTCTCTCTTCAGCTTCTAATTTAGCTAAATATTCATTCAATTCTTCTTCAGATAAATCATCTATTGTACTAAAACCTACCGGTTTATGTTCCACCTGTGGTGGCTTAATATTGACATTTTGAAAAACAAGTTTTGTCGGATTTATACCAGTTGTTTCCATCTCTGATGATTTCATACTTACAGTAAACTGTTCATTCAATCTTTTTGCTGCAATTTCAAGTTCTGTCGTAGTTTCTGGTAACTCATTTGTCTTACCAATATAAATACATTCATAAACTGTTTCTTTATTAGCTTGTTGATTGAAGTCTACATTTTCATAAACATGTTTAGTCTCTTCTTGACTCGCAGATCTTGAAACATCTGTTGATTTCAATTTTTCTGCAGGTACATAATTTTCTTGATTATTCGAAATGTTTGTACCAATATGAATGTTTTCGTAAATATGTTGTGAACTATCAACCACACTTTTTGCTTCAGATAATTTATTCTGCTGAGTCTGTGGAGATTTTTTATTAGTTTGATTTATATTTGATGCTGTAGAAGGATCCTCGGTGTTGACTTCTAATTTTTTATCACTACTAGATTCACTTTTTATTGGTAACAATATGTTCTGATACTCCGGTAATGACGTGTTTATCGATTTTTTAATTTGAGAATCGACAATAGTTTTTTTATCGTTTGTTTCATTCACTTTACTGTCCTTGACCAATGTATTATTTATTTGTTTATCGATTACGCTTCTACTACTTTTACACTCATTTCGATCTACCGAACAGTCTATGCGTTCCATATTTCCACTAGAGGCATTAATATATTCATTTAAACTATTAAATACATTGCTAACACTTGGCTTAATATTCGGTTGATTAAGTTTCTTATCGTAACTATTCTGATTTTTCAACATAGTATTATCATTTTTCCTCTTCTGTACCAATTTCTGAGAGATATCATTATGAATAGTTAATGAAACCGGTTCAGATTCACAAAAGTCCACAGCTCTTTTTTGCTGAACTTTGTCATCTAATTGATAGCCTCGTTTATTAAATTCATTTACTGATTCACCATTTCCATGAATTACATCTGCTTTGCGGATGTCCAGAGTCTCTGTTATTCTTTCTTTTGGTTGGTACACATTTTTATCATCAGTATTTATTTGTTGAATGTTCATCATTTTTCCTTCAGTTAATATATGATCGTTTTCCTTGTGAACACTTGAATTACTGCTAATGACCGGTTGATTGAGAATCTTGGTCGATGGACACATTTGACTTTGAATTACTTCTGTAGACACGTGACTCACTGATTCTCCAACTGTAGCTACCTGCTCTGCACAGTCTAGAAATATTAACAGATTGGTTAATTGGTGCTAAAAAAAAAAATTACAAATATTCTTTGTTTTAGATAATTACCTTCATTGAACTCAAACTCATCGAGCACTTTATCAAGGTCTACGGCAAATTTTTCCATTGTTTTCTTATTATCTTACCGTTGTTTGATACAATAAATATATTATTAAAAAATAAAATTTTTTAAAAATGAACGTAGAAAATTCTTATTTATTTATATCTTTTCATTTATAAAAAACGTCATTCCTTTATAAAGATGAATTTAAAACAACCGTCATTTGTAAAACGCCCATTAAAAATTCCAGTATAATCAACGTAGAATATTTCTTGATACACTCTCGAGTTACTTGTTGACAATTTTAGCGATATAATAATTTATTTTTAAACAGTTATCAATCTCCAAAAAGAGAAGTTAATATTGTCCAAAAAAAGCATAAAGTAAAAGATAATTTACACAACTTCACTCCAATACTATACGGATTTTTTTTTTTATAAAAACTAACCTCAAATTATGACCAAAATTGACACCATAAATAGTTCATTAAAAATTAATATTATAATAATTTTTATAAAAAATTTATATATATTTCACACAATGTCACGGCGCCATCTTAAGCAAGAGCATTTATTTCATTCACTAATGCATTCTTCCTTAATAATTATTTTTCTGATTAATTTTCACTCTTTTCTCATATGTAACGATGACGACATACATATGATTTTATCTTGTTGCACTGATCGTATTAGAAAACCCACATTCCATGTATTTTCTCCGAATGAAATGCACTTCATTCTACAATTCATTGACTTGACAGCAAAACGAAAAAACGTGTGGACTTGAAAAAAATTACCCAGTATGACATACTATAGCAAATATCTATAGCGTCTGTAGAGACATTTAACTGTAATAATGGCGATGACGCTATGACTTTTCCGGTAAGAATACTCTCTTGTTTACCTTCAGTTAATAAAGTCCATAATTTTGTAAAAAAATTTGTATGTGTGGCAATCGGCAATCAATGATGACACAAATGTGTACAAAAATGGCGAAACTTGTGCATGTTTAATAATTGACGTCTCTTGTATTTTTGACAGTTATCTAATACATACCAACAGTGAACGCCTACGCTATTTATTTAATTTTATGTATGTCGAAACATCTTATAAATATTTTAATTCATTAGTGAGATCATTCTGAGGTTATAAAGAATCAAGACTCGTGTTACCTTTTTTGTTAAACAGCATAACATGGTTTAAGCACGCTCAATACGGTCTTTACAAGATTTGTCAGAAACAATCATTTAAATAATTGCCGATTATCGTCTTACGTATTTACACTAATTACTTTATGTTAAAAGTGTATTTTAAACGTTTCTAAAACGTCAATCTGTATTTCTAAGAAGCGACAATGGGAAATAGACTATTATTGTGCAGACGTAACATTTATTTTATTTATTAAAATTAAAAAGAACGTGCTAGTGTGATGTAGATAATTGAACAATTGTGACATTAAGTTTCTAAGGAATATAAAAGATGAATTATAATATTTTCTAAATAATAAGATTGAGTAAAACTTTATACTAGTGATATAACAATGTGGTTACTTTTAATTGTATAAAATGACAACAACTATGGATAGTAATAATTCTTCAAAAGTGGAATATCCCATCCACAAATGTATTTTTCAAGGAGACATTAAGTCATTAAGTTCATTATTAAGAACTCATGACATTGCTGAAAAAGATAAACATGGTAAACTCATTGTCTCAATATTATTATTTATTTATTTAGATAAACAATTGTTCCAATGATTATTATCATTTCAGGAAATACACCATTACATTTAGCTGTAATGCTAGGAAGAAAGGAGTGTGTTCAACTTCTTTTATCTCATGGGGCACCAGTGAAAGTAAAAAATTTAGCAGGATGGAGTCCTTTAGCAGAGGCGGTAAGTTATGGTGATAGACAAACGATATCATCTTTGGTGAGGAAATTAAAACAACAAACAAGAGAACAACTGGAAGAAAGGCGGCCAAATTTAGTAGCTGCTTTACGTGAAATGGGTGATTTTTATATGGAACTTAAATGGGATTTTCAAAGTTGGGTACCATTAGTGTCGAGAATACTTCCATCAGATATTTGTAGAATATATAAACGTGGAGCGTCGATTAGAATGGATACAACACTTGTTGATTTTAATGATATGAGGTGGGAGCGTGGTGACATATCTTTCATATTCAATGGTGATCATAAGCCTAACATATCGCTCACAGTTCTTGACAATAAATCAAAAGTCTTTCAAAGAATTAGATACGTGGAGACTGAGAATGAAATCGAAGATGAAGTTGATATACTGATGTCTAGCGATATCATAGCAGCACAAATGTCAACAAAGGGTATCACATTTTCAAGAGCTCGAACTGGATGGATATTTAGAGAAGATAAGCGAGAAATGGTCGGCTCCTTTCAAGCAGATATTTATCAAATTAATGGTATGATATTGGAAAGTAGAAAGAGACGAGAACACTTGAGTGAAGAAGATTTGCAAAAAAATAAAGCTATTATGGATACATTAACTAAAGGAAGCTCTCAAGGTTTTGCCAATGGAGAGGTAAATTGTCAATATATTTTTATAAATTTATTATATATTATATACACATATATTGATTTTATATAAATATGTTTTTACAGCCTCCTGTAAGACGAGCTTCTTTAAATCCTCCTCCTGATACAAATATATCGTGGGAAACATATCTTGCCGCTCCTCCAGGCGAATATCCTCTTTTAGGTAGAAGTTTGGTGTACAAAGAGAGCAGTAAATCATTTAAAGCAATTGTTGCTATGAGTCCAGATTTTCCAATGACTGTCGATATGCTCTTGAATGTTTTGGAAGTTATTGCTCCTTTCAAACATTACAATAAACTTCGTCAATTTGTGAAAATGAAGTTACCTCCAGGATTTCCTGTGAAGATTGATATTCCGATCTTGCCAACTGTTACCGCAAAAATAACATTTCAAGAGTTTGCGTTTAGAAAAGATATTGATCCATTGACATTTGAAGTACCAATGTATTACTTTGAAGATCCTATGAGGTACGATATAAATTAATTCTCAAATTTAATTTGTAATATTTAAAAATGTTTCAAACTATTTGTTTATTAAATAATTTTTTTAATAAAAATTGCCTGAAAAATTTCAGCTACTACGGGGCGTATATGACAATGATGATGGTTCGACATACCACTTCGTCTATGTGAAGATAAGGGTTTTAATCTAGATTTAACGGTTTATGAAGAAAATTAATAATTTTTGATTCTAACATTTAAAATACTAAAACTTATTTACGATTGCGAATCCATGTCGCATGATATAAATGCTTTTTTTTCTAAAATATAAAAAAATTACTACCATCATCATTGCACATCTAACTCCAAACTACTAACTAGTTTTTGAAAATTAAATAATAATATTTGGTTTTTATTTGAATAAATTAATTACGAATAATAAAAATAACAAAAACATTATTTAACTTACAGATTCCCAGATTTATGACGCTTTGATATCCTAACATTAATTGAGGTCAATTATCAAACTGGTTCAGGGTTACTTTCTCTACTTGGAGAACATCTAGCCCTAGAATTTCCTCTTGGAGTAAGCCTTGGTAGTATTTATTCAAGTTACTGTGTGCTATTAATTGAATAATATGACAATGTCTGCTTGCACCTGATAAAAATGAAGTTCGTATACTCTAAATGAAAATATAAACATGAATAATCATTGACCATGGAAAGTATTAATGTGTGAATATCAAAACCACACTTCTTGTTTAGTTACTGATAATCTACGTATTAATTCCAAGGCTACTCGTAGTAACTAGACGAAGTATAGTATAAAATACTAAATGATTTTTACTTTTTAGTGCGACCCAAAAAGCTTGTGTCGTTAAACATTTGTTTTATACTATGAAACTAAAAAATATTTTAATTTCGTTTGCCTTCTTAAATTAAAAAAAAAAAAATATGTTACTAGTTTATCAGCCACTGCCAAAGCAAAAAGAATCACTTATGTTTTTTATACAAGCTTTGCTAAATTCTAAATTATTTTTTTGTTAAATAACTATGACTTTGCCTAATCTTGAACTAGCTACACAAGACCTAATCAATAATGCAACATAATTTAATTAATTGATCTAAATTCTGAAAATGAATATGTATCGATTTGGCACTTGGTATCTTTGAGTACAAGAAATTGATTGAAACATATGATGAGAAATGGGAAATACCTGCTCAATGGTTAGCAATATTTATATCAAGAAAAATGTATTTAAACACAAGAACAATGCGAGTGAGATTATGGACTGGAATTCTTACCACATTTTAATGAGCGACGTATTTATACCGTGGCCTTGTGGTAGAATTTCATTTATATCAACTAATTTTATGAAACTAAACATTTAAAGAAAACATATACTGAGCACCCAACAGACGTGCCTGTCTAACTCTTCTATCATCGTGCAATCTAGTCCTGATATTAAATATTTATAAATATATACATATATCTATTTTTACACAATTCAAAGCACCAAAGCTCATCAATCAATCCAATTTGGCATACAATTTTCTCCGTAGTTTCTTCTATTTTTCTAAATTGTGTATTTTCTGACATGCATGATGATTATCTTGACTAATAATTAAATTTAAAATTACAAAAAAGGGGTCGCTCTATGATTTTTTGACACTAATTATATTAAATTTAACGTCTATCCGTTTAATATCACTGTTAGGCAGCTTTTTCATATCATATTAATGTGCTAGAAAGTTTTTAGATAAAATTATACATAAACTATTTTACAAAATTGATTTTTAAGTTATGAAGCCTTCCTTTATGACACTTCCTCCTAGTCTCTCACTCAAAGTGTTGTTGTTTTGTTAAGAGCAAAAAAAAAAATAAAATAAAATTCACAATATATATTGTTAGTTAGATCTCAAGATATATTGGTATAATCATTTGTACTGTGTTGTGTTATGAAAATAATTATCTCTATATTATCAAATCGTAGAACATTAATGAAAATAAAGAATATGTTATTGTTTTAGTGTTTTCCTCTCAGGTCTACCAATAAAAGTTTTTGTTATCTTATTGATTATAAAATAGTAATTTTATACTTGTTTCATAAATTTATTTGCTGTAGTTGATGAAATGTTTTAATATAGTAAAACCGTCCAAAATATCACTTTAATGATAATCATTACGTTTAATTATAATAATTAATATACGTCTGCATTTATCATCTTGGACCAATTCGCATGACAACAGTTTCTTATCCTGTAAAATATTAACGTTAAGTAACTTTCATGTCTTACAATAAAAATTGTCATTCATTTATTGTCACCATATTTTCATTGTGTATTATATTGGCTTAAATGTTTGTAAACTATAATAATATAAACAAATATAAGTACAATATGATAAAAACTATCATCTTAATTTGATATTTATCAACCTTTTCATTTTATGGAGATTATAAAAAAATACATCATAGTGTGATTTTGATAATAAGTATTGTTATTTACACATTCAAATCAATTCTTAAATTACAATCGATAATAAAGTGAAGACAATTTATAAAAATGTTACAAAAAATATAACATTTGTATTTAATTTTTGTTTTTGTCAAATGTTTTAAATTGTTGATTATTGCTTGGTATAAATACTAAATATTAATTATAATTTCTAATGAATCATTGCAGCTACTTATCAGACATGAAGCCAGCTTCTTGAAAATAAAAATGTACAATATTTATAAGAGATAAATAATAAACTCTGAAATATTTATCTTTTCAATACTGACCTAAATCGATCTAGAAGAAAAAATAAATACAGTAATTAAAATCAGTGCGAAAGAACGCTTTAAGCAAGTGTGTTATTGAATACTGGAAAAGCGTCTGATTTACTAATTGTAGGCACGAATTAAATTTATTCAATTGATTTGTTTCATCAATTTAACTCCGGAGACCTTGTAACCTGTTTTTCATTTCTTCTAATTCTGTATCAGAAGCTTCTTCAGGTTCTTCTTTAGATGTTGAAGCACCAGGGGTTTCTGTTACAATTGCAGGCGCCGTACCTAATTGCCCAGCAGTGAGTTCCCACAAAATCTGAAAGAAAAAAATATTTTAATAATTCATAAATGAGAATCTTTTTTTACATTCTTTACCTTATCAACTTCCTCATCTGCTTCATCCTCTATTTCCTCGGAGTCTTCTATCGAATCCATAGTTTCATCGAGCATTTCTTCAATAATTCCTGCTTTCATCATTTCTTTGGACAATTCTCTCATCGTAGCTGCTACTTCGGGTACTTTTATAAGAGCTTGCATAGCTTGCATAACTTCAGTTGACTTAGAAACTGAACCTGCTACTCTAATTGCAGCCAGTTGATTTTTCATTTGTAAAGAAACTGAATTTAAGTGTGCCTTTGACGTGTATATTTTATTACATGCTTTTCGTGCACGGATGATTTCTTTGGCAAGGATTTTACAAACATCCTTGTCCCCCTTTTTAGCTGCTTCCTTCAAGGATTTCTTTACTTTTTCTTCTTCTCGTTGAATGGCTAAAAAATATATGAGAAATCGGCATAATTCCAAAAAAATAATTATCATGTTAAAATGTTTTAGCGAATCAAATTATTATCTTATCATAATGCTTAGTTAGACATTGTTGATATTCTATTGTATTTATTTTGAGTAATGACTCACCCCTAACCTGTCGATCTAGCTGATAGCTTTCTTTTCTTAATTTATGAGTCCATTCTTGTACCTGTAAAAATTTGTATTAATTACTATTAATAAAGTTAATAAATTAAATAATTATCTAACCTGCTCTTTTGGGTTTTTCTCTGGAGTTTTTCCAAAAAGACCCATTGTTATTTCATAGATTTTGACAGACGTGTCAAGGATCTAGATTCTGAAAATATGATCTACATCTAACAACAGAACCCTGCACTACCTCCTGAGTCAGAATTGATCTTACTAGTAATTTTAAACATTGATGGCGCTATTTATTAATTCCTATTGCACTGACGTAATATTTAAAAATATTAAATGACTATTCCCTAAATTTTATTTAAATTCAATTCAAAAACTAAACGAAAATTCTTTTTGTATAGCAAATAAATTTAACTCGAAATCTCTAGAAATATATAGATTTTACAAAGTAGATAGTGTTGGTAATTGTGATGAGAGTCGTGAGATAAATGTAGTTAATGCTGTCACGCTAGTCGTAGTACTTTCAACTGATGTAGGATATTCTGTAATTGTGCCATGAATATTCTTCATACAACATGACGTTTGTTCTGGAATATATGTTGTTTGTAAATAATTACTGAACCACAAGCTGTGATTACTTCTCAGGTCAGGTATATTTCGTTGAATTTCTTGAACAAAAGCCACTAGTTTTTCTAACTCTTGAGATAATAACACTACTTTTTTCCATAAAAATACATTTTCATTTTCCAAAAATTGTGCTTTTAATGCAATCTAAAATAAAACATTTAATCAAATAAAAATAATCAAGTCTTTAATTTATAGAAAATGGAAAATGATTAAAACTCACAATATCTTCACGCATTCTTCGAGCATCTCGAGACTTTTTAGCAGCTTGATTATTTCTTTTGCGGCGTTCGTAATACTTGGCGTCTTTTTTGTCCTCAGGTATAGGTTTCTTTTCACTTCGATGATGCCTTGATCGACTTAAAGAGTTCATATCCTTGACAGGTTTATTGGTAACGACTGATTCAATGGCTTTTATAGACTGAAATTACCTTCGTTGCATTGGACTAGTATAAACTCGTGCACATTGTATAACGTGATCAGATCGTTCAGAGATTGTCGTAACTGTGAGAACCAACACCTGATGTTTTGCAAAAGCTTCTAACCTCATCAGTAATCGGGGAAGATCATGACAAGTGTTACTGTTTCTCATACACATATTGTTTTTTGCACGCATTCATGTCCAGGAAAAGGTATTTAAAAATTCATACTTATCCTAGTAATAATAATTCACAATTACCATTATGATCAATATAAATTATTTTTAATGTAATCAAATTAAATGGAATATCAATACCTTTTTCAATGTATGTTTCAGGTATATTTAATTATTTTTTGACATCAGGCCTTTTTTTGATTGAATTAGACTTTCGAAAATTGTATAAAGCATTTTTTCGACGACGTGTTAAAGCATTTGATGTTGACACTTGACGTAAAAATTCATACACTAATTCAGTAACACCATTTAGATCCTTTTCATTATTACTATTTTTTTGTTTCTTTCTACGGTTGTATGGACTTGGAGGCATTTTTAAAAAATTATAATTTTTACAGTTATAAAAAAAAATAGTCAAACTTGAAATTTAGATACCAAAGGGTTATAAAAATTTGAATGTAAGTAACAATCGCGCGAAGAGGATTGAACTGCTAGCGACATCGGTGGTAGTTTGAGCAAACTAATGAAACACGATAAAATTGTTGGTAAAGAAATTCGTTTACACAGAAATATATACAACGTTCTATTTGGTGTAAGAATTCGTAAGAAAAAGGTAGTTTAGTTTGAATAAATTAAATGAATCGAGCAATTAGACTGTTGTGATTTACGATTGGCGATCGACACTGAAAATATATGAGTGCACTTGCATAGAAAATAGTAAGAGGTTTGCGCGTGTGTGAATCTGTAATAATCGTGCATGCGTGCGTGTCACGTACATATCGGGGCGTGTACATACAGATACAAGACTCTTGGACCGCTCAAAGCACGGCAAAGTTGGTTGACGAAAATGGCACAGCAATGTCTGTTGTGATCGACGTGATTTGTGATAAATATTGTCGAGTGAATCCGTGAAAGGGTACAATTGAAGTATCCAGCGGTCGCGCGCATGTCTCTGTTCACATTATCGCCATTTTGTAGGTGAATATTACTCGTAGCTTTTTTTATCAAATGACAAAATATCCCCTGGCATAAATTGTGGGACACCCGTATCTCACCTCCTATTCATCTTCCTTCTCATTCTGCTAGTGGTGTTGGCTGTTGTCGTGGTTGGCTCTCTATGAACATTAATGTAACGCTATATAATATCTGAGGAATAAGGCACTGTATGCAGAAAGTCGTGCGTAAATTTCCCAAAGGCTCCTTTTGTGCCTGACGATCTCACTTTTCGAGGTATCCAGCTCTTATTTATGTATTTCCTCAACCTGTATATCAAGCGAAATATTTAATATGATGTTTGGTATTGACTATCAACTTCAGTGAAAACATCTCAACCAGGTCGATTCGCGGCCAATGCCACGGTCACTGGTAAGATGTTCTGCCAAACTTCATTGTAATGACACATTAGATATACTACTTGGTAATCGTGATAAACGTTTTTTTCTTTCTCATCTCACTCATTAGTCATGAGGGCGAATGAGACTAAGAGAGAAAGATATATATTTTTATTAAGCAATCTTCACGCGATCAAGCCTTGATTTCTCGCTTATTTGCAACCGCAGCCACTCGAGGATATGTGTCACACATTTCAAAATGACGTCGTCTAGTCACTAAATTATTCCAGCTCTAAAAAAAAATCTTTTTTCTTCTGCATTATATATTTATTACTTATAGATATACTTTTCTATCAACTATTTAATATTCATTACAATTTTATTGTCTTTCCTATTCAGGCATTTCATATAAACTTGTCGATAACTCTGATGATGGACTGACATGAAAAGAAAGACACGCGGTACGAAGCGGTAGAGTGCAAGGACCCACGTCATTGCAGAAGAAACAAGTTTACAAAAATTCCATCAAATATAAAATTCTATTGACTATGCCAGCTATTCCAAGACCTGGTAGTCTTAAGGATCCCGAGATTGCTGAACTTTTCGAAAAAAATGATCCGGAAAAGATATTTGAGGACCTACGGGAAATTGGACATGGCAGTTTTGGCGCAGTTTATTATGCGCGATGTCTACTTACGAAGGAAATCGTCGCGATTAAAAAAATGTCATATCTCGGCAAGCAAACTGTGGAGAAGTGGCAGGATATTCTCAAGGAAATTCGTTTCCTGCGACAACTCAATCATCCAAATACTATTGAATACAAGGGTTGCTACCTCAGAGACCATACAGCATGGGTAAAAAATTTTATTATTCATTTTTTTTATTCTTTCTTTCCCTAATTTGCTAATTTAATCATTATTTTTTTAAAGCTGGTGATGGAATATTGTCTCGGTTCAGCGTCCGATATAATTGAAGTTCACAAGCGTCCGTTGAAGGAGGATGAAATAGCAGCAATTTGTGAGGGAGTATTACGTGGATTACATTATCTGCACTCTTTAGGTAGAATACATCGAGACGTTAAGGCAGGTAACATTCTCCTAACAGAGAATGGTACAGTTAAACTTGCTGACTTTGGATCAGCAAGTATCAAGTGTCCAGCAAATAGTTTTGTGGGTACACCATATTGGATGGCTCCGGAAGTAATATTAGCTATGGATGAGGGCCAGTATGATGGAAAAGTTGACGTATGGTCGCTTGGAATCACATGTATCGAATTGGGTAAGGTTCGTTTTGCCAGTAAATTTTTTTTGTTTTTTGTTTTTCATTATTTCCACCAGGTACTATATTGTCTAAGTGCTCTAATGACTAACTAATTTATCTGTAGCGGAAAGGAAGCCACCGTACTTCAACATGAATGCAATGAGTGCACTCTATCATATTGCCCAGAATGATACGCCGACGTTGAATTCTCCTGATTGGTCAGATATTTTTGGTAATTTTGTTGAAGTTTGTTTAACAAAAAGTCCAAATGAAAGACCCTCCTCTGGTAAACTTTTATCGGTAAGTTATTTTTTGTATCATTTTTTCCAATTTATCATTTGATAATATTGTTAGAGAATTGACGTAATTATTATTATAATTGGTTGATTAAATCTTGTAGCATTCCTTTGTTACTCGGACACGGTCACCACAAGTTTTAATTGACCTTATACAAAGAACAAAAGCGGCTGTGCGTGAACTGGATAATTTGAACTATCGGAAAATGAAGAAAATATTGATGATTGATGCATGCGAAACTGAAAGTAATGTTGGTGACGCGGATGGTAAGGATAATTGTATTTTTTATGTTCTATTTACTAGATGAATTTTATATAATCTGATTACACAATTTTATTATGTTTAGATACACCTGATGAACAAACAGGTGGAGACAGTAGCAAGAGCAATTCAATCACTTCCGAACATTCAATTCATTCAATGGGTGTATCCGCGAGCTCTCAGAGTTCTTCGACAAATAGTTTACCACTGCCTAATGCAGATGCAAACGATTATTCGTCTGGATCTGTGAGAAACCGTCATAAAGCGTCTGCGGGTGTTACTGCCAATCTATTGGAGCATGGTGCCAATAATTTTGCAACAATAAGGACTACTTCAATTGTTACAAAACAACAAAAAGAGCATATGCAAGAAGAAATGCATGAACAAATGAGTGGCTATAAGAGAATGAGAAGAGAACATCAAGGTGCACTAGTTAAACTTGAAGAACGTTGTAAAATGGAGGTTGAATCCCATAAACAATTGTTGGATAAAGAGTATGAAACGCTGTTACAGCAATTCAGCAAAGATCTTGAAAAGTTACAATTAAGGCACATACAAGAATTAGAGCGTAAGTTAAAACAAAATCAAAATGCTGAGAAGAAGCTTCAGAAAGAAATAATAAGCCGTCAAGAAGCTGATCGTAAAGCGCTTGAGGCACAACAAAAACGAGAATATAAAGCGTATAAAGAGAGATGGAAGAAAGAACTCTCACAGGATGAAGTTACGCCCAAAAGACAACGTGATGCCACCTTACAAAGTCAAAAAGATAATTTACGACAGATGGAAGCTCAAGAGGAACAGCGGCTTGCTCGGGGACAACGTGAATATCTCGATTTGGAGATAAGAAAGTTCCGTAGAAAAAAATTGCTCATTTTCCATAGCCTCGAGCAAGAATTACTCAGAGAAGAACTCAATAAACGTCAACAACAGTTGGAGCAAGCGCACGCAATGCTTTTAAGGCATCATGAGAAGACGCAAGAGCTCGAATACAGGCAACAACGTGCTGTACATTCATTACGTGAAGAGCAAATACAGCGACAGCATGCTACGGAACTGTGCAATCAACAGGAGTATATGCAACGCTCTGAACGTGATTTACGAAAGAAGCATGCACTTGAATTGAAACAACAGCCTAAGAGTTTAAAACAAAAAGAAATGCAAATAAGAAAGCAGTTTAGAGAAACGTGCAAGATACAAACTCGTCAATATAAAGCTTTGAAAGCTCAGATACTCCAGTCCACTCCCAAGGATGAACAAAAAACAGTGATAAAAAAATTAAAAGAGGAACAAAGACGTAAACTTGCACTTCTTGGTGATCAGTATGAACAGAGCATTGCTGAAATGTTGCAAAAACAGAGTATCAGGTTAGATGAATCGCAAGAGGTTGAATGTCATCATCTGAAAGAACGACTCAATTATGAGTTGGAAATTCTCATGGCATATCAGTCAAAGAACAAGATGCAAGCTGAAGCACAGAGAAATCGTGAACGTCGAGAGTTAGAAGATCGTGTATCAGTTAGAAGGGCTTTACTTGAACAAAAAATGGAATTAGAAACTCAGGAGTTCCTTCAGGAGCGAAGTGAAAGGATACGGTTGTTACATGAAAGACAGGAACGTGAATTACAGCAATTTGATGAAGAGAGTGCAAGAATTGGTTTCAGGTGAGTTCAATCTCAATTTAATATTTTTTTTTTCTTTACTTTTACGTTAAATTTATTAACTTACTAATAAATATTCTTTATATTATATTATAGTGCCCTGGCAATAGCAGAAGCATCAAAAGAATCTTATCCAGATGATGAAAGTCTCAGTGGTTCCATGTTAAGTTTAGCTCACAGCAATAGCTCTACATCTTTTCCACCTAATAGTATCTAATTATTGACAATATACAATGTGTATGTCTTATGACGACTCGTACCAAACGAGCTAATAATCTTGTGACATCTTTGACATAGAAACTTTATTAGCATTGACGTTGACAAAAAAAAAACTCATGATAAAAATTGAAAAGTTTCTTACGAACATATTAGTGTAGTATATGAGTAGTATCAACTATCGAGTCGTCCATCCAAATTTTTTATTTTTTTTTATCTCATCTCATTTAAAACGTTTATGATGCATTAATAACTTTCATTTACCTCAGTCTCAAAGTTTATTGACGATCATTTACTTCCGTCATTCTTTTTTTATTCTATGTGAGTCTTGTAATCGTTTATTAAACGAGAATCAGATGATTGTGCCAGATTTTTATGTAAGATGCCAATTGTTATGTGTATTCTAAAGTGTTAGGGAAACAAAGGAAACGAAGTTAAGCAACGAGTTTTATTTTTTAATTAAATGTTCTTTTAAATATTTACTATTGTTTCCCTAAAGTAACATTTGTAATCTAGTGCAATAAACAGAGGGCGTGTTGCATTTTTTACAAAATTCCCATTTTAAAGTCACAAAAACTTGCCCAATACAATGATAATGTTACTTAATTAAGAAAGTTAAAATAAAGCGTTACAATCACCTGACTCTCATTATCGTAATACGTCGTGTACATACTTTATATGAAATGAAAAATCTAGCGAGCATGAATGATTTAAAAGAATGGTGTGTCACAAACAAAAACATCGTCATTTGATAGTGACCGTATTTTTAAGATCTGCTCCAAACATATTATCTCCAAAAGTTGACATTTGTTTGTATTATAAGTGATTGCTACAAGTATATCGATCAACCATTAATAGATTTAATACGACTCCAATAATAATATTAATAATAATTAATAATATTGATAATAATAATAATATTAATAACGATAATAATAATTAATAATATCGATAAGAACATTAAAAGTAATATCAACAATAATTTTAGTAACTATATTGATAGTAATATTGGATAGTAATATTATTATTGCACTTTGCTATCATTGCCGTGAAACATTTAGGAAAAATAACTTTTTTATTGTCGGCATTTGGAGACGTAAGTTCGCTATTTATACATAGGTTAATCTTTTAAAAGAACTGCTTAATTAACTTCCCAAAGCACGATGGTGAAATCATAGCGAATAATGCCTCAATTTGCTGCGTTGTTCGTGCGTAAGAATATATCAGTATCAATGAAAAAATAAAAAGTAAAGTAAGACTTTTTCATTTGCCTTTAAAGTTCACCATGACAGGATCTTCCAAAATATTTCAAAAAATCATTTTCATAGTAATTAATTAAGAAATAAAATTGAATTTGAAAATGTGAATTGATATTCCGTTATTGAAGAAAATAATTTATATGTTAATTTCTTCGTTATTAAGAATATCATCGCAATTTAAAGAAAATATTATGGTAATAATTGTGTGATTAAGTTTAATGAATGTATAAATACATTTTTACACTAAACCAATGTTTAAAAAGTTTAATACGTATCTGCGCGACCAGTTAATTTTTTTTTGCGTTTGCGACTGCAACTCCGGCCATCTGGAGACAAACATTATGCTGATTAGATAGAAATAAAAAGAAATCATCTATTGAGAAATATTGTTTTAAATATCATTTCATTGCATTTATATCCGAAACAATATACAGTCAATTGTATTATTTAATATAATATTCCTTTTCCTTCAATATTTCTATAAGATAAATCAGTGATCACAATCACAATCCTACGTATGAGTACATTTAGACATAAAAATTTAATTGACAGAAAAAATGATTATTAAAAAAAATAAAAGTGATTCGTAATAATATTCACATGAAAATTAATAAAGAATGTTACTTGCTGGATGACTGTTTGTCATTAAAAAATAACCCATTGAATTTATTGAGTGGGTGAAAAAGACGTAGGTTTGAGAATACGACTGTGCATCTCTCGTATCAGTGGAACAGTATAAGATACACATTCATCCCATCCCGGTGAACGCCAAGCACTTTCTCGAGTTTCTGTTCTTGACTGAAGGTCCTTGTAACCTTTAAATAGTAGTTAATTGATAATAAATTGTTAAATAATTAACACATTAAACTTTCATACTTACACCAAATATGGTGAACGTTATAAAGCCGTCCTATTTGTGAAAAGAAACCAGCAAAAGGTTCATCATTATTTCTTCTATATGTTATGCCTCTTGCCCAATTATTAGCCCATTCAATCATTGTCCCTGGTTTCAATCTATAGCTACGTATTTCATATATATTTGGACCCTCTCTTTTAACTGCTTCAGGCCAATAGCTGAATGGATATACATATTGCAAATGCCGAGATCGCAAAAAATTGCCACGTTCCCTGAGTAATCGTTGATAAGACTAAAAAGAATATTCCTGTTACTTAAAAGATTCGCTCCCTCTCTTTCTTTCTTTCTTATCGTGGGATGCTGATAGTTGAATAAATGATTCAGTAATTATACCTCGTCTTTGGATAAAACCAATTGAGCTTTATCTACTCGTTCAAAACTTCCATTGTACTGCCAAAGATGAAGAGCTTGATCTAGATCTCCAACTTCAACAGTCCAGGAACCAACTAATTCACATTGTAGCTCATTTTTTTTGGAATGAATCAGATTAACGTGTTCTTGACTGAAGGAAGGCGATGATGAGAACAAATTAGTTAACAAGCGAATTAAGACTTGTACTCACTAATTGGCAAAATATTTGTCGATGGAATCAGGTCGTATGTTGTGTGTGTAAAGAGCATAAATAGCCTTTTTGTCTGATAACATTCGAGAGTGTGGTTGTTTCGTTTGCTCCATAGTTCTGACTCCCAATTTGCTGAGAAATCCTTCGTTGTTCCGACATATTCTTGACGTTGACAGTAACCTGAAAGTAAGACAAAGAAGATTGTTGTACAAAAAGTTCAAAGGAAAATCATTTACAGACCAGTCTGCATATTTAAGATGCTCATTCAATTTTATTTTTTCTTAAGAAATAATTTTGTCGTCTACCGGGCGACTGTAAGGATCGGTAAATTTGTTTTCCCGATCACCGGCACTGTAGCACGAAGTCTTCTTCCTATCACTGAGACTGCCATCCTCTTATTGGAGCTATTATTATTGTAAAAAAACAATCAACCTTTCCCGTCACTCGCCAATCAAAATATTTCGAATGCTCAAATATCAACAGTTCAACATATCCAACATATTTTCCGGTCACCCATCTGTTTAGATATCAGCGCCACTGTACGACACTTTCATGTACTAAATATTAAAGGTTATGTGTTTAAAGTTCAGTCAACTCATATGTTTGTATAAACAAAACGTTTTTAGTTGAGTTTCGTTGATATTTTATAAAATAATGAGTTCAAAAGATAAAGAATCGTCTTCCAAGAAGGTAATGTTTAAATAAAATAATTATTTTTACTTAACAGTTTTTGAAATGTTAATAAAAAATTTCTATTACAGCGATATATCAAAAATAATTCAAATAGTGGATCTGATTCAGACGACAACTATGTTCCTTATGTACCTGTCAAAGAACGTAAAAAACAAAAATTAATGAAATTAGGACGACTAGGACAACTAAAAGAGGAAGGATGTGGATCTGCAGGAAAAAGTAGCAGTGAAAACGAGAGAGATGAAGCTGACGAAGACGAGGGACAAGTGTGGGGTAGAAAATCAAACATTTCACTCTTAGACCAACATACAGAGTTAAAAAAATTAGCTGAGGCTAAAAAAGAAAGTGCATTGGAAAAACAATTGAAAGAAGAAGAAAAAATTCTTGAAAGTGTTGCTGAAAATAAAGCGTTGATGGGAGTAGCAGAGTTAGCGAAAGGTATTCAATATGATGAACCAATAAAAACTTGCTGGCGTCCACCAAGAGCAGTTATAGCACTTGGTGAAGCAAGACATGAAAGAATTAGAAGAAAATTGAGGATTTTAGTAGAAGGTGATAATGTGCCACCACCATTAAGAAGTTTTAAAGAAATGAAATTGCATCGCGGAATACTTCATGGCTTAGAAAAAAAAGGTATTGTTAAACCTACACCTATTCAAGTTCAAGGAATCCCAACTGTTTTATCTGGTCGTGATATGATTGGAATAGCTTTCACTGGCAGTGGTAAAACGCTAGTATTTGTACTTCCACTAATAATGTTTTGTTTGGAGCAAGAAGTTGGAATGCCATTTATTCGCAATGAAGGTCCATATGGTCTAATTATTTGTCCATCTCGAGAATTAGCTAAACAAACGTATGATATTATTCAATATTACACAAACTGTTTGCGAGAACATCATTGTCCAGAAATAAGAAGTTGTCTCGCTATTGGAGGTGTTCCAGTATCTGAATCACTAGATATAATTAGTAAAGGTGTGCATATAATGGTTGCAACTCCAGGAAGACTTATGGATATGTTAGATAAAAAAATGGTGAAATTGAATGCATGTCGTTACCTCTGTATGGATGAAGCTGATCGCATGATTGATATGGGATTTGAAGAAGATGTTCGTACGATATTTTCTTTCTTCCGTGGTCAAAGACAAACTCTTCTATTCTCTGCTACTATGCCGAGAAAAATTCAAAACTTTGCTCGATCAGCTTTAGTTAAACCTGTAACGATTAATGTCGGACGTGCTGGTGCAGCTTCTATGAATGTTATTCAAGAAGTTGAATATGTCAAGCAAGAAGCTAAAATAGTTTATCTATTAGAGTGTTTACAAAAGACTACTCCTCCAGTATTAATTTTTGCTGAGAAAAAACAAGACGTGGATGCTATTCATGAGTATTTGTTACTCAAAGGTGTTGAAGCAGTTGCTATTCATGGTGGTAAAGATCAAGAAGAACGATCTAGGTCTGTTGAAGCTTTTCGTGCCGGTCGGAAAGATGTTTTAGTTGCCACTGATGTTGCATCTAAAGGTTTAGATTTTGCTAATATTCAACATGTTATTAATTATGACATGCCTGATGATGTAGAAAATTATGTTCATCGTATCGGAAGAACAGGACGATCGGGAAAAACTGGAATAGCTACAACATTCATTAATAAATCAAATGATGAATCTGTTTTATTAGATTTGAAACATTTATTAATGGAAGCAAAACAAAGAGTTCCACCATTCTTATTAGAACTTTGCTCCGAAAATGAGAAGTATCTTAACTTGGGAGATGAGCGTGGCTGCAGTTATTGTGGTGGTCTTGGTCATAGAATTACTGAATGTCCTAAATTGGAGGCCATACAAAATAAACAAGCTTCTAATATCGGCCGACGTGATTATTTGGCAAGCAATGCTGCTGACTATTAAAGTCTTTATGTTATTGTTATTGTGGATATGGAAAACTATTTATTTTAAGAAAGACAATTGTCATCAAGTTTTAGTATCTACGTATGTATATATTTAGTATTAAACGAATAGGAATATTGTATATACCATAGACATGAGAAAACGGAGTAAACTATGATAAGATAGTCAATGAATTTTTAAAAACAATATACACAAGTACAATTTTATTGATTGAATCGGATTAAAATAAATTTTTATTCAATATAAATTTGGATAAGTGTGTTAAATTATTTTAAAAATAAGCTTTAATCAACATTAAATTTTCTTCTTAAGTAAATAATGAATGTGCAAGAAAATTAATACAACAATATTTTTTAAGTTTAAAATTATTAGATTTTTTATGTCATTTCACAAACTTGATTTATTTTTTTCGTTCTGTATGTAAATTACCTTATCATGTATTTTTATTTCATTCTTAAAAGTATCAAACAAGCAGAATATGAATTGCTTAAAATCTGAAAAATATTTCATTATTATTCAACTGATTATTTTTAGAATAAAAATTCAAGAAGTAATATTCTTACAGTTTTTAAATTGATCAAACTTAAATTAATCGGTCCACATGTAGACAGTTTACATTCCATCATATTAGTGCTCATAATTATTGCAAATAATTTTTGTATATAGAGTTCTCTGTTGTACCAAGGTTCCCCAAATGCTTCTTTAGTTATTGATACGCTCTAAAAAATATACAAAGATGGTATGGATTTTTTGTTTTATGATTTTTCATTTTCTTTTTTCAGTTACCAATTCTTGCAAGCGATCAACACTAGCACACATAATGTAAACTTCAACAAAAAGTCCCCCAAAGTATGTAGCTACTAAAGACCTTTCAAAATAACTTCCTGACATCTATCAAAAATCATTAGTTACTAAATAAAATGAAACTTAATTAATTAATTAAAGATAATTCATATTAATGAAACGAACAGTTAATAACATGAATCCCATGACACAAAAGTTTAAAGTGGCATTAATGTAAGTTATTGTAGTATTAATAAAAAAAAGTTTTGGGAATTCTTTGGCAATCCTATAAACAATGTACATAAGAATTAGTAAACTACATTTAAAATTACATTCAATATTTAAACTTACTTAACAACAATCCGATGTTGGTTCAAAAGCTGCTTTAATTCCTCCATCAATTCTTCATTTGTTGAATTATGGAATATAGCAGCTAATCTGTATTGAAGATACAAGTATTGGCCTATTAGAAGTGCAATAAAGTGAACGATATAAATATTGATAGCCGCTTTTTTAAAACCATTATATATACAGCCCACAAGCTGAATCATAAAACCAGTAAGAAAAATTTGAATTCCAAAAGATTGCCAGTTGAAAAAGCCAATTGGAAGACGAAAATCATTCATTGTAAAGTTATTTTTATTAAAAACAGCAAAAATTGGCATGAATGCCCAAATGATGATGGAGCTCATTGAAAAAAATGTATACATTTTAAATACTTTTACTATAGGATTGACACTATTAAAAATGAAATCTTTTAAAACATCAGATTGAATATTAAGAATCAAGTTGAAATTTGTAATTAATGAATGATATTTGTGACGATGATATTGAATATGTATTGTCAAAATAATAACTTCAGCTGAAACCATCAGAGTTATAACACTATCATGTACAGTTTTTAATGTAAGAAAAGATATAGCTCCTTGAAACGTTATTACAAAATATGCTACGTGATAAAAGAAAGTTCCAATACTATAAAACTTTTGTAAACTGTTTATCTGATTATCATCAGATTGAACAGGAAAGCAGTTGCCAGACAAATCATTAGTCAAGGCATTGAACTTATTCACGTTAAGGAAATTCATAATGAGAGCTTTTATCGAGTCTACTGAATCACTATTCTGCTGGTAAAACGATTTACTCCTAGTTATTATATTGATCATGTTATTAAGCTATGTCTGCATTCAATATAATTACGGTACTTCATTATTCAGACTGATCAAGGGAAGTAATAGAGAAATGCTGATTGTAAAGAAAATTATATCTTCTCCAATACAATTCTCTACTATATGATTAAATCGATTCAAGAATTTATTGTACAAATGATTTAGTATAATACTTCTCGAAGAATTCTAGTAATTGGTAATAGTATGGAGGAAAGGAAGATATTGTTTAATATTAAATCATTTTACTTTTTAGCAGTTCATTCACCTGTTTATAGTAAAGTTGTTAAAATATGAAGGAAAAATTGTGAAAAATGATACAAAATATTTTTCATTTAATTTCGGAAATCGACTATTCTTTTAAATCTAGCCGATGAATTTTCAGTGACTATTTCTAAAGTATGAAGATGTGAAAAGTAGATAATCAGGAATGGAAAACTATTTTTCAATTTTTAAGGATGTCTGTAATTTTACGAGCATGAGCTACTGATTTATGCCTACTTTTTTCAAATTAGAAAAACTTATTAGTAATGTTAAAAGATTATTTACTTTATTTATGGATTATTTTATTTCAAAATAAAATAATGTATTATTTGTTCATTCGAAATGAAATACATTTCTTAAATCATTATTGATTTTTTTAAATTAACTCTGAAAAATCATTTAATTCTTAACAGAAGTAAACAAATAGAGTATGCATTTTTCAGTATCTGTAAAATAGAAAAATAATTATTTCTTTTTGAAAATTTTCTGATGTTATAAAATTAATATTTACAGTCATAAAAGCTGGTAAAGAAAGATCAATTGAATCACATATAGATAGTCGACACTTCATCATATTTGTCATCGTAAGCATGGTAAAAATTTTTCTGAAATAACGCTTTTGGCAATACCAACTTGTGTGGAAAGCTTTATCAGAAATTGATGAGCTCTATAAAATATTTTTATCAATCATTATTCTTTCGATTTGATTAATTTTCTTTTTTGTTTTTTAAATTACCACTTCTACTAAATGATTGACTCTAAAACAAACAATATAAACTTCTACCAATGACCCACAGCTATATGAAACGACGAGAATTTTTGAGAAATAACTTCCAGGTATCTGTAAAAATAATTATTTTATGAAAATTCTCAAAAAGTCAATATTAATGGCAGATATTTTAAACTTTATTATTATCTATCAGCTAACGTGAATTCGTTTAATACTAACAGTTATCACCATGAAGGCCAAAAAACAAAACTTTAAAGTACAATTGATGTAAGTTACTGCAACATTGATGAATAACAGTTTACTCAATTTATGAGTTACACTAAAAATGATTTAATTTATTAATTGTATTGATAAAAAACAATAATGAAATAGTTTAGTTTAAGAAAAATTAGTTCTAAGTGCTTTCTTATAAATTCGATAAATGAAAAAGTTTTCACGTGCGAAAAGTTCTTTAACTGCTAATTCATTTTGATTAAATTATTTAATTTTCGAATAGAGTTACAAAATCTAAGTAAATATTTTCACTTACCTAACTATAATGCTATATTGATGTAAAAGCTGTTCTAATTCCACTTCAATTGATTTCTCATTCATCAAATCAGAAAATATTACAGATAATTGATACTGCACATACACATATTTTGCTGTTAAAAGTGTAATAAAATATAAAACATAAATATCAATGGCAATCTTTTTCAAAATTGCATATGCACAGGCAATAGCTTCTAGAGCAGTAACAATAACATAAACACTAATTCCACAATTTTTATTTAAAAAAATATCAATTGGAACTTGTAAATCTTCAATTGTAAATATAGTTTTATTAAAAGCTCTCAACATTGGAATGCAAACCCAGATGACAATAGAACCAACAGCTACAATTGTATAATATGTAAATATTCTCATCACAGGATTAACAAAATCAAAAGTAATATCTCGCAAAGTTTTAGATTGGTAGCTTAAAACTGTATTAATATTCGCTATCAACGAACGATATTTATCACGGTGATAATTCATATAGACAGTCAAAATAATCACTTCGGATAAAACAAGTAAATTTATACTACCATCTTGAATACTTTTCAGTGTGGGAAAGGATATCAAACCTTTAATTGATGATACATAGTAGAGAAGAATATAACAAAATGTTCCGATAATATAAGCTCTTTTCAAGTTACTTATCTGTTTATCATCAGACTGAACAGGAAAGCAGTTGCCAGACAAATCATTAGTCAAGGCATTGAACTTATTCACGTTAAGGAAATTCATAATAAGGGCTTTCAGTTACTCTTATAACAGAAAATTACCTCATATCAAGTTGATTCACACCTAGTCATTGTATCGATCATGTTATTAAGCTATGCCTGCATTCAATATAATTACGGTACTTCATTATTCAGACTGATCAAGGGAAGTAATAGAGAAATGATGATTGCAAGGAGAATTATATTGCCTTCAATACACTTCTCCACTGTATAATTAAATCGATTCAAGAATTTATTCTGCAAATAATTTAGTGTAATACTTCTCGAAGAATTCTAACAATTGGTAATGGTACAAAAGAGGGGAAGATATTGCTGAATATTCAATCACTTCACTTTTAAGCAGCTCATTAATCTGTTCATAGTAAAGTAGTTAAGGTATAGAAAAGATTTTTTTTAAAATAACATAAGAAGAAAAATTTTTTATTCAATTTTTGAAAATTGACAGTTTTTTAATTAGGCAAACTTTGTATGAATCTGGACAATGGCTTTTTTTATTCTATCGTGTGAAGCAGACAAGGTAAGTCTTTAGGAATGTATATTATGTAAAAAAGTCAGTTATTTTTTTATAAATTTTTATTGCATTCCCATTAGTAGTAAACCAGCGGAATATGCATTACTCAGAATCTAAAAAATTTATTGGTTAAAAAGATATGTATATTTTTTTATGAGAAAATTTACATGACTTACGGTTTTGAGAGCAGGTAAAGTAAGATCTGTAGGTTTACAAGTAGTCAATCGACATTCCATTCTATTTGTTAACACCATTAATAAAAAAATTTTTTTAAATGATAAATTGTGTTTATACCAAGGTTCATGAAAAGCTTGATCAAAAATTGATGTACTCTATAATAACATATTAATATTTGTTTTACATTTTAGTTATCAAAAATTTTTTAGTAATTTGCCCAATTAGTTACCGATTCTTTGAGCAGATCGATGCTGTCACACATCAAATAAACTTCTGTAATTATTCCTGATGCATAGAATGTTACTAAAAGTCTTTCGAAAAAATCTTTGGAACCCTATGGAATAAAACATCGTTGGATAATTCATTTTATTGTACGGTCAAGAGGACACATATATTTATTAAGGTAAATAAAAACACTTGTATTAATTTTATTCAAAATAATGACTTAAATTGTTCAAGTTTTTCAAGTAAATTTGAACTTATATGTGCTCTCTCGAAAAATAAGAAACAAAATATTTAAAACGAACATGAACAACTTTGTATGCCAAAATAGATAGTTTAATGGTAGAGTTGATATAAGTCGTGGTAACATTGATAGAAAAAAGTTTAGGTAATTCCTTGGATATCCTATAATTTAATAAATTAATTAGATAAGAAGCTATTAGAACCTTAATTAAAATGTTTTTGCTTACTTACTGAATTATAATACTATACTGTTTCAAAACGTGTTTTAATTCTTCATCAAATTTATTATCCACCGAGTTACGTACTACTTGACTCAAATTTTCTTGCACGTACTGATATTCAGCTGTTAAAATTCGAACAAAGTGAATGATATAAAGACTGAGACCAGATTGTTTACAAAAAAGATATATCTGTGAAATAGCTTGAAAAACAAGTCCACATAAAAAAAGACCAATTCCAAATTCATCGTTAAAGAATATTAAATTCACTTCCACTTGATAATCTTTTGTTGTGAAAACATCTTTGTCTCGAATTATAAACAATGGTCGGAATGTCCATATAAATACAACTGTAATAGATGTAAAGTAAAAAATTTTAAATGGTTTCATTGTTGGCTCAAAATTATCTAAAATAAGCTGTTTCAAATTATCAGATGAATGTTTTAGAATAAGGTTCATTTTGAAAATTAACGACCGATATTTATCACGTTGTGTATTCATGTATATTGATACACCAATAAGTTCAAGTGAAACAAGCATGGTGATAATATTATTTTGAGCACTGTTTAATGAACAACTAGTTATGACATTGTTGATCATGGTTAAGAAAAATGATATTTGCATTAATAAAGTTACTGTGATGTATACTTTTTCTAAAATACTTGAATTGGAATCTGAAGTCATAGGAAAACAATTTCCTGAAATATTATTAGCTCGAGCATTGAACTTATTCACGTTATGAAAATACATAATGATAAGTTTTTCTTTTTCTCTGCTTACTTCCTTAAGAGGGACAAAATTAACCTTTTTTCTTAGAATACTTTTCTGCATTTATGCAATTGTTACCTGGTTATTACATCGATCATTGTTTCATCATCCCTCTACATTCAACGTAATTACAGTTTTTTATTATTCATACCGATCAAGAAAACGCGTAGAACAATGGATATCGATTTGAAATTTTCTTTTCCTAGACAGAAAATTAAAGAAAAAAAATCTCTTTATGGAATATAACGAGTGCGTTTATAAAGAGGAACTGAAAACGAGGGGTTTACTGAATATCAAATTATTTTGCATTTCAGTTACTTGCTAGGTCGTTGGAGAAGAAAGATGTAGAAAGTGAAGAATAAGGTATAGGAAATTATTTATTTTTAAAGGATGTCTATAATTTTATGAAAATATATTGCTGATTTTTATTACGTACTACTTTTAATTAAATTTTAAAAACTTATTGATAGTCTAAATAGATTGTTTCTTATACTGACATGTTTTAATTTATTTATAAAATAAAAAAAGGAAAAAATTGCGGAAGATTGAATCATTTTACATTTCAGTGGCTTGAAAGCTCATGAATGAAGTTATTTTATAGTATAAAAATGAAATTTTCTTTTAAATAAGCTATAAAAATTGTGTCCAATAACAGTGTAATTTTTTTTCAGGTAAAGTATTTTTGCTGTAGGGAGCTGTAAAAATTTTTGACTATTAAATAAGAATTTATAACTTCTCATTAGGAAGTTATTGTAACGAGGTCAATTTTAAAAATATTTAATCTCGAGTTAAAAAAGATATTCATCATGAGAATAATTGAACGATATTTATCATGCTGACAGTTCATGTGTAGCATTAGGATGATTATTTCTCCTGACACTAACAAACTTCTGACGGTGTATTGCTCATATTTTATAATAGCGAAGGAAGATAAGCCTCTAAACATTGATGCAAAAAATAATATATGATGAAAAAAGGTTTCTAGATTATATAAATTTTGTAAAACAGTCAATTCATTTTTATTTGGAGCTACAGAAAAGTAAAATTCTTGATAAATTATTGACTGGAGAATTGAACTTTGTATTCACATTATCTCCAACACAAACTTTTTTCTTTGATTTTTTTTTTTTTTTTAAAGAAAACAGAAAATCTCCTTTACAAAGCACATTTAATTTAGTTATTAAATTGTATTACTCTGTATACTTCTGCTTTATTCGATTTGATGGAGAAATGAAAGAATCTACTGCTCTTTTACGTTGTTCATTCCTACAACTGAAATTGTTGTGCTCTATAAAATGCAATATTGTATTAATCCCAGAGCAAATGATCAAATCGATATAGTGATCAACTTGAAAAGTATATTGAAGGAAATCCAATTTTCATTACAATTTCAATCAGCTTTTCACCAAAAGCTCTTTATCAGGTAGATAGAAGTAATATTCAAAAGTTATTTTACTGAATGATCGATAGGAGAAATGAATGTAAATCATTTTAATATTACGATTTTCTTCTTAAATGAATGAAGAGAAACTTCTACTACATGATTCTCAGTATCAATAAATTGGATCCCTGAATTTATAAGCATTCAATGAATCAGTACGTGTGAAACAAGTGATATACTATATTATTGATAACTCAATTGAATTGAGATTGGATCTACTTTTAAATTAACATGGCATTGTTGGGGAGTAAGTAAATTGTAGTTATTAGACATTAAAATTTTTTTACATTGAATGCTAAAAAAGTATTATTAATAGAAAAGTGAGTGAGTAATTTATAAGAGTATTTGTTAAAATAAGTTTAATTATAAAATGAATTAATACTGTCTTATCTTGGAGAATGTAAAGTTCTTAATTGGTTGACTCTTGTTATTTAGCAACAATATTTAACAATTATAAACTTTTCATAAGTTTATCCATTATTTTTCATTTCTATAATGTAAAGATCTTTCTACATTTTCCATTTTTTTAATTACTTCGTTTAACCAATTAAATTATCCTTTTTATTCAAAAGTTCATTTCAATGAGGATTTCCCAGAAAAGAAGTACTTTTTCAACTGTCATAAAAATATTGTGTAGTTTCTACATCTAATTAACAGAGTAATACTTTTATATTTTTCTCTTCGAAATTCATTAAAAAAATTTTAGATTGTTTTTATAATTAGACTTGAAAGCTTATATGTCATTTTTATGTCAAAAGTGAGCTCTTTTATATGTTTGATAATTTTTCATGAATCTATTATATTATTTTATAAAAGATTATATTATTGAATGTAGAGAATACATGCAAAAGAATTCAAAGAAAAATTATTTTAAATAATTGTGTATTCATAGAATTATAAGTCGCTAATTAAAAAATAATATTTTCCATTTTCTGCACATCAAATTTCTGAATTCAAGCACCAACATCTGTTGATATTAGACCTATCCATCATGTTACTACAATTAACAATTGAAACGTACTTCATATGAATATTTCACTTCACCTCTTCATTTAATTTAATATAATTTAATGCCAGCCAAGTATTAAATTCCATTTCTTTATTTCAAAATTCTTTTTTATTTTAAGTGTGTATTCAAATTAGCTATATAATATTAAAATTCCATAATAAAGCATGATAAATATTACATGTCTAACATAATTACAAACAAAATTCAATAACATTAATAACTAGAAGATTTTACCTTTGCAAATGAAATCAAGTACTTTGTTCTAAATAAATCTTTGTCAGTATTTTATCCTCGAGTGCTTGCATCTTCTTCCTTCAACGAGCTGGCAAGTAACTGAAATGTAAAATAATTTAATATTCTGCTTCTCCTCCACTATACAACCCCTCTCCATAAACATGATCGTTATACCCCGCAACAAGAAGTTTGAATTATTTGCAGTGAGAAAGAAAATTTCAAATCGATAGACATACTAAATAAGATAGGAATTTTCTAACAGTATTGTTATAGATATTTCTTCGATTAGTATGAATAATAAAGAACCATTATTACTTTGAATACAGGGGAATTGTTATAAGTTGATTGAGGTAATGACTGGGTAAAAATCAGAAATAGGTTCTAGATGAACAAAGACTTTAATTCTGCTAAAAGAATCAAACAGAAAATAAGGAATATTATTCTATGATGAATTTTTATAACGTGAACAAGTTTAATAACTTGGTTAATACTTTTTCAGGGAATTGTCTCCCTGTGACTACGAATAATCAGGATTATACTATTTCTAAAAATGTATACAGTTATATGACTTCAATTATTTGTCTGATATATTCAATTGGTGTACTTCAAAAACTTTTTTCTGTATCTTCATTCGAACATGGTCAATTCATGTTTTTTGCTGTGATAGATACAATAGAAATTATAGTCTTGTTGGTTTACATGCATCATCATCGTGATAAATATTGTTTGCTAATCGAAAAGTTGAATATAATTTTCAGCTTTCCTTCTAATGTTTTAGAAAAATTAATTTCAAGTAATATTAAACCTGTTATGAAAATTTTTAAAGGATATTACTTGATGTGTTTGTTAACTGCGTTCATTTGGTCATTGATACCATTGATCAGTATTTTAGAAAAAGATGAATTTACGAGTGAAGATTTTTCAGTACCTATTAACTTTTTTTCACTTCTTGATGGCAAAGTAAACGTTACTGTTTTTATTATTGTCATTTTTTTTGAAAGTATAGCTCATATTTATCTTGTTGCTAAAAAAGCTGCAATTAATCTTTACCTTATTCACTTTGTGAAAATTTCAACAGCTAATTATTTATTTATAAGACATCAATTAGCTGAAGTTTTTCATACTTCAAGTGAAACTGAATTGATGGAAAAACTGAAAATAATTTTGGACCAGCAGAGACTTATAATTCAGTAAGCTACTTTATATTTTTTTGTTATAATTTACCATTGTTAGAAATAATTAATTTATTGAATTTTTTTCAGAGTTACTAAAGAATTTCCTACATTATTTTCTCCAAATATTATTGCAACTTATTTGCATTCTACTGTGGAACTGTGTTCAGCTGCCTTTATGATGGTAACAGTAAGTTCGATTTATGTATAAGTGATAAAGAACAATAAAAAATATAACAAATTACTTTTAAGACAATTAGTTTATCATAGTTTTTTTGAAATCAGATCAACATTAAATATTTTTCAGGCTTCAGGGAATATCTTTGAACAATTTCTAATATTATTATATACAAGTGGAGTAGTTATAGAGATTTATCTAGTTTGTTATAGTATTGAACTATTAAAAAGAGCTGTAAGTATTTAAAAAAATCTTTCATTAATATTCAATATGAATAATTATATAATTTTTATAGTGTTTATCAATTGTTGATGAAGCTTTCCATGAACCGTGGTATGACCAGAAACTTTATTTGCAAAAAATGTTTATGATGATTGTTTTTACCAGTCTAATACAGTGTCGATTATCAACATTCAAGACATTCGAGTTGTCACTACCGGTTTTCAAAGTAGTAAGTCAAGTTAATTTTTTTCTTTTAAAGAATAGAATAGTTCTCTAATTAGGTAATAATGTTTTACAGATTTTATCTAATGCCTACTCCGTTTGTTTACTTCTTTTAGAAGTACAGTAAATATTTACGACGAATCAGGTATGTTTGATAATAATGAGAATTAAAGTTGAAAAACTTTTATCAGCTTTATAAATGCTAGTAAAAGTTTTATGATTCCAACATAAAATGTTTCTAATTAACAAGCTGTAAAGTAAGATAATTAGTCTCCGTCGAATTTTTTTTAGAAAGATTTATGAAATAAACTGTAATCAAATAATATCCATCTTATCATGTATTTAATTAATTTTTAGTTCCATTTAGTCTAGAGAAACAATTGAGTTATGCTCGAATGTCCTCTTTAACAGCTCATAAATTTAATATTTGAATCATTTTACATGAAAGAAATAGCACTGCATTCAATTATTGAATTTAAAATTATGAAAATAAAAATTCTCTTTACAAATTTATATTTATCAATTTTAAGAAAAAATATAATAATAACAAAACTTACACAATATAGAGAAAAAACTTTCAATGAAATTAAATTGTTCTTTAAAGCATGAAAACCCCAAGGAAAAAATAACTTGAAATTTCTATTTAGATTTTATTTGAATAAAAACGTATTTTTTAAAGCGGAAGTAATGAATTTCGAATTCAATACATAATATTCACTCATTAGAATAAAATGTTATGAATAAACATTAAAAAATGCTGTTTCAATTTCAGTTGATACTAATTTTTAAAAAAAATATTTATTTTGCGTATCGTAATATCACTGAAAAATATCTCTGATAAATATGTGATTTATGATAAAAGCCTCAATCATAGACATTTATTATTTTTTATCTAACATGTTTCCTTTCTTTTTCCAAGTCGATTCGTGCACGTTGCAAACATCAAATATCATAATGTGACATAAATAATGTAATAATTCAAAATGCTTTTAAATGAATGCACTCAAAAACTTCAATTTACTGTAAATAAACCTATAAAGTCGCTTTTACACCATTTTTACTGCTCTGATAGCAATAACTTAGATAGTAGAATTCGTATCTATTACGAGAATCATCAAATTGTAAAACGTTTTTTTTTTAATTAAGAATACACTTTTTATTATTATATGATATGTCAACAATTGTATTTAATAGAACTCATAAAGAAATAACGTGACATTTTTTTCAAATAACTCAATTTGATTTTTTGGAATATTATATCTACAATATTCAGTTGAAAGTGCTAACTGTAGTAGAATTTCTTGCCTTTCATTTTTCAGTAGATTTATTGGATAAAAATGTGATAGAAATTAGATCAAAAACATGATTTTTCCATTATTAAGAAGAATGTGTTTTGTAAGTTCAAGAAATATAATTTTTAGAACATGAATTATTCAATTGATAGTTTGAGATATGATCAGATGGATTTTCAATGAATTCATTCAATATTGAAATTTTCAATTAATATTTCAAGACCGGATCTGATAACTTTTACTTGATTTTCTGTTTAAATTAAATCTCAATAATGAATAAATATGATGAATGAAATTTTTACTCTTGGTATTAAATTGAAATATTGGTACTTCAATTAACTTAATAGAATACTTGAAACTCGAGTAAGCAAAGAAAGAGAATCTAAACTTATAAAAATGATCTACCATTTCAGAGTATAAAACCAAAATTATGTACCAATTAAAACTAAGACTTTTTATATTACACATCCAATATCTGTTTGTTCAGACAGCAAATATCTTTTTTTTCTTGTTTTTTTTAGAATTATAAGCCATGTAGTATGATATAGGTGAATAAAAACCAAATGCCATATTAATCATGGTTAAATAAATCAACATTTGAGTTGTAATTGCTAGATTTGTTAGTTGAAATAGTGAGATTAATACCTCTTGAGATGAGTAATCGACATTTGATAACTGTTGCTAATGACATCTCAGGGAAAGACTTTTAGCACAAAACCATTTTTCTTGAACAAAACTGCAGGAAATTCTTCATCCGTAAATGCTGTATTCTACGATAAATCACTATTATTAAACCATGTTATATAACGTTTATCTTCTACCATCAGTTACTTGCTAGATCTAATAAAGCTTGGATGCGTGAACATCAAACATGATCTAGGTGTTGACCTAGTACTGTAACGTGACCATTTTGGAGATCTCTATTGACCTCATTAATATTCTAAAAGAGTGAACATTTAATAATAGTCATAACAAAAAATTGATTGCGAAAGTTAAAAATATTAAAATCAATCATTCTTTTTTTCATGTAATGTTTCTCTTTCTAATTAATATTTTTTAATTTTTAAACAATGAAAAGATTGAACTAGATTCTTTTTTAATGAATGAAAAAATAATTAGAGATTTAGAGCATAATTAATTAGATTCTAAGAAAATTTATTTCTCTTATAAACTGCATCGATTAAATCCTAATCATGTCATTTAGCTTTTATGAGATTAGTTGGCTGTCAATTAAAGTTTATTTCCACGAAAAAAATATCCAACTCACTCGTTGGCTTTAGTATATTTATTCTTTGTAATACCTAAATTAATCCTATTATTATTATTACCGGTATTATACACGTAATAATCAGATATGGTTAGCTAACTTTCAACAAAAATCACAGCAATCAAACCACGAATTGTGTCACAATTACTGATAATTATTTTTATCCAAGTATTTCATGTACACTTTTCTTTTCATTCAAACGTCAGATTTAATAATGATGTATTATAAAAATCTTTTTAAAATAAAAATAATCCATCATTTTGTAGAATAATGTTCATATAATACGAATGGAACATTTTAATATTATATAATTTAGAAATTATTAATAATTATGAAAAATATTTTTCCATTATAAAATATAATAGATGAACTTTCTAACTTTTTTTTAATAATATATTTAATCGTGTTAATTGTAGAACTTTGTACATTGACCAATAAAATATACTGAAATAAGAAAAAAAAGAAAAAAACAGAGGAATGAAAGAACAATTTATAGAATTTATAGGATGAAATTCTTGGAAGGATATTAAATAACTTTTTTTTTTTTTTTCATAAATAGGATTTTAGTGATAAAAAAAAAAATTGGAAAGAATCCTAGACAGTTTGTGAGAAAATGTTACAATAATAAAGTATTTTCAAAGACAATAAATCAACTGTTTTTTTTAGATTAAAATTCTATTTTTTGGTTACTGATATCAACCATTCTTTCTTATTATTATTATTATTATCAAGAAAATATTGCATAAACAAAATAAGAAAGGTATAAATAATTTTAAAAAATTCAATTATTTAGATGAAAAATATTGCAGAGGTATTGAATTATTGAAAAGTTATTTATCAAAGCTTTGTTTTTATCTATTCAAAACTCTTTTATCTATAAAAAAATTCATATTAAAATACGTGTTTGATCTCCATTCCCAATAAATGGATGCTCACAATTTTGCGAATAAAAGGAAATCATTTCTCTCTAGACTCCCATATTGATCGCCCTTCATCTCACCCTTACATTTATTATAATGATGCTATTCTATTATTCCTCTTGATAAAGAGAATTTCCAAAAGGAAAATTTTCTGGCGATTTGAAAAGGGAAATTGCACCGTTTTTCTATATTCCTTCAGACTATCATTATGGCTACTTTAGTATTTTATTATTCAAGAGATACAAATTGGCTTTTTCGCAACGAAGTAATGGAAATAGTGTAGCTAGTAAAGAGAAGAAAATAATAAAAAGGAATTCTAAGCTAAGAACAACCGGACTATAAAAAAATACCATCTTATATTATTTATTAATACATACATATTTTATTTATTTATTTATGTACAGAAAAAGAATACAGCCTTTCATTAATATTTTTAATAATCATCATTTATACAAAGCCCGTGAAAAAATACAGCTGACCAATTCTTGTACATGAGAAAATGTGGATCAATAGCATCGAAATTTATCATCTGTTTTTTTCATTTATTGCAATCATACATTTGTTTGAATTTGACATTTTTGTTTTCCTGTTTCATATTGAATCATGGACGAGTTTGACAACAACAAGCAATTCATTATGTGAGTGTCAATACAATTATCTAAATACAATTTTTAGCATGATTTATATTTAATATATAAAGCTTTGCAAATATGTACATTGACCATTCAACAGTAAAAATATGTCATTATCAATAATAGTATCATTAAATACGCTTAATTTTAGTCTTGATTTCATCAGTTTGATAAAACTGTAAGTACAGTTATAGCGAGAGGAACTGTAAGAGTGGACAAATGTAATTGACATGTCCGACAGGATTTGATTGATAAATTAAATGAAACATTTTAATTAGAAAACTACAACTCCAGTGAAGAGACAAAGGAATAATGTCAGGTATGTATAATATGTATATCATCGGCAGTGCATTTGTATCTCGCATTAGCACATATCACAATAAATAACAACGCTTTAAATGAATTTCAACGTCGTTCACGACTGCATATATATATTGATATTAAAATTTCAACTATCTATACTTGTTCCCGTCTGATGCGATCGTGCACGAGGATCGTCAAGACACACTTATGCACGTGCCGGAACTAGGAAGACGACGGATCAATTGCCTCGGAACACGACCACGTTCAAAGAAACAACAAAATATAACAATAATCATATTAATTATAATGATAATGATAATAATCACAGTTATCCGTGTATATACATACAAGTGAGTATTTTTTATTATTGATATTCTCCACCTTCGTTTATATGTTGTAAAATTATCAAAATTATTCTGGCAATAAAATTCTTTATCATCGAGGATAGAAGACAATCGACTGGACGAATAAAAATATAAAATAGGGCTGAACACGAGGCAGTAAGGAATAAAAAATACTCAAGAACGCGAATCATGAAAGACTAGCATCTATATACTTTCTATGATCGGCTTTTTCGTTTAGTTTTTTTATAGTCTAGTGATAATCCTAATAAACGTACCTAGAAGAACTTTCACTATATTTGTTCAATTTATTTCATCATCCATAAACGGATGATCGACATATGTCACGCATCAGAAAATAAAAATTCACTTTCTGATAATAAAACTTCGAGATCTGACGGGACCGTATGGAGATCCGAGTTGGCAGCGTTGGAAGACTCAATAGGTCGACTAGTGGCGTTAACTCCGGATGTTGTCGCCTGGTGATTTTTCCTGAGTTTATCTTTTTTATTGGAAGCTCGGACAAGTACCGCAGTCCTTGGATGAATATTTTTCGCGTTGCGATTATTCGTTGACTGAAGACTTTTGTCTGTCTTCCTGAGCTTAACACTAAACTTAAATGGTGGTTTATAAACAATTTGTAATCTTACGCGATCATTTCGTGGCTCATTACTTCGAGCGATGGCACCACGAGACTTTGCATCTGCTGTTCTTCTAGAATTTATTGGTCGAGTTCTGGCGTTCGACACACCCGCACGAGCTGCATTTGCAGCAGAAGCACTAGCTAAACCGACTGGAGTTGATTTACTTTTTGGAAGAGCTACACTTCTTGGTTCTACTCGGCATTGTGATGCCAATAACCACGATCTAACTTTACTTTTCGGATCTGAATTATCATTTGCAGTGACTTCATTATCCTCATCGGTTTGTGTCATTGAGTAATCAATGACTTCTTTCTTTTTACGTTTTTTTTTCTTCACGTTCTCCTTGGCTGAAGTCTTTTTCGGAGTTTCATCAGCAGTTGAGGGTACCGTTGGATCGGCGATAGCGGGAATTGTAGTTGATTCCAATCTTCTTCGACCTGGTTCTTCAACGACAATAGGAGCCACTCTTTTCTTCTTTTTCTTTTTCTTCTTTACATCTGATGCTTGTTTATTTCTTCTCCTCATCATAGTTGAGATCTGAAAGCAAAAAATCAACATAAAGAAATGAATAAGATGTTTTATATGACGAAACAAGAATATTGCATTCTTGAGAAAGTACTAAAACATTTTAATATTTTACTTTAGTAGTTCTTTCATTGTTAGCAATATTATTGGCTATTGGATCCTTAGGTTTGCTCTGTCGTCGTTTCTCCCTCACTTTTTGATTTAACGGAAGCTTCACCCTCACAGCAGGAGGGTGGACTGTCACTCCTTCCGCACCCTCCGGTGGTAATCTCACTGTTTCTGTCGTTGAGCTGTGGATTATCGTGACCGACTTGAGCTTCGGGTTCGATTTCTTTCCTAAGAACCGGATTGTCGCCACCTAAATTGAAAAATAAAACCGTGTTAAATAACACATAAATATTTTTCTTAAAAACATTTCTTTTACAGCAGTTACAGGAAAATTTTATGTTACTCCAAGGAAATAAAGCCACGAGCAATTCTTTCCTATGAAAATTAAATAACTTACATTTTTTATCTGTACTATCCTTTTGCTTTTTACCACGATGTCTCTGATAGAGACGAAGTAAATAAAAATTTGTAAATTAAATAAACGAAACTTGCTTTTAATTAAACGCTAGTCCAAATAATAATCATGACTCAAAATTAATTAAATAGCTTGTACTGGTACTTACGAGTAATGAAATTGTTGCGAGTATGAGCAAAGCAACTGCATACCAGTGCTCAATAACCCACCGTTTGAAGGTGGCCAGACTTTCATCTGAAAGAAGTAATTTTCTCAAAGTTGCCAAAGGTCCACTCGGATCAACTTCTCTACATTTTTGAAAGACATCACAATATCCATTGTAATCATTGCATGGTGTACCGGGTTTTGAAAACATGTCGGGAATGTCGTAGGGTGGTGAATTCCAATCGAATGAAGATCTAAAAGAAAAAATGCAAATAAAAATAAAAAAATTTATGAAAGAGTGGATTCCTACAATAGAACGTCTGGATACTTACAAACATGGTTGATTTCCGCCTGGAAGCCGACAACAAAGTTCACAGGCTTTTGTTGGGGGATCATTAGGTCCTGGAATACATTGGCAAGATTCTAGGCCGTAAGCTAAGCAAATACTACCGGTGCATTCCTACAAAATCCACAATGCGGTAAAGAACTTGGTTTGCATTAAAGGAGGTATTTTAAAGATAAAATACCAAATACTTACACCCATAAAACATACTAGTTCTCTATTACAAATAGTCTTATTTGGTTTATTAATTGACGGTGGACAATGCGGTGATCTTCCATCACAGAAACTGGCATCACGACAACCGTTGTCTTCCCTACATTTATCCGAGAATTTCAATTTACAATCAGTAGTACAACAAGGACCTTGACTAGGACTGCAAATGGCTCTTGGTGTTAAAGTACAAGGTGTTTCATCAGCAGGAGGATAACGACGTTGAGGGAAGCAACAAGAATCACGACAATCTTCTTCCCAACCACAATCACACTCCTCTCCTTCCTCGACCACACCATTTCCACAAAGAGAAGCCTGTGGTTCTGTAGGATGGGAATATGTCGATAATGCAATCAATAATCAATGGTGTTTTATTGTTTTTTTACTTATTTAATACTCACCAGTAAAACAGCCCTTAGGTGAACGTGCTTTTGTATTCAATACAGGATTAATGGCGTTTAAGCTACATGGACTAAAACGATTGTTATTTCGTTTATCACCACTAGTGGCCCGAGCAAACATGATAAAATTTCCGTCTTCTCCACCTGGTGTGCATTGTTCCGGATCGTGCTAGAAGTTACAATAGCAAGTTTCATCAGTTTGTAATTTAATTTCTATCGGTCGTTTTACATGAGTAGTCTTGTTAATTGGTTCACTTACTGGTGAGCCAAAATTATGGCCAATTTCGTGTGCTAAAGTAACATGAGACACAGCTGGTGGAACGTGCTTGCCGTAATTTAACAAAGTTACGATTCCGGTATTTAAGGATTTCATGCTTCCTCGATAATGCTGGAAAAATTATTCATAACTTATTATTAAGTATGTATAGAATTTTATATAAGCATAATATTAATCTAAATTCATGTAAACAAAGTATACTAGAACATTGTGAAGAAAAATTGACCAAGAAAATCAGATTACTGAAACGATTCTGTCATGTGAAAACTTCATTACAAAAGCCACACAAGCGTAACATGTTTATACACGTTAAAAAAATCTTTTAACGTGTTATTAATTGTTTTATTTTTAATATGCTTAGTTGCTCAGTTTGCAACTCAATAATTGACCTGTCTAGACGCCTTGGTAATATCATTTTGAGAGTATAAACGCTTGGCTTGTCATAATTTAAAGCCTGAAACAAACGTTGATGGAATTGTCGAAGGCTTGGTCTTTCCATAACGACTTCTCGATCAATATTTAATATCCTGTATTCCCTTTTCTGACGCTTGGATTTTGTCAGAGCCTATTTTCAGGTGGGTGTACATATAGATAAAAGCGTGCGCACCTTACTACTTCTCAACAAATAAATTTGCATTTAGGCAAAGTGGTCAGCCTCAAACGGCTATTATAAAGTGTCACAACTTCTAAATTGCTTTGATAAAACGTTGGTTGTCTTTCCTTCCTTACCCCATTCTTTTCGCAAACACCTCCGGCATTTTTTAAATCTCCCGTCCATGCTAAACCAAGTGTTCCCATCTCAAAGTCCCGGTAGGTGAACATGTAGGCCAAACAAAAAGCATCATAATCTTCCTCTAAAATGAAAATTAAAATAAAATGAAAATTTCAGGATCAAAAATTCCATCAAATCCCGCTGGCAATGAAAGTTATTTTATCATTACCTGAAAAAAGCTCGAGAAATTTTTCAACACCGTAACTATTTGGAAATCGATAATGCGGATCTTTTACTGCATTTGCATTATGTACTTTGACTCGCTTTATCATAAAACTAATGTTGTCTGGTCTTCCATCTTGATTAAAGTCAGTACGCTTGTAAATAGAATTTACTCTCTGTACGTGTCTTGTCATTACTTCTATGCAAGCCTCCTCAGTCTTATATCTTGCGAAGAATTGATGATCTGCTTGAAGATAGAGCATACATGTCGTCTTTCGAGGATCTACAGTTGCTCGTTTGTGCAGGTGTCTCGTTATTCGATCTCTGTTGTTTCTAACAAAAAAAATATCTCAGTTAACGATGTCACCGTAATTTTAAAAACTACAAACAATACACATAAAATACTCTTCAAACTTTACCCGTCCACAAGTTGAGTATTTAATCCTCCTCTACTGACATGTCTTCTATTAATCTCTCTCAAATAATATCCGCCATGATCACGGATTTCATGGTCTTGCAATTGCTCGAAAAACGGTTCAAATGATTCATTGACTTTCCTACAGTAAGATGAACAGTTAAATTATTCATCAATGTTACGATGAAAAATCAATGACTCATTCAAATTACGAATGTTTTACCTATAGATTGAATTTTGCAGATTCTTCTCATGTAGTTGTTTGCTGGGACATCGTTGAGGTTGAGGAGGACTCACAACATCTGAAGCACGATACGCTATGGTATGATAGGTAGGTGATGTATTTTCCTTCTCTTCAGGATCTCCTTCTCGCGCCAAATACCGACTCGTAGGTTCAAAGTAATATTCTTCAAAAGCCATGGACACTGAACCGTCGAAAAGACCATCTTCTGTGACAATACCTTCTACTATAGCGTCATCGTCTTCTACACCAAACAAGAAACCATATAAGTAAGTGAGAAAGTACGTGGTATATTCATTTATCTTACTGAGGAAACAGAAGATCTAAGAGACTAAAAGCGATTTCGCCGAAAGAAAATGAATGGATCTGAAAGTTAGAGATATGGTGTAGGTGTAAGGAAAGGGTGGAAAGGAGAATAAACGGCTTCCAAAAGAGGCGGTTTCTCTTACTAGTCATCACTAGAGGACACATTTTTCGTTTCAACGATTTATGAAGACGACGATACTTACCAGCAATTGTGCCGACGTACGAGTGTGAAGTGTCAAATGCAATTGGTCCATTTGTCCCTTCAAAAACTGCATCTTGAGCAAAAACATTCGTATCTCTGACAAGCCGCATCGTCCATTCTCTATAAATAAATTATGTTATATAAATCGATATTTAATTTAATATTACAAGGACGTTAGGAAGCCGTAAAATGTCACAAACTGATGTGTTCGTAAAAGAACACGTTGACGTAACAAATTTAATCAACGACCTATGGCGTATTTTATTATCACCTGTCGAGAGCCTGAAGACGTAGAACAAGTGGTTGAGACTTGACTTCTGATGTATCTCGACGTACACGATTTCTGTGTTCTCGCAAAACAGATGTGTCATACCAAACTGGTTCGTAATATCCTAGATAAGAACGTTTTATAATACCTGTAAAAATATTAACGACTTTAATAACGTTATTCAGACGGTATAAAATAATAAAATACTCAAAATGGAAACGCATGGTCTCACCTGCATGTGGTGGAACAGGATGTAAAGGGGAAGCGTCTACCAGTACGAGCCAAAGGATTACTAGGGCCCACGGACATGTCGTTCTCATCACGACTAGTCCCCGGGGCCCGTGTAACTCCTCCAGGAGCGTATCACGCATGGCTCCTGGTTCAGGTCCTACTAACGCTATCTTCCTATCAGCTTAGCTATCATCCTCCTGCCCACATTATCTATCAGTTGCATTCCTATTGACAAAGAAATAAATTTTAAAATGTTTACTTTGAGTTATCTTTGAACTCTACACGCTTCTGTTTCTTGAAGCATCAGTTTACTCTGTGTAACGGGACTGTTGAGTCAACCTTCACTGGTAGAAAATTGAGCAGGCAAAGGAACAAAAAATGATAATAAACAACTACGTTATTATGATTGACTCCATGGGGACGACGGTGTCGTATTTAAATTAGGTAGATTTGTTTGTTCGATTTTCACATAAAACCTAGTCTCGTGACTACATAACAACGTTACATCTTCAGCGATTATTTAATTGATAAGCACGCGCTGTGCATTGGAGAGAAGCATAATTATGTACCGCGTGCTCTGCGCTTAACAATCCTAACATCATGGTATGAAATCAGCATTGATTGCATAAATGAACTTTCAGCTATAGAGAATTATTTAAATAACTTTTCGCTGATGAGCAAAACTGATGTAGGTCGAGGATGAATTGAGGCCACAAAAAGTCGCATGGCAGTGATTGATAATTATTCCAGTAAAATCTAGTACTAAGGAACAACAACAAAACTCTATAATATCCGTCATTTAAGTTGTATTATCATAATATCTACTTTCAATGGTCCGAGATGAATCACCAATCTCTAAAGGTAGATCTGGCATCGCTGTCGCGTAACTGGCATTCTCCTGGGGAGTATAAGCAGGTACAGGAGACAAGATGAGTGGTTTGAAAGGCGTACCAGGTTTTTAGAGAATAAAAAAAAAAACACCAACATACATATATTACTAACTACAAAAAATTAATACACCTACACACCTGTTTGAGGGCTCCGAGGCGTTTGATCCTAAGTTCAACAACTAGATGATTGTCTAGCGGTTTTTTTGTCAGTGTTTAGCAGCTGCATGGATTTTTGGAGTATCTCCAAAACGTTCACCTTGATGATTATTCTGACACTATGTAACTGTTGTACAATATTTAAACTGTATAAACAAAAACAACAATGAAAAACTAAAAAAATAAAATGAAGCAACAGAACGACACGCTCAAGTACGCGTTTCGCGTAGCACTGCTGCTCTGGTCGGTGGACGGTGAACGAGGACTCCGAGGACAACGACTCCCTCCTTCGCCAACGTACTCGCTTTCGACCAAATCTACTCCTCACTCCTTTCTCTCACACACATGCTCGTATTCTCGTCTACTTTATCAGGCATACTGTCTCTCTCATATCACTAGGTTATCTTCGTTTAACCGCCGCGACGTTCGATCCGTCTCGACACAACTTTACCCCATTTCTTCCACCCTTCAGGTAGTGTGTGTTGGTAAATATACGCCTTCTAGCCCGGAAAATATAGAGAATCCGTTTTGCGCCGTGTCATATTTTGGCGCCTGCGTATTCTTTCGGCGCGATCACATTTCTCTGCGCGAAAAATTATTTTTTTTCGCATTGCGCATATTTTTTTGTAATTTTATTGTTAATAACCTAGAAATCTATTAAAGTAATGCATACATTTAGCTTCAGTTGATAATTGTGGGATATAATATGCTCTATTTTACCAACCACAAGACAAGCATGCGCCCATTGAGTTTGATGTCAACGAAAAAGTTTGTTGTTTGTGTATATTGAATTTGATAATTGAGATTTTGATTGCTTTTATTTAATAAATGGAGAATAATTCATCAGAGGATAATCAAGGTGTTCCTGTAATTGAATCTCAGGACATCAATAGTGATGAGCAATCAATCATTAGAGGAGATAATATTGGTGATTCTACGTATAGTGCACGATGGACATTAAATACCTTACTTTCGTTATCCAAAGTAATCAATTTATTTTAAATTACGTTGTTGGGAGTATGTTTGGTAAAGAATAAATAATGAATTAATAATTAACAATTAATTATTATAGATCGATGAACAAGAATGGTCGGAAGAATTTGAGACTGATCTATGCTACCTCTGGGATATGGCAACAGAGAAAGATGTCATGTTTTTTTTAATGCAAAATAATTTTTTTTCAATTGCTGAAAACATTTTTAGAACTTCAGAAGAACGTAGATTACTAGTAAATACATTGATTAATTATATCTCATTTTTACATTTGTATATTTTTGTAATAATTGAGTCAATTTTCAATTTAATTTTCAGGAAATCATTGCAGGCATTATTAGCAACATGTGTTCACAAAACAATATACTCGAAAAAATAGGAGAATCAAATGATTTTGTAGATAGTATATTGGATTTATTATCGTGTGATGATAGTGGAGTGTTAATCCAAGTTGTAAGGATTCTACAAGCTGCAGCATGGGGTATCCAGAAAAATGAATCTTCCAAGTGGCGAGAACATATGACGAGATGTGAAATCCTAGGCGATTCGTTGACATTCATTTTAAAGAGCTCAACCAACAGTAAATTAAATTAATCATTTATATTATTTATTTCCACTATTATACAATATGCCACCGTAATAGAAACCTCTCCTGACATTGTATTATTTTTTTTAGGTATTCTTTTGACAGGGGCATTAAAATTAGTACAGTCAATATCAATAGTTGAATTATCAGACAACACAATATTTCTCCAACAATTATTTGACGTCAATCCACTACTTTTAGCATTAGTCGAGGCTCTTAATCAGTTAATTCCAACTGAAGAGGAAAATGATACGTCAGAACAACAAGATATCATTGAAATTTGGCTTGATGTTTTATCTAATATTCTTCATGATGAGTCTTCATCAACTCCAGAAATTTATGACAGTATCAATAAAATTTTCGTGAAGATTTTAAGCAGTAAAGAACACAACTTAACATCTCTCGAAGAAAGTACTGCTCTATGTATTCAAGAATGTGTAGAAATTATTCAGTGGTTTCAAGATAAAAAGTTTAAAACGGATGTTAAACTTGTTAGTGTCATTGCCGCTATTATGTACAAATTGAATATTAGTAAGTACAGCTAAATATGATATTTATACAAACTATAAATCACTTAAAATAATTATTATTGTATTTACAGTCATCAGTTCAAATCAAAACTCTAGTACTGTGCGGGAGTTGTTAGGATATTTACAAATGTTCTGGCTTGATATTTATGAAGAATATGAGGAGACTAAAACTAAAATTAATGAATTGTGGGAATTTTGTTCTAGAGAAGTTAGAGATTATTTGATAAATTATACACTTAATGGAACATCTTTATAATTAATTGAAAGAAAATTTTAAGTATTTTACGTATTTTATAACAATTGAAATATTGTGGATTTTAACATGCGCTTGTAATTTTAACATAGAAATCAATTATGTACGTTACTTTATGTAAATTGAGAATTATTAAATCTTTTTACTTGACAAACATTAAAACAAATAGATTATAAATTGAATAAACCCGCGCTTTTGATAATAACTGAGAAAATTTTATCTCCTATGATAATACTCATTCGGTAAAAAAGTCATATGGTATAAATCAACAATGGATAATAAATGAAGATCATCGTGAAAATTGTAGGCAAAATAAAAGTTCATAGCTCTGGAGAGACAGCTTTATTTCATAGCAACGCGTTGGGATGAAAATAATTTAGAAATTTAGGAGATACAATTTATATTTATCAACCTAATACTTCATATAATAATACATACAAAATGAAGCCTGAAATACTTTTCAATGACGTGAGTATACATCGTCATGCTCCATTTTTTTTTTCGTTTTTTCATATTCTGCAAATCATAACAATTTTTATGCACATTAGATTCCAGAATGTTTGAATCGAGAAAATGTTTATATACGTAATAAAGATGATGTTCTGAGGAAAATAAAAAAAATACAAGAAGACGGACCGGAGAAATTACAGGTACATTTTCTTTTTTTTTTATATTGACACATAAGTTGATATAAAATTAGTTATATTTTGCAACATTTATCAAAATTTTTCTATTGTTTTACATATCTATATAGGTCGTAACAGATTTCGACAGAACTGTCACTAAACAACATGTAGATGGAAAAGATGTTCTCAGTAGTTTTGGTATGTTTGTAATGTCAATCAATTATAAATAGCTATTAATAAATTATAAACTCTAGTCACGTACATTGTTCCCGCGTATTATACTCAAAAATTTCCGTTTTCTTCCAATTTAATAAACTAACTCAAAAGTTATAAGTTCCAATCATTGTAATTTCGTCAATTTAAAGTAATTCTTAGGTAATTCAAAAATTTGCAATTTATTTACATTTTCAGGTCTATAACAAGCTTGTTTATCTAAACATACTAATTATGCAATCGAGATAAGAATTTTTTACTTTTATATTTCTCATTGTATTAGTTTACAATATAATTTTACTTATTTGTTGTTTTCAGGAATTTTTTTTCGCAGCCAAAAAATTCCTGAAACACTGAAGAAAGAAGAACAATCTTTATTCAATACATATCGGCCTATTGAAGTGGCCCATGATATTGTTTTAGAGGAAAAAATAAAAGCTATGGAAGAATGGATGATGAAGACGGAACAAATGCTAAAAGGAATTCAAATGGATGTCGATGAAATCGATAAAATTTCACAACTCTACAGTGTTGAATTGAGAAATAATACACAAGAATTGATTAAAAAGTTAGATGCAGCTGGAATTCCAGTACTGGTTTTCAGTGCTGGTCTTGGAGATGTTGTTCAAGCTATTCTCAAGTGCCACGATGTTTTATTGAGCAACGTAAAAGTAATTTCAAATTTTCTAAACTTTAACTGTGGTAAATTAGATGGATTCAAAAATGATAAGTTGATCCATGTTTTCAATAAAAATGAACATTCAATCGATCAAAGTTATTATAAAACAATCGAAGAAAGAAGTAACGTTATTTTAATGGGTGACATGACAGGCGATGCTGCTATGGCTGATGGCCATAAACACATTGATACAATATTGAAGATTGGTTTTCTTTATGATGCAGATTTACAACACGTGCGTAAATAAATAACTTAATTGAAGGAAATATGAATCATTTAATCTAATATGAATATTATTTATTTATGTTAACTTATTTTTATTTCAGGCAAAAGATTCTTTACAGTCATACATGGAAGCATTTGATATTGTTTTATTTGACGACCAAACAATGGACGTAATACTCGATATTATAGGAAAGATGATATGATGAACTGTAACTGTATAAATGAAAAAACATTTTTTTTTACGTATCCTTCAATCGTGTTTTAATAATGATAGATAAACTATTTATGTGGTCCAACAACAATATAACTGATAATTTATCTGGCTGCCATGGGAGGTTAAAAAGTTTTAATTCAGATTTTAAAAATATTAAGTCATTGGCGTGTGGCCAATAATACTTCTGTACAACGATACAAGACAAAATTAATGTTTCAAACAGTTTTTTTTTATGATTGTGAAAATACATTGTGTTAAATAAAATATATCGATAATTATTAAGGTTAACAAATAAAATGAAATTAAAAAAAATTACTTGTTTAAGGAAATGATTATACTTTTAAATTGTAGCGGGCTATCGAAATTTACTTCGAGAATCATTTATATCATTAATCGACATTTTAAATCGATTATCGAAAACAGAACTCACTGCGCGCGCGTGAGCCGGTAGGTTTCGTTTGTTTTGAAGAGTATAAACACAACTTTCTGTTGATTGTTTTCAACCAAATCACGATTCCTTATATAATTTTTACTCATCAAATATAATTTTAAAGATTAAGTTTATAAATTCAAAGCCTATGATCATGATTTTTTAAAAAATATAAGTAACCTTTGAAATCATTATGAATGAATAAATTAATTGTTTTATCACATGGTGTTTTGTTATAAATAATAAGAAAATGGCTTACTTGAATAATATCACTTCAGAAGATGGTAAGTTTAATAGTTTTTTTTCCAATATATTCAAAGCTATGTTAGACAAGAATCCTTCTAAAAACTTCTATTGAGTTGTGAGTGGTTTTGATTAGAATATATAATCACGTAAACAAGACTAATTTAATTAGGGTACATCTTGTTATTTCTATTTGTTTTGCTTCTTTTCAGAAGTATTTCGAAATATTTTTTTGGCAAGTCTAACGTCTTCACCTACAGTTTCATCAAGTTCGTGTTCAAGTGGATCGTCAAGACCTATTGATGTCCCTATTGACACTTGTATTGATTATATTCGTTCTAAAATCACCGATTTACCGTAAAAAACATTTTATTAATTAATAATTCATTTAAAATTATTCAAAAATCATAGAATTTATTTTTTTATTCATCAGAAATGATGTTTTGGATAAATTTAAAAAGTTTATGGAAGAGTGTGCACCAAATGGTCGAGTTAATTGGAAAACATTCAGAGAAGCATCGCAGCGTTGGATAACTTCAATCAATTCTAAGTGGCAGGAGACAAATAATAACTCCTATCAAGTAAATGGGTAATTAACTTTTATTTCAAATCTATTCTTCTTTGTTATATTTATTTTCCATTTTACATTAATAAGTGCATTTTTATGCATAATTTTGAATGATTTCTATTAGTTTTTCAAGGTCACGGTAGCCAAACGTTTTTATAACGCTGTGACGCTCATAGCGATAAGCTCCTTATAACAATTTGACTCACTAATGTAATAGCATGCAACAACAGCACCAAGTGTGCTCTGTATGTTACACAATAATAATAAGAAATACAATACAGCATGTTTCTGTTTTGAAATATTGTTCTTGTTACGTATACTGTAATAGAGTTATAATAATGATTCGTTATGTTTCAATGTGGTCCAGTGAAGACATCGCTGATAGCCCTGATGAAGGGACTAGTACTGATGATCCGGATATTTTAACCAAGAGGTGTGATAGTGGAAAATCATCTGAATTCTTGGAATGGTCAATTGTGCCTGGAAATAATGTGACCAATGATACAATACTGGAGTAAGTTTAAAAATTTTTTTGATAGTAATCATTTTAGTTTTATACTCATATTAATGCGAGTAGTAATTCAGTTTTACATTTTTTATCTAAAAAAAATAGTAAAATTACGATAAAAACAGTTTTAGTTAATTTATACTCAATTATGAGCAATAAATTCTCGTTATTGATAAAAAAAAACATGCGGAAACAGGTGGAAAGATAAACAAATAGTAAAATATCGGTTCTAGGTTTTTTTAATTAATAAGAAAATTTCTTAGAATAGTTTAAATTAGGAATGTTAATTATTAACAATTATTTTATTATTATAAGTATAGATGTAATGTAAAATTATGGACAATTTTGATCGTTTGTATAGATCTGAAGTAAAGGATGTGCCAATTAAGTCTCCAAAAGGATTAGACTTGACAAAAATTGGTGAAGCTGAGCTCCACAACCGAATTCGAAGATTCGATGAAGATAATGCCTGGCTTCGAGATGAACTCATTAGGACTGAAGATTTAGCTAACAGTTATCAACGACAATTCTACTCTGTACGACAGAAGTTTGATAAAATTAAAGAAAAGTATGGCGAGCTTGAACGAGAAAATGAAGAACAAAAGGAAATTATACATAATTTGGAAGAACAAGAGAGAAAGTGTCAAGGAGTAATAGAAAAAATTAAAAAAGAAACAAAGTCGTACATTAAAGAGATAGAAAATAATAAACAACTTATTACAACGCTGAAAACCAAAATTGAAAAACTTAATAATGCCAACATTAAATATGCTAAACAACTGTCCACGTATAAAACAGAGTTGGAAGAGAAAAAAATTAATTGTACTATACTGCAAGATCAACTTGATCAGATGAATAAACTTAATAGTAACCTTGAGAATCATTACACACAAACAATTCAAAATTTGCAAGAAAGATTTGAAGAGTTGAAAAATGATAATTTCAAATTACAAGCAAAATTAAATTCTAATAATCTGTCGATGGAGGTGAGCTATATTGTTTATAACACAGCAATTGAATAATATTTACGACAAATTACATTTTTTTAAAGGCAAGCTTAATACAATCTGTTCACATAAATTCACCAGTTGAAGATTTTTTTGATGAAGAAATCAATAGGCCTTCTCCTCCAGATTCTCTCTATGCTGAATTAAGAGCTTCAGTAAGTCACAAAACTAGTGCTTATGGATAAATCACTATTTAAGATAAATATTTGTTTTTAGGGATTTTCTTTGAACACTAGTGAAAATAATGGAAAAATTCAAGAGCTTGAAGAAGAATTAAATTGGTATAATGAGGAAATACACAAAGCAATCGAACAAATTAGTATAATCATTCAAAAATTGATTCAAGAGAAAAAATTATCTCTTGATGAAAACAATTCGATAGATACATGTGATCCCAAGTCGAATTACATTCCAGCACTTTTAGCGGAAATATCAATATTATCAAATATCGTAAGTTTGTTTTTTAACAATAAAAATTCTAGACATGATCAACGTCAGAGATATATTTTTTATTGTTATGATAATTCATTTAACCTTTAGTAGTAATATTATGTATACTTCCTTTAGGTAACGGAACCAATCCAAAAGCCATTGACTAGTGAAGTTTACTGTCAAGTATTCGCTGAGCCTCTGGAGAGTCGAGGATTAGACGAGTTTCAAATTTCATCATTTAAGAGTAAACTAAGTAATCAGTAAGTATGAAATATACACATCAACAAAATTTTCCATGAGACAGTTTTAGTAAAAGAAAGTAAAGATTAAAGAATGTTCCACAAAAATAGAAACGTCGCAGGTTGTGGTGATCATTGCAAGGCTACGTAACTTGTGCGACGTAAAAATAACCAAGATGGCCTTCGAGACGTCGGGTTAACTCCAGAGTCACACTGGTTGACCCGATTGCACTAGTATAAGACCAAATTTTACATTTCACCAACATTCTGGTGCTCTTACTTTTTTAGAAACATCATAAAATCAAACTAAAAAAATTCATCTTAATTCTGGTCGCCTCTATATATCCTACACTTATAAATAAGTATTCTATTCGAGTCGTAGTTCACTAAATATTTACTTTGAACATTTTCAGATAATATGCACATTATCCTGCTCATCCTGTTTCATATAGAGATGAATCATTATTATTTAATAGTTCTTACATTTTCTTCGATTAACTAATTAGTTGTTGAAAATAAAATTGGATCCCTTCTAAAAAGGGTCTAAGGAGGTGAACTGGTTCCTCTCTCTCATGACCATGTATCAGTTGATTTTTTTCCAGTTTTGCTAAATTTAATTATACTGAATTCCACGCAGTCTTTTTAAATTCACATCTTTTAAAACAACAACTCAATTGATATTTTTCAGATTTTTATCACTCATTAGAGAAAGTTGAAAGAATGCAGTTGTAATTCATCTTTTAATCGCTATAAATTATTTAAAGTAAAAATCCTTGACATTAACTGAAGTGCATTTCTACTGACGTTTCATGAATTCGTCTATTTAAAATAGTCTAATAGACAAGAGCATCAGGTTTAAGCTCATCCTACTCATTCTTCAGGTTCGCATGCGTTTACAATCCCCTCTCTTGATCGCAGATATTTGCATCTTCTTTTCATATGATGATCTCTTGCTCTAGGAGGCATTGTCATACCGAATTCAATGTGTTCTTGTGAAAAAGGCTTCCAGTCGTGACAGTACAAGTTTGTACAATTTGTTCACAGTGACTTGATACATAATCCAAGTTTATTTATACAATTATACCAAGTGTATTAAGCACTATGATTTTTGTTTCTTCGATTTATTGTCATTGACGTGATTACTCCTATATTTCTCCAAATTAGTGCTCATCACTCCATACTTCCGCGTTCCACAATTTTCCAGGGAATCTATCAATACGACAATACGTTAGCATAATACAATTTCAAAATTTTAATTATTCATTACTAGGTTTAAATGACTACAAAAAAACAGTTGTATAAATTATAATTAATTAGAAATTAACATTAATGTTTCATACTTTTTTATTGAAATAAAAAAGTCTTACACCTTCAAATAGAGTCATATCACTAAACCAGGACGTCGCAATGCCAACATTGCTAATTGAGCACATATACCTCGACACTGATTGTTTATACAATTAAAATCCAAGGTCTTTATCTGAGCTGCGACAACTCGATCAATGGTTTTATTACCTTTTACATACGGAACCCAACTGTCTTTATCCCCGACGATTGTCGTCATTATCATCTAATGTAGAGACGGGAATATTTGTTTCAGAAACATATGGCAGTCCAGTAGTTCTGCTCGAGCTTTTTTTACCGCTCCGCCAGTTGCACCTAATCAACAGAATACTGAAATTCAATCTAGGTATTAATTGATTTTTAAAAATAAAAATTAAATCAATAAAAATTTTTCACTTATTTATTTTTCCTATTTTTTAGGCGTATTTATACTCACCCATCAAGGTTAAATAAAAGACGGTGGGCATGCAAGTTTTCGAATGAATTAACTTCTGTATTAAGTGGAGATGGTTCAATGGATGCTAATTCGTCGCTTTCGTCACATTCCAGCAACGAACTTGAGTCAAAAATAAATTTTCGTCCCACAGTAGTTGTTGTTGATGATACTGTGGAGAAGAAAGACAACGAAATTGCCAAGTCGATTTACGTCGACAAAAATTCATCTCAAGAATCTCCTAGTGAAAACAAATCTTTCAATTCAATCATCACAACACCAAAAATGAGTGAAAAAAATATTCCAAGGAGGAAATTCTCAGTGTTTTCGCGGTCAATTGATTTGGATAAAATGTTACATCCTCAATGTGTTAATGACATCCTCACGACTAGCACACCAGCTCAACCGCAAAATTTTTCCGCTACTTCTTATCGAACCACTACTGATTTAAGTGATTCATCAAATAGTCTATCACCTTCTCAGTTAGACACTTCTACTGAAGAAGAGAAGATTGATCGTGTTTTTATTCCAACGACACGTGAGACTACAACACTTATTGCTCCGGCTAAATTAACTCTTCCTATTCAAAAAGACAGCATAGAATTAGATTTGTCGAATACATCAAATAACTCAGTAACTCATGTGCAAGGTGACACGAGTGCTTGTAGTGATTTGTTTGCTACTAAACTAATTGATACTCCAAAGTTATATATTTATGGAAATATTGATAATGATAAAAAACAAGGTAATATTGATAGTATAAAGAAATATATTTATTGCATTTATAAAAATATTGATAAAATTAAAAAATAATAATTGGTAACTGTAGATATACAAGGAAAAAGGCGTCCTAAAAGTGATGTTACGTGGATCGCTCAAACAGACGTTGATTCTTCTTATCATGGTCGAAGCAGTCGCGCGGTAAATGAAAAAGAGCCAGTAAAATCGTCTGCAGTCACACTCGAGATGTCGAGCGGGGAGGATAGCTCTGATTCTTCAAACAGTGAACAAGTAGTTATTTGTGATAATAAACAAATCGTCCAGAAGATTGACAATAATATAACTCATGATTTATGTGATTCTCTTGAAACTTCTCAATCCTTAACAAGTGAATTGTCAAATTATCCTGTAAAACCCCTACCTAAAGTTTCAAATGGAATTAATGATAAAACATTCACGTATAAACCATCAAATAGCCGTGAGGTAAATAATTATTATTATTCCTATGCATTGACGTTTTAATTGATGTTGATTAACTTGTACTTGAAATCAATATAGCTTATATTGACTCATTAAAATTATTGTAATTATAATCAGGAATCTATTCAACTATAATTGACAAAAAATCACGTATGTTTGATAGTATGAAATCATCGTGTCACGTGTATTATTTCAAATGTTTAATTAATATAATGATTAATTGGAATTATTTGATAAATAATTCAAAAATCCAATGATAATTTATTGCAATGATATGTATTTCAGATAATACTAACGATGAAAAGATCACGGTCGGAGAGCGAAAGTTATGAAGATCAGTGTACATGTAATCTCAGAACATCAAAACTAAATAATAAAATTCCAGAGTCTAATCTCATGATATTTCCTAGTTTAGCAGATTTCCGTATGCAAGAATCTGGTATTGCTAATCTTTCTGAAAATGATGAGCAGTGAGAATTTTTTTAAAAATAAATTTGTATGCATAAAATTTTTTTTATTTAATAAATCATTTTATTTTAGGGAAAAGGATTTATCCGAGGCCGATATAGAGGTAAAAATTTAATATTTTTTACATAATTTTAATTAGAACATTTTTTTTTTACCATAAAAATTAAATGATATGTATTTTTTTACTAATTTAATTCCACTATCATTTTAGAAAAAATATTTAGCATTTTCTTTAGGCCTTTCCACCGACAGACTAACATTAACCCGTAGAAGAGCTTTCTCACTTCGTCAACGTGATCAGACTGAACATAATCTTGCTAATGAAATAACCCGGATGTCACAGAATGTCAAGGCAAGTATTACAAACAGTTAAAAAGTATAACTGGAAAATTTTTAATAATATATTGCAAAGATATACTTGTATAACATATAAAAGGAAAAAATGGACAACGAATTAAACTCGTCAGGAACTCGCACCATTATGCTTCGACAGTGAGACGATTGATAGGATAGAGCGTGCAAGGAATCAAGTTGAAATAATCACACAGTGCGCGCGCAAAGTATCATGGGCTGCAGAGCTGCTTGGAGCTATTCAACAAGAACATCGAATATCTAGAGCAGTTTATCTGGCTGACAAATATCTCAGAATGCTGCGTAGTCGATGTGAAAAACTTGAAGCTGATCTTGCAGAAACTAAGTGAGAGCGCAATCTTATAAAAGACTCTTGCTTTTTACACAGCTTTGTTCAATTATATTTAATTGATGTGATTTTTATCAAATCTATTACTTCATTAATTCTCCTTATAGGCGTATCCTTACAGAAAATAATATTTTAATTGATGAACACAATGTTGAAACTGGCGAGGAATTGACTATACGTTATCGCGGATTACCAACGACTAATCGTACAATGGTGCGAAAAAAATATATAATGATTTCAATCATTGCTTTTTACCATTGATGCTTATCATATTCATTAACTAACATCTTATGGATGCTTATCTTTTTAGGGTTAATTTGTATTAGAAATTCAAAAACAATTAACTAGCAAAGTCATTTTTAACATCGTTTATTAAAAGCTTCTGTTATCCATTGCTATAGTTTAAATAATTATAACATAGTCAATTTGATTTTATAGATTGCTAGAAGACGAGCAAGTATAGCCACAATATTCAGACCTATTGGAGCAGGCCAGGATAATACAAAAGAAGGTGTAAGACAACGGAATTCAGTATCTGGACGTGTTACTGTCAGAAGACCATCATTTAGCACTGATTCCCAACGATGGGAAATGGAAAAGTTGAATAAAACAGAAAGCTCAAATTCTGTTGGAGAACTTCGTGAAATATTTGAACACATTGAATCTCGACGGGCCTCAAAAGAAGAAAATAATAATATTATGTTGCAAGTTGTTACAAATAGTGAAGGTAGTTCTTTAATAGTACCGAGTACAATAACAAGGTCTTATAATACCGAAGAATTACCTGTTGCTATAATTAATGAGGAGGAACCTCTTCCAGATTCTAGGTTCGTTCATTTGATTGTAACGTAGATAATAAGAATAAGTTTATTTCCGGTCATTTCTAGTAATAGATAGTGTATGCTATACTTCTGTTGCATAATAGCAATGAACATCATTTGAATAGATAAAAAATAGGAAATTGTGAAACTTTTTGATAAATGTATAATTTTTTACATTTCAAGTTAAATTACAGTAATGATTGATTAAATTTATATAAATATTTTTTGTTTCATAACGAAAGTAATTTATCGATGGTTTTTACAGGACAGTATCTAGAATGTTATCTATGCCAATAAGCCATCCTATATCATGGCGATCATTAATATGGTGCATTATAATTGGATTTTTTATTGGATTCTTCATGAAAGATGTTGTTTCTTCGAAACCCTGCAATGAAGGGTCTTTTAGATGGTGGACTTTAGAAGAAATACTTGGTCGCCATGTGGAAAAAAGATGTTCAGCACCATTACCAATTTGAAAAGAGTGTAAATGTTAATTGCGAATTAAGAAATAGAAGAATTAGTTATATATGTATATTTTGCATAGTGTCATTAAATTGATGTGTATACAAATCAAGTTTAAAGTACTGTAAAGTGATCAATTAGAAAGTATTTGATTCATATCTAAAACATGTATATTGCAATAGAAGGTTCATGTATTAATATATAATAAGATTTTGTTAGAAATTTTCAAAAAAATTATCATAGAAGAAATCAAATTTAACAAAAGTTTTTCATTCAAATTTACGATAATTTCGCGTTATTTTTTAGAGGATTTTTATAGCATTGAGAGCCCTCTTAATTTTTTCTGTTTTCTAGAACTAATAGAAAACGACGCTTAACCTGCGTAGATATTGCAGAATTGTGCATGCGCACTAGAATTGCATGAATGTTCTCTGTGTGCGAATATTAGATGGATAAATTTGTTTGAGCATTTCGCTCTTCTATAAAATATTCAGAAATATAATCATGATATTTTGAGTGCAAAAACAATCTGCAATTTAATATTTTAAAAAGAACAACAAATTGTATGTCAATTTCAGATTTGCACCATACACCAGTAGATGTAAGTGTAACTTCATTTTTTAACTTTTCAAATTAGTTTTCAACCAATATGTTCACTCCAATTAATTTGATTTTACTTAAGATTACCAAAATATTTATTGGTTTATACAGCTGTATTATTATTAAGAAAAAGCTTTCATTGAATTTGTCATCTTGAAACAGCAAAATCTTGCGTGCATGGGATTCAGTGATGGCAATATTTTCAATGTTTGAGCTACATAATCCTTCAATGATTTCAATAATCTACTAACTTGGAGAATTGTTTTCACGAAAATCTTCGTAAACATCATAATCTATTTTAGGTTATGGAGTAAGATAATTATCATGCATATGCATCTTTCATGCATTGTTTCATAATTAGCATTTTTAAAATAATACTTATGATTTTATCAATTTTAAAAATCCCAAAAGCTAAAATTATCTTACAAAACCCATTCTATGATAATATCATGGACATGCAACATTTTATTTCTATAATCCTTATAATTATGACTTCGAAATCGATATGCAAATATTCAATACCATAAAAGCATTTTATAGGATTTGTTTTTATATTGATTATGAAACAATAGCTAATACCTAGAGTTCTTGGATACAATTGATTGAGAAAACAGGTGACAAACCAGGATAACACTTAAACTAATTATTACATGTGATTAAACGACGTTTTCAAAGCACAAATATCATCCAATTTTATCATTGTCTTTTTTTTTATTTTTTTATTCCGATCGGTTCTGATGTTATTTTATTGGTAGTTATAACTGCCTTGATTTTTCTGTAAAATATATCTTCCTTAGCATCTTTATTAGATAGAACTTTTCTAGTTTTCTAACTTTATCAAAATTGCTTCAATTTTTTCATCAATCACAGTTTTTTTGGTTTTTTTTTTAAGATCAAAGTCATGAATACTTTTATGAGTTATGATTCTATGTATTGGTTTGGAAGGATTCACTATCAGGTTTTTGTCTCGACCCATCCGCACTTCGAAAATGAAACATATAAATGATACTAAAAGTCCTAATCCCAAAAATTGAAATATAAACATCATAGAATCCAAAGTGAGTGGTTTAACGAAACCTTCTGCTCTTGCAGCCTCTCTTTCAGCTTTAATGACAAAGCTTTCTGTCAATTGCTTAGTCCATAATTCGGAAAAACCTGCTTCACGAATATGTAATAATAGCTCATCAAGACGATCTTTTAATGGCCAATCGTCTCGAGTTACATATGTATAATAATTATAGCTTATTGGAGACTTAGAAAGGTGCAAATTATGTTCTAAAGATGGACGTAACAAGAACATATAGTCCTCTATGCAAGCTGACGTTTTACCAGTAATAACATGTTGAATGCATATAAAAGCATCATCTGTAATAATGTTTTTATCTTTCAGTACTTCATTTTGAATTAATGGTGCTGTTGAAATTGTTGTTGCAAATGATTTTATATAATTTTCTTCTAAATCTGAAATTTTTTCAACATTATCACGTTGTGCTACACCTGTTAGAAAAGTTTTGAATCGACCGAGAAACGTAGCTTGGAGTATTAGAAAGTAAATAAAGATTACACTGAAAAAAACTCTCATTGGCTGTTTTTCTAATGGGGTCATAAGACCTGCTCCAATAAAAAGACGTTGTATTTCCAGTGCTGCATAAGATGTGTTTTTTCGTGTAACTTTTTTCACAACAGCCATCACTATGAGTATAAGAATGAATGTGAGAAGAAAGATCCATACGCTATAGAATCTAAGAATCTTTTCTAGTATGCTTTGTTCACCAGTACGAACTGCCATAATGTAGTAGGCAGAGAACATTGAAGGATTGGTAACAGATAGTTTGTAACCGATGCTAGGACTTGTGGGATATAGACTTAGATCTGCTGTTCCTTTATCTACGCGTCTAAAGAGTTTTGCTGGATCTATAGCAACGTTTAAAGGCATATTTTCAAAGACTATTTCCAATGACATATTCATAATTGTCATGATAGAAGTAGCCATTGCTGCCATTTGTGGAAATAGTGGCAATTTTAGAATACTTGCGTTATAAGGTTTTCCTGGTTCAAGGGTTACTTTATCGTCTGGATCAAATGAATAGGGCATAGTAATTTTCAGAATAGATCCATAGAGGTTCTTGTTTCGATCGAAATATAAGCTTGAACAAAAATTTGAATCTGTAAAATGATGAATTAATTAATTAAATTATTAATACCTGCAGATATAAAAATTTTAAATTCTGTATTAGAATCAAATGGATATGAGTAAACAATTACCATTGGTATGCATTCGATAAAATGCTGTCCACTTATCATATTGTTTAACAGTACTTACCACTGTTGTCCAATGAGGATAAGGTATATCAGAGTAAGGATTAAAAATATAAACAGTTGGCTTTAAATCTGGATCAAGACACAAAAAGTATGTCATTATGAGATTAGCTTTTGAAGCTGTTTTCAGGAAACGTGGTGCATCTTTGCATCCTCTTTCCAATTTGTACAAGATAAAGAAGGGAACACTTATTTTCCAATATGGACTTCTTTTATATGTAATCAACATTTTTTTATAGTCATCCATTGTAGAATTAAAATTCATAATATATCCTTTTATATCCGTTCGATCTTTTTTGGGATATAGAGGAATTGTACCTTGCCATTGAATCAGTGGGAAGCTGATTGGGTCTTCATCCCATAATGACTGTATCAAATTATCATTGTCGTAATTAATCACCAAAGTTCCTCGTCCAAAATCACAATTTTTTATCATAAATATCTAAAAAAAAATGTCAAATAATTAAAAAAATAAATATGAATGGAATTTTTAGAATTCTGAAATTGATGATAATTTTATCTTACTAGCATTTTTTTTAGAAGCGGATAATAATCTTGAATTTTTTGATCAGCATTTACTGAATCTTTCAAACCAAAAAATACAATACAATACAGTACACCCACCAACGTAAATATAAAGCATTTTTTCATATTTATTTGGAAATGATTTTTTTCCCGTCTTTTAATAGGAAGAAAGGATACTATTAAAAGCCTGATTCTCGACTGACAATATATGGAATGCTTTGTGATAGTAAAGTAGATATTAAAAAAATTAATTGAGTCATTTTTGTTATTGCATTACAATTTTCTAACTAAAAGCATTTTTACGATGTCATGTGAATATTAATTTTAGGTTTAAAAATTGATTACAATCTACATGTAGCAACAAATTGTACATTATAGAGAAATTTACAATTAACGTAGTAGTTCTGTTGAAGGTACAAACTATAAATTATACCATTTTTTTAAATTAAATCCAAGAATAATAATAAATGTTGTTACTATTTAAATGAATGCAGATAATTTTTATTGGAAAAAACATCAGGATTTCTGAATAAAGGCTTCTATTGGATTTGTTATCTTGAAATGGAAGAATCTTGCGTGCATGGAATTCAATGACAGCAATATTTTAAAAGTTTTAATTCCAAAATCCTTCAATGATTTTAATAATTTATCAATTTGAAGAATTAGTTTCTTCAAAATTTTTATAGACACCAAAATCTATGTTGATTTATATAGCTGGATAGTTAGCATACACAGAGACAACAGTTATTACAATATTGCTAAAATTCTAAAAAACTTTCTTAGAAACTCCTCCACTCATATGGATAATTTCAGAATCAAGCAAATTCAATTAGAAATATCCGATAATAAATACTAGAGGTTCGCTATAAATTCTAGTAAAATTGACTTAACAAGAAAATAATTTTTACAAATATTGTTGCTAATGTTATGGAATTATTTAACAATACATTCCATAAATATAATACATTATTTGCTATCATGGTTAGGAAATATTACACTCTTTGAAAGCTCTACAGCAGAAATCATAGCGATTTACGTGGAATATACCGAACAATAATTAATAGAAATAGTTTAAATAATTATTCAAATAAACGTACAAGATGAAAAAGTGATTAAGGAATGAACGAAAAAATCTTAAATTAACTTTGTTGATTTTTTGATTGCTATTTATTTAATGGTATGAGAAACTTCTTAAGACTGCAAATAATAGTGACATTTTTCTAAATGAGTTCACTTAATTAATCAAGTAATAAAGCTCTAATTATTTTTCTCGATGTACACATACATATTTTATTTTCAAATTTGATATTAAAGTTGTTTTACAAGACATTACAATTAAAATTGTTTCATGATTAGCATCTTTAAAATAATACTTATGATTTTATCAATTTTAAAAATTCCAAAAGCTAAAATTATCTTACAAAACCCATTCTATGATAATATCATGGACATGCTACATTTTATTTTTATAAACCTTATAATTATTACTAAGAAATATACATTAGACCTTTAATCGATATACAAATATTCAATACCATAAATGCATTTTATAGGACTTGTTTTTATATTGATTGTAAAACAATTTTCTATTCGTAGTAAATAATAGATCATAGCTGATACCCAGAAGTCTCTGATACAATTGACTGAGAAAACGGGTGACAAAC